TGCCATTGTTTACGCCCGGTGCCGCTGTTACCCGGGGGAGGGCTTGTCGATGCGTCGCGCAGGCTGAGCTTCACGCATTCACTCACCAGCCCGCCCCACCAGCCAGCCCCTATTATTGTTAGGATACAGCCTTGGTTTCTGGACTCTCGAGTAAAAGCTAGCTGACACCTTTAAGTGTCTTTAAGTGTTCTAGGTACGTTAATGTTTAAGTCGTTACTAAAGGTATCATCTGCTAAAAAGGGCGACGGTGTGAACTAGACATATGTGTCAAGTATACTGTATAGAATACCTGGACCTGGAGACCATACTTTTCGAGAAAACGTGCGCACCGAAGGTTGGTAGCGTTGTTTTTTGACCGATGTCTGTTAAATGTCTGGCTGAATTTGGAATCTATAAGGAACACATTACAAGACAAAATTAAACCTAAGGTAAGGGAGGGTGGGGCAGTTTGAAACAGGGGCGGTTTGAAACAAGCACCAATATTAAAGCAATGAGGGCTGCCGAAGGAAATGTGAGTGTGCACAGTCTTCTATTTTCATGATCTTACTGATTTGCGATCGACACAGTCGTCAACGGTGCACTTTAGTGGCCTTGAAAACAAGGTGAAACTTCGGTAACATTGAAATTGGCCTAAACTTAAAATTCTAGGTCACGGGAGTTTCCGTCTGGGTTTCGCTAGTAAGCAATCATCTCCCGCGCACCTACTTCATCTTTTAGTACCATATTAGACAAACGTAACGCACCCTCGGACACTGACGTAGCCCACACCAAGTCCGGCGGGGAGCAGCACAACTGGAATGGTGCCCTCTGGGGCAGTTTGAAACAGAAGTGGATGGGGCAGTTAGAAACACAGCAATATCAGTAGAAAAAACGTTTTATATTATGGAAAGCGAGCACAATGATGGAAGTTCGTAATTCCAGATCGCATCAATGGAGACGTTGTATGTTTGACCCGTGACTTGCATCAAAATGCAACATTTATGGACTGTTGCATGTGGTAAACTTTGCGGGCAGGAAAAGGCCTTTATTTCAACTCAAAAACAGTAATGTGTGTTAACAACTTTTGTTGGTCTCCCTGAGACGAATCCATTGCCATACGCATTTTCAAAACATTCGCATTTTGAAAAATGTGCCCTTTTGGCTTTTAAATTATTATTAAAAATGCTGAAAAAGTTCGTTAAAATGTCAGCACTTGCATGGCAACGTCTATTTGAGTCTATTTGAATCTATTTGAGTTGGGTACGCGGCTCTTCTTGGCCCGTGTTCACTTTGAAACAGATGCGAGGGTTGGAGTTTCACCTTATTATTAACGTTGAACGAACTTGTGAGCGTCTGCGGGCGTTTTCTAGTCGAGATAATGAGTCATACTATTAATCTAGTGCAAACACGCAGCATATACACAAACAGTACGATTATAATAACGAAATTCCAAATTCTGTTTCAAACTGCCCCACCCTCCCTTAGGAAAGAGTTTTCAATGATAACAGGAAAAGTAGCGATATACATCGGCAACTTTGGCCCGTCCCGTACATTAAGAAACGTACGAATTTCACCTATGTTTGACCCCGACGGAATTAAAACCTGAATCTGGGGTTAAAATTAATGTCATTTTCGTCATCAGCACCCTTAAAGACATCAGAAACAATGCAAAAACTCGAATAAAAAGAATGTTCAAAAAATACCCCGCTGGCATTTGAACCCGGGTCCGAACTTCTCCGATTCGCTCGGAACTGGCACCATTGTTTTTTTCTCGTCGCCCCGATTCCAAAAATACCCCTACATGCCCTCCTAGCTGCATCCGTTGCCGAGATCCTCCTCGACCCCATGTAGACCATGATGCACCTGCAGCAGCGCCCCCGGGGCTCGGATCGGATTTGCTGCCACCGGGCGGTTCTTAGGGTCACCCAAGAAGGCTGCATACCAAATTTGGTCAAGATCGGACCACGGGAAGTCCTCGGACGAACGGACGGACGGACGGACGGACGCACAGCAGGGATCATACTATATGCCCGTCCCTCCGTCATTTTTTTTACAAAAAATGAACGGGACGGGCCAAAAACTAGGCACTTTAAAAAAAGGACCTTCACTGTTAAAAATCCACTGTTATATTACAACACAATCACCTACAGTAATGGTGTTAAAAAACAACCATGTTGTTTTGTATCTGAACGGGAAACCAATCCAGAAACAGCACTTTCGTTTCATAACAACTTCCTTGTCAAGTAACAATAATGTAATCCTGATTCAAAACAGTTGTGCTGTCGTTGAACAGGTTTCATGTTAAGAAACAGCCTTTTGCAATCTTAAAACATATATTGTTGTCAGGTTACAAGGGTCTTGTTTAATAACAGCACGGTGAAATCAACACAAATGTTGGGAAGACATCGTCGAAGACTCCAAAGAAGTATTGTTTTATTACAATCGAACTGTCAGAAAACAGCACCGAGGGCTACAACATGCTTGTAATAAAACAAGTGGTGTTGCTATCAAACTTAACAGCATAAGTGCTGTTAATTTACAGCACCTTTTTTAACAGTGTTCAATGGGTATTTCCTACCTTAAGAAGGATAAAGAAAGAACGATAAATAGCATTGCAGCTATGTTTAAGAGCTTTACTCAAGACAGTGTTGTCAATTTTTGGGGTTTAATAACAGAAACTAATCCTTATAACATGCTTTGAGTAACAATCAAACTCTTAAGTTTGCAGCAAATGTCCTTGTACGCCTTCTAAAAGCACGCCTCACATCGAAACAAGCGAAAGTAAGTTCGAGTAGTGTCAAATCATAAGGTCGTCCGGAATTGCCCCAGCCTGGGGTAATTCCAGACACGTGCAAGGCTTTTGTTAGGCGCCTACATCTCCCTGACCGTTGCTGAGATTTGGCTTTCATGTATATCAGGTCCATACTCTCCTGTAAGAACACTTGACCCAAAAGACATATTCAAGCTCAAAGACGAAAAAGAAAAAAAGCGTCCGGAATTACCCCACTCTTCCTTTCTTGGCCAAGTGTGTTCTTAGTAGACAGTCAGGTTTGCAGTGCAGTGGGTACCTTGCGCTGTGCAGCTCGTACTCGACTTGTCCTCGTGGAGTTCCCGCGGCGGCTGGAAAGAGAACGCCGTGAAGATGCGCTTGCCGCGTGCGTGCGACGCGGTGCGCCAGTACGTGCCGGCCCTGCACCACAGCCTCGCCACCAAATTGTTCGGCAATTCCACGTGTCCGTGGCGCCAGGTTCGTGCATGCGTCAAACCCTGAATCCTTTCAGTAAAATATTGGAACGCCGTGCATGTAATGGCCTGTTCGATCAATGGGACAGTCATCCTCTGGTAAAGCTAAGGCGAAACATTACGCTCTCCGTTAAGGGGAGGTTCTGGTGAAAATCATGCTATTTTCCAAATGGATCCCACTGTCACAATTTGTTCGGAATATAAAATCTTTCTTTGAGGAGACTAAAATTAGACTTTTGAAGGCACATGCCAGGCTCTGAACCCAGTAGAACAGTCTTTTTGAGCCTATTTGTGCTGTACCTTAAAAAATCTTCTTGCGCATACTATTTTGTCGTAAAAGGTTGACCTTGACATTTTTCACTTCTTCGATTCATTTCCAAAAGATGCCGGCATGCATAGCTCAAAATTTCCATTACAATATTAATTGTAAGCTTTTTAAGCTGAAAAGTCCCTAAAATTTGTCTATTTTGTACATTTTAGGCCAATTATAGTGCAATTCTTGGTTAGAAAGCTTGTGAATAAAAATGTAATTTACGTTTTGAGTTCTGCATGCCGGCATCTTTAAAAATAAATCGAAGAAGTGTAAAATGTCAAGGCCAACCTTTTACGACAAAATAGATTTTTAAACTTACAGCCTAAATAGGAGAAAAAGGCTCTGCGACTGAGTTCAGCGCACAGAATGTGCTTTCCCCATTGAAAAATTTTAATAATTACTTGGTAAGACATCAAATTTTTAACAAATTTTCACACAGGTCGACCAATGTAGGAGAAAATAGCATTTTCACCAGAACCTCCCCTTAAGCCTACAGTGGGCACGCGCTTCTTGAAACGTACCAGAGCTCGTACGTTCCTTTCTTCCTACCACATATGGAAGGGGTCTATGTCCTTGAAGCGTAGTCTTACCTTTCAAGAGCGGCGTGTAAGGCTTTCAGGCGAAGTTCTATGATGGAAAGAAGAGTAAAACTGCGCTTAAGTTTCACAACTTTCGTTTTAAGTTACTGGAAGTAACCTAAAGTACCTTTCTTCAGGGCAATTACTTCCACCCGAACGTGACAGTGGATCTTAGTTTCGGCGTGCCTGCCATGTTCTATGGAAAGTATCGATTATACATCCAATGTGTGAAACGTTTATCCAGTGAAGTCCAAGGATGTGTCCGATCTGTCATACAAGTAATTCCGAAGAATGCTGTCGTCAACTGAGCACAGGACGCCACTACAGCCAAATACTTCCTGCCCAACAACCGACAGTACACTCTAAATTCAAGTGCGGGACAGACATGAACCAGGTAACGTGGGACAAACTGTGTCCTACGCTTACAAATGCAGTACAGTTTGTTCCACATTTTCTAGTGCCTGCCTGTCCCTTCCCGTACTTGGGTTTGCCATTAAGAGTTGTCTTGGAAAAGTAGCATGTCAAGCAGCATTTTAAAAAGTCCGTTCGAATTTCATGGTAGGCAACCGTGGTGGTTCAAATTGCCTTCTGGGTTTTAAACGAAGGTGGCCGGTTAGTTATTCACTATTTTGTGGCCGAATGAAATTGAACCACTGCACACGCTAAAAACGGTTCCTGGTTTTCCCAGGAACCCCCTGGAAATCGTCTATGTCTTTACAATAGGCTTCCTGGGAAAACCAGGTACCGTTTTTACCGTGCAGAAGTTGGGTTTTGAATGCACTGAAGTTGGAAGAAATATCATCATGTCCAAATCGAAACGGTGTTTTGGTGGTCCTGTAGCGTCTTAGGACTTGTTATACGTGTTACGGCGAATGTCCGATCATCGGCGAAACCGGGCTTTCGCCGGCGAGAGTCCGGTTTCGCCTACCCGTAGCGGCGAAAGCCAGTTCTGACCTGGCTTTCGCCGGCGAATCCCCGATATGAAACAAACGATCGGGCATTCGCCGGCCGCTCTCCGGCGAATGCCCGAAATCGGACTTTCACCTACAGTGTTTCATGATCGGCGAATTCCCGGTTTCACCGCCGGGTGGCAACAATGGGGGCTGCGTTGCCGTTGAACAGTTTTTAAAATTTTCAGAGTACAGTACACAAAATGCAGGACCCCGACAAACTCCCGAGCCGCGAAATTTTCGATTCTAGATTAAGTAAAATTCTAAAAGCCAAAAAGGCAAAAAATTTAGCCTACATGACCAAAATTGAGTATTCAAAATTCATTGAAGAAGTTAAGGAGGCGAAGGCGTTAAGGGCGGCTAAGGACAAGCCGTGCACGGTGGCACAACGCTCCCTGGCACAACGTCGCCTTGCAAGGTTTGGCGTTGTGGAGGTGAATGGTGAGGAGAAGCTCATTGCGGCCATGAAGCCAGGCCAGAACCAAATGCTTTTCTTCGCGCCAGTAGAAGAACTGCACCAAGTTCTAGAGGAAGCCCACATAGCGGTAGGACACGGTGGCAAAAACCGCATGTTGCCACACCTCAAGCAGCAGTACAAGAACGTTACCGAGGAGGCCGTTCTCTTGTACCTGTCCCTCTGCGGCATCTGTCTGAACAAGAAGACCGCAAAGAAACGGGGCCTCACCGTCAAACCAATGGTGTTCCGAGAAATGAATGACCGCTGGCAAGTAGACTTGGTGGACTGGCAAACCTCGCCTGATGGAGAGTTCAAGTGGATACAGAACGTACAAGACCACCTCACAAAATTCACTTGGCTGCGGCCATGCACCTCCAAGCGCTCCGAAGAAGTCTGCAGGCACCTCCTCTCCATCATGCTCTGCTTTGGCGCGCCATGTATCCTCCAGTCAGATAACGGGAAAGAATTCTGCAATGAGATTATCACGTCACTCAAGAAGACCTGGCCTGAGTTGAAAATCGTGCACGGTAAGTTAATATTTCTAGTCCTTAATACTAAATTTATAAAATTAAAAAAACTTAAAGAGTAAATTGGTATGTGTGCAGGAACTCCCAGACACAGTCAGAGTCAAGGAAGTGTGGAGCGCTCAAACCGGGACATCCAAGACATGCTGACGGCGTGGATGCGGCAACATCAAACGCGGGAGTGGTCGCAAGGACTTGATTGGGTGGCGAACCAAAAGAACCGGGCGATACATCAGGGCACAGGTACTGAAGGTACTGAAGGTACTGAAGGTCGATGGAAACGGGCAGAAGCTCGGAGTGTATTTTCTCGCAGGTGTCTCCCCCTACCAAGCTATGTTCGGCACCCCCATGAAGGTCGGCATCACCTCCATCGTCCCATCCGCCGTCGTGCCCGTCATGGAGACAGAAGAGGAGCTGGAGCACTTCCTGGAAGGAATTCGACTAGGTTCACCTGAAGCGTCACAAGCAGGTACTGAAGGTAACTGCGGCTGAGCGTCGATGGAAACGGGCAGAAGCTTTGAGTGTATTTTCTCTCAGGCTCCAGCCCAATTGGCCGCCAAGCCCCGCTCAGGCGATCTGCTCCGTCTTCTCCGGAAGAAGAATCGCCTCAGCCGTCTCCACCGAAGACTCCCGTGGTCTCCATTCGAGTGCCTCTTCCAGACACTCCTCCCGCAGTCTACACGCCCGTTCCAGCCTTAGACTTCGCGGGCTTCGGTGGGACACCAATGTCACCAGCTGTAGCGGGGGCCTCCCGACCCAGATGTGTCAGCTGTGGTTTGCGATGTGCGTACGATGAGCTCTGTAACTCCGATAGCTGCAGGAGGCCCATCCACAGGGCGTGTGCAGTCGGGGGCACTTGCTCGTTGTGCCAACGCACAGCGCGCATCGAAGACCAGCAGCGATCTGCACGGGAGGGTCTCATCAAACAGGCACACAAGATGACTAGAACAACGGCAAGGAAATTCCCTGAGGTGAACGTCGGGGACACCGTGATAGTGCCTATTCCAGAATTTGATAGAGCCAAGTGTGACCCACGGAACGTCACAGCTGTCGTCACAGAAGTGCTCCCGGATGGCTTCTACCGAGTGGGTAACCAGCATGGTGTACTCGAGCGCCTCCTCGTCCGCAACCAGTTTGCCGTAGCCCAAGAGCAATTCCTCCAGGTTGATGATGTACCTCAGGACACCACGATTGCGCTCCGAGGCATGTCTGCGGCTGCTGGTCTATCGGGGGGCCAGGGTTTTATCAAATGTAATTGCAAGACCAAATGCAAGTCAAAAAAATGCGGCTGCCGCGCCGCTGGAAGGTTGTGCAATTCCAAGTGCCACGACAGCCAACCGTGCACCAACAAATAAAACATGTCCCTTTGCCTCCACTGCACCAATAAATAACACTATCAGTCTGTGTCTGTCATTACTGATCGGCGAAACCGGGAATTCGCCGATCATGAAACACTGTAGGTGAAAGTCCGATTTCGGGCATTCGCCGGAGAGCGGCCGGCGAATGCCCGATCGTTTGTTTCATATCGGGGATTCGCCGGCGAAAGCCAGGTAAGAACTGGCTTTCGCCGCTACGGGTAGGCGAAACCGGACTCTCGCCGGCGAAAGCCCGGTTTCGCCGATGATCGGACATTCGCCGTAACATACGTTTCTTTCAATTTAAGGGGGGGCCCTGGTGAAAAAATCACCAAAAATCCAAAAAATAGTATTTTTATAGTTCATAGATAAAAATGTGCAAGGTTTCAAATTCAACAGGTTGAACACCTTTAAGCTAAGTGGGTAGTTTCTTTATCATTTGGAAGGAAATAACATTGAGATCAGTTGTCGTTGGCTTCTACGCTCAACTTAACAGCTTTGCTCAGTCGACAAAAAATTTTGTCGTAGAAAGACTTCCTGCGTTCCTGGTTGACACCTACATGAGTCGTCTTGCATGGACTCTATTCATTGATGACTTGTCGACAAATTTTAGTGACGGAATCTTGATATCAGCCCTACTTTTTTTAAAACACACCTAAAAGTTTAATAAAAAGGAAAAAAATAACTTTTTTTTAAATGTTGAAATTTGAAAACTCATATCTCAGGACAGAAGTTGAATTTGAAAATTCCGTCACTAAAATGTCCTCTATAAGGGAAGGTGGGGTACAATGGGACACCGGGTACATTGGGACACCTTCAATATTTCCAACTTCCAGTTATGTCAGGTTCTCCGAAAAATTGACCATGATAGAGCGTTATTTGGTTTACTGTTTTCACAACTAGGGGACAGAACTGGGCGCTTTCTGAATGAGAAACGTGGGTTGGAAGTTCGATTCCACGAAAAACGATGAAAAAGTAGCACGATTTTTGAATTTTGTTTTCTTTTTAGCGTCTGAAATGCACGTCGGATGATTGTACCGAGGTTAGCAATGTCTTCCCTGGTGCAATGGGCGTCAAAAAGGGTCAACGCGCGCAGCTTGGTCTTGAGGTCAAGGGCCACAGACCGAGTTGACGTTTTAAAATGGCTCAGTTCACATTGGGACAGGGTGAGGCTACTGGGCCATGTGGATACCAAAAATACATGAATCGTACATATATTGTCTTGTCTCGTCTAAACAAATAAAAGATATCTTATGCATGTGGTCTCTAAAGTCATTACTTCAGGGTTTTCTCGAGTAGGGAGGGCGAAAAAACACGAAAAATAGTACTATTCCATTGAAAGCAGCGTATCTTCCGAACGCTTGGATTCAGAGATCCGAGTCTGCGCTCATTGTATTCAGCATAACTTTTTCTACAACTTGGCGGTCCGAAAAAATATGCACGACTTAGATCCACATTTTTTTCATTGCTGTCCCAATGTGCCCCGGATCTGTCCCAATGTGCCCCGGTACTGTCCACATTGGGACAAGTGCAGACTCTACGAAAAATATCTCTCCTGCCTAAAAACGTATCGAAATAAGTTTGAATGCTTCAGGATATGATAGGCTAGATGTCAATGCACAATTTAGGCCTGCCCCGACCATTATAGCTCGAAAGCCCTCTGACGTAGAGCGCCAAGAAAAAATCCGTCCCATTGAGCCCCACCTTCCCTTACATCTTTAGGATAACCCAAAAAAATTTTCAAGACTTTCCGTCCCAATGAAAGACGCAGGAAGATTTTTCCCCAACGCTCCAAAAAACACTAAAAAGCCACTTTTCTCAGAGACAGTTCAACATTTTGGATTGAATTCTGTTTTGGGAACTCACCATAATGAACCTCATAATTAAGCAAAGTTTCAACTTTCTGGGATTATTTTGAAGCCAACTTGAAAGTTTCACCAGGGTCCCCCCTTAACGTTGTGCAGTGTTCAGATTCCCGTTTTCTTCGTGTTTGGTCAACTCCGTCTTCTACAGCACAATCCGTAAAGTTGAACCGTTTTTGGCCAAAAAGGTGGACGCGAGATCAGGGAGGACTTTTTATGGTGAGGAGCGGCGATGTAAAAATATTTTTCGTGTGGTGAAGCTCAGCGCGGGAGGATGTTGGTGCGTCATTGAGGTGCAAACTGTATCTGAACCTGCGTAACGTCCCTGGAAGACGCCCTTCAACTTCGTCGTAGCTTTTGAACCGAGTAGTTGATATGGGCACGTTAGGGTAGTTAGTTAAGGGGAGGTTCTGGTGAAAATCTTGTCATTTTCCAAATGGATCCCACTGTCATAATTTGTTCGGAATATAAAATCTTTCTTCGAGGAGACTAAAATTTGACTTTTGAAGGCACATCCCAGGCTCTGAACCCAGTCGAAGAGTCTTTTTGAGCTTATTTTGGCTGTATCTTAAAAAATCTCCTTGCGCATACTATTTTGTCGCAAAAGGTTGACCTTGACATTTTTCACTTCTTTGATTTATTTTCAAAAGATTCCGGCATGCATAGCTCAAAATTTCGGGGTTACCTCACCAGATACATTCCCTCCATAATCCCGCCAGATATATATCTCACCAGATATACAGGAATTAATATTATTTTTATAAACGCATATTCACACGAAATATAAATCGGCAGCGGGGGTCTTCGGGGGGCACTGCCACGGGCACGGGCGCTGATGACCCGGCCTCAGAAGTCTGACATGGCTGGGCTGGGCGAGCCCTGGTCCGACGCAGCCGCAGCGCCACCCAGCTGAAGAAGATGGCTGGGCCTGGGCCTCCGATGTGGTTGGGTACAGTGATGGGCCTGCGGGATTCTCTCCTACATCTAGACCCTCTCCTGGTGGACTGAGCTCGTTCAATCGATAGGCTGCCCAGGTCGCGAAGGCAACGAGAGGAGACAGGTTGGCTGGAAGCGAACCGCGGATGGGGGTAAGGGATCGGGTAAACAACAACAAAAACAGCGAGACGACGGAATGGGAGTGGAGGAGACGGGGGCGAGGCAAGGTACGTACCGAGGAGATGCCGATTCAGCGCCTTAACCCCTGCATTTAAGGCTATTTCATATCCTCAGACGGAACTTTCGTCTTCAGTGTATGAAGAGTTGGAAAAGTTAACCGTCAAAATGCATGGTGTTCGCGAGGTAACATTCTGCTGCTGTCGTTAGAAGAAAAAAAAAGACGTATTATTTTATTTCTTTATAATATGTTTTAGGGAGTACTGCCGGGCGTAAACCAAGCAAGAGAGGAGATGTTCGCCTCCAAAACCAAATATCCTGCCCAATTGCCACCAACGCAAGCTGCCTTAAAAGAGCACATCAACAGAGCAGCGTACATCGGGGGACATATTGAGGGGTGTGCGAATAGCGTCGAAGGAAGTTGCAATCTCGTGGGAACCGCGTGGAAGGTTCTGTGGACAAAGCTGTTACAGGTGTGGAAGGCAGTACGAGAACTGGACAGGTGTGGCTGTGAGACAAATCGCTGCCTCTGCCGGCGACTTGGTCTGCTATGCTCTCCCGCTTGCAAGAAATGCAAATTGCGCTAGTAAAAGGTGGGCACACTCAGAAAAGCTTGCAGTACAAAGTATGCTCCGGCATTGTATTACAAACTCCCTTGCGAACTTTTTTCTTCGCATTGCAAAGAAATAGTTCGTAAGTTGCGAAGAAAAAAGTTTGCAACGTTGCGAAGCATTGGTTTGTAACGTTGCAAAGCATTTTCTTTGCAAGTTGCAAAGAAATACTTCGCAATGCAAAGAAAAAAATTTGTAAGAGAGTTTGCAATACAATGCAGGAGAATACTTTGCAAGGTTTTTTGAGTGCATGCTGTTATTTTAATGTATGTATAACTTTCTAAAGATAACCTGAAATTAATGCGGAAAATATCCTTCCAGCGTCGATACCACCACCAACGGGTAAAGCGACGTCGAAGACGATGTCCTAGGCAGTCACCTGAAATGAAATTTTAATTATTTAACTACTACGCTTTAGTTCAACCAGAGTCACAAAGTCGGAAAACTCTTCGCAAGCATTTGTGCGATCTAAAATGTGACGAATCACCAGTAATGAATCAATAATACTTGCTGACTCTGAAAACATCGATGTTGATCAATACTGTGTCAGTGATGAAAGCAATGTCTGTTTCTGAGCGTGGCTCGAAGAAAATAGGTTATCTTCAGACTTCCAAGCAGGTGTCGCCGTAAAAACAAGACGTGCACCACGGACAGGAAAATTGGTTTCGTGCAAAGTCCGTCAGAGGAGTAGATTGGTTTCGTGTTTCGCGTCAAGTCCGTTGGAAGCAAACCATCAGGTCTGTTTCTAGTCGCTTCCATTCGTCGCCATGATGGGGCTACGAGAAGACTGTCGCTTTCTGTTTGTAAGTGAGATAGACTTATCTGCATTCAACAGCGTCCTTGGGTCTAACTTTCCCGTGTCCAGATTACCGTAAAAGCGGGTGATATAGACCACCCCTAAAATTTCTTTCAATGATTCGGAAGTTCGGACCAGAAACGGTCTGCGCACCGCTACACTGAGTGAATGAGTCATAATCACGTCTTACGTTCGGCGAGGCAGTATTTATCGTCCTAATTCGTCCGGGTAAGAATACTACCTGGCCATATATACTGAAGAGCACCAGAAATTACTGGAAAACTACGTAGTCATATTGTACTTTGGTGTACCAGGGACCCCTATAACAAAACTCTGTCAGTATTTATTTGCAGCTAGAAACAGGCCTGTTCAACCAACACTGGGAGAAATAATGAAGATTGTGGCTGTTAAACCTAATGCCACTCTCCACTGTTTACCGAAAGAAGGTGTTTACCGTACCCTGGGATACAGAAGACACCGTACCTGAAAGAACGGCGTTCACTGTATCCAGGGAACCTGCATCCACTGTACCTTGGAAACTTTTCAGACACGGCATTCAGTATAACTGTAAGATAAAGGCGAAATAAAATCGCGATAGGAACGTTTCGATGACGGAAATGAATTCATCTCAACAAGACGAACAAAAAATGATAAGCATGTTATGGTCTCAGACTCGTAATTCAGTGGAAATCGTGATCAGAAGTCTAAAAAAGTAGGATTTTTGGACCCCTAACATAGGACTCATCAAATTACGTTCCAAAATTCTACTCTTTTAGACTTTTGATGCCGATATCTGTTGAATTTCGAGTCTGAGCCCATAACATGCTTATCATTTTTTGTTCGTCTTGTTGAGATGAATTCATTTCCGTCATCGAAACGTTCCTATCGCGATTTTGGAATTTCGCCTTATCTTACAGTTATACTGAATGCCGTGTCTGAAAAGTTTCCAAGTACAGTGGATGCAGGTTCCCTGGATACAGTGAACGCCGTTCTTTCAGGTACGGTGTCTACTGTATCCCAGGGTACGGTAAACACCTTCTTTCGGTAAACAGTGGAGAGTGGCATTAGGTTTTACAGCCACAATCTTCATTATTTCTCCCAGTGAACATATGCCACCCACAAGGCATTCGTCACCGAAATTTGGCTGAGGAAACCTGCCTTACCCAAATTCGAATGAGAATATAATCCTCACTCAAATTTGGGTGATAAAGTATACCTAGCCCAAAATTGGGTATGGACCACGATTTTTTCATTCTTAGTGTATGCGGCATCACCGATTATACAGAAGAGGTACAGGGGTGTTCCACATTACCCACTGGTGGCCAATATTACACTGATAAAACTACGCTTCAGTTCTACCAGTGTACCCGCTTTTACGGTATTACTGGGTCCGACCAGAATATCAAGCATAACCTTCGGGTGCTGCAGAATATCAAGCATAACCTTCGGGTGCTGTAGGGGCAGGAGAGAAGGTGGCTCGGAAGGTCGGGGGCTCTTAAACAAACATAGCTGCAATGCTATTTTTCGTTCTTTATCCTTCTTAAGGTAGGAAATACCCATTGAAGCCCCTTGGCGGGTAACCAGGGGAATACTAAGGGAAGTCCGGTAAACAGTTGCACCATGGCCATGGAGCTCCAGGCTGATGACGCTGATTTTCCTGCATGAACAACCGCTGCAGGTGCCGCGCGCTAGGCATCAAGTGCAATAGCAAATGCCACGGTGGATCCTCGCACATAATGACTGAAAAATATTTGTAGATAGGCTAGGGCTCTACTGAAAGAAAGAAATCAGTAAACATTTGTCAAACCTCCGCCCCTACAATTATTCTTGATATTCTGGTCGGACCCAAACCGATGCCGATTTATGGAAATGTGCCCCTTTTCTGCACTGCAACTGACGGTGTGACTGTCTATGGTGCCTTTTCAGTTAGCTTCCTTTCTTGTGACATGTGGGACGACGCTTGCTCAGGGACCCTTACCCCGAACACCGGTAAGTAAGCAGAATATGATGTTTTGTCCAGAAAAGTCAACGTTCAATCCCCCAAAAGTTACGTCCAACTCTCGATCCCTTTACGAATAGAGGAGACATTTTGAACCTTAAACCATGGTTTACTGCGTAGCATAGTAGCTGCCCCATCTATCGGTGGCGTGCACAGGGTGAGGGCCCGCCGCGACCCGAGCGCGCCGAGTCGTGGTGAACCCACCGAACCGTGAGGCATTGTTGGTCGCTCTTCTGCGCTGGCGCTGTACCGGGGGAGAGAGCGTCGATGTTCTGCACGGGCTTCGAGCCACGCACGGACCTATTCACTATTCCCCCGGGCTCTATTCCATTATTAATATGGCACTAGCTGTCACCTTGAAGGGTCTTGTATTGTTCAAGGTACGGCATGTTCTAAAGTAGGTAAAGGTATCATCTGCTAAAAAATCTCAAAATGAACGTTACTAAAGCAGATGATATTCGGTTGCTTTTCTTCTAGTGGTTGGGCTTTGATAGTATTCAAAATTAAGTGCGAAAGTCTAGGCTTCCTGCGCCCGGCGGGGATGAGAGGAGGTTCTTGCCGCGCCGAGTCTAGCGGGGCGGAGAGGGGTGAAGGGAGGATGCCGTGAGTGGCGGTCATTGTTGGTCCCCGCCGCCGCCCCGCAGTGGGTAGAGCCAGCCCCCTGCACTTTTTGCCCCGCCTGCGCCGCACGCACAGACGCACTCTCAAGATCCTACTGAGCTTTTTCTTGGTAATACGAAGAAAAAGCTTAGTATCATGACAGCACAGCGAAGGTCGAGGAGTACCTCGAAGTTTACAAGCCGGCGCTGCCGTGGCGCTGCCACACCACCGCAACGATTCGTCTCTCGACGCACACTCTTCATCAAATAAAATCCATAAAATACACAAAAACGTAGTTATTTATCTGAGAGATTTGATAAAGACTGAATTGTGCTCTTGGCCTAGGATAAAAAGAAAATTTCGCTGAGGGAAAAGAGGGGGATCGTCACTCTTTCATTGTCGTCACGTTGGCCCTACAGCATTTTCGGTACTGATGTCACAACAGCAAAAGCAACAACAAAACCAGTGCCTTTCTTGGCCGCTCAGTTCCCCCGCTGGGCGCGCGAGTACTGGTCGTGGCGGCGGCTGGCAGAGCTCGCTGAGCCCCTGGTCGCCGGGGTGCCCCCTTTTCTAGATTTTCCGACAATGAAGCCGGCTTCGGCCGCGCTTGGTTGCTCGGCGCCGGCCGCTCGGCTCGCGCAGGGGTGCCGGGGGGGCCCGTCGAGGAGCCAGGATCCCAACACTTCCCCCTCCGTTGGAATGCTAGAGCTCCAGGTCCGGTCCAGGACGTCTGCTCCGTCGTCTCCCTGGCGTCCGTCGCAGGCTTGGTCGCAGGCGGCGAGCTCCTGCAACCACTGGGTTAACTAGTCGGCGGGTCACTCCAGCTGCTCCGCCCGACTCGGAGCTGCAGGGTGTGCAAGCTTCACCTTCTCGGACGGGGTTGAAGGTGACGTGAAGGTCCTTGGCCCTGGGCTGCCGTCTGCGCTGGACCTCCTCGTGGACCTCGCGGAGGGGTTCTCGCAGCCTCGGCGGGCACCGCGTCGGGTCGTCTGCCTCGATACCTGCGTCCAATGGGAGGCGGGAGACTCAGGTCTGTCGGGAGGAGGGTGATGTCGCGCCCGAACATCACCTCGGCTGGGCTGAACTTGGAGGCACTGCTCTACAAATCAAAGAGTGTACATAGTATGCTCTAACTGGTGCATGCCTGCAAGCACGCTCTAGCTAGCGCATGCCTGCCAAGCATGCACTAACTAGAGCATACATGCCATGTACACGCTTCCTGATGCAGAAAACTCCCTATCCCTTATGCAGTAAATGTATGCTCCAGTTAGCGTGTACATGGCATGTATGCACTAGTTAGTGCATGCCTGGCAGGCATGCGCTAGTTACAGCGTGCTTGCAGGCATGCTCCAGTTTGAGCGTACCATGTACACTCTTTGATTTGTAGAGTGTGCGGCATGGCCCCGTACGACGTCGTCCCAGTCACTAGTCGCTGTGGTCTTCCGGAATCATCCGCTGCTTTCGGGTGTTGGGCCAGGGACCGGCTCTTCCGGATGCCGAACATGGCCAGGACTTCGGGGAACAGGCGCGCTTCGAACTGGCGACCCTGGTCACTACGCACCACCCGAAGCAAACACCATTGAATATTTCTTATGTGACCTTAAATTGCATCATTCTGAGTGTAACTATCAAGTCTCGGCCGGGCGGGGGTGTTCAGCTCTGCGGGGGAGGGTGCATGCCGGGGGCCGTCAGGAAGCCAGGATCCCAACATTAGCCTATTTACTGAGCTCATAAGTGATGGATGGTAAGGTGGGAAAACCATCAATTCAGGAGGAAGGCTCTGTGTCCAACGATTAAATGCACTGTTTTGTTTTCACGAACTTAGAGCGACATACTTAAGTCAAACGGCTACCCATCGGAGGTGCATCATGTAACAACGGAAGACGGATACATTCTGCAACTTGACCGCATACCACAGCCTGGCAAACCAGTGGTTTATCTCGCCAATCAACTGGTCAGTTCAGCAGCAGCATATCTGATCCTCGGGAAAGGCAAATCAATTGGTAAGAGTGACGAGGAAGCAGTAACGCGTGCCTCGGCTCTGAGTGGAGCTTTCCTACTCGAGTTTTTACATAGTTTTGTCGTTTTCTGTTCAAATCTGTCAGGTTTCCTCCTCTATGACGCTGGATTCGACGTGTGGTTAAGTAATTTCCGCGGCACCAACTTCTCTCTCACCCATAAAACGTTGTCCAGCTCCGATGACAAATTTTGGGAGTTCGGGTAAATGAAACTAAAATCACTCTTAAAACCTTACGAAGTATTTTGAGCATACATATAACAAACTAAAATACTTGGTTATACGAGTTCGTAAATTACGAAGTATTTTCTTTGTAAGCTTACGTATGCTCAAAATACTTTGTTATACAAACTACTTTTCTTTGTAAGGCCCAAAATAGTTTGTAAGGTTTTCTCAGTGATAGGTTTGCCCTGGCAATCTTCCTTGCTGTGAATGCGCGTGGTCGTCCCACCAACATTTTTTAACGAAATTGAAACAAATTCTTGAGGAGCCACAAGTAAACACCCACACTGAAAAACCAAACGCTGTCTAGACCACATCACTGGTGTGGGTGACATTTTGACCGCATCAGTTGGTGTGGTCTAGACCACGTTTGGTGTGGTCTAGACCACGTTTGGCCACGTTTGCTGTGGTCTAGACCGCGTTTGGCCACGTTTGCTGTGGTCTAGACCACGTTTGGTGTGGTCTTTCGCACCACACCAACACCACACCAACAGATGTGGTCAAAATGGCACCCATTTGACCACACCAGTTGGTGTGGTCTAGACCACGTTTGGTTTTTCAGTGCAGGCAAGCTCTCGACATGCTTAATCTTGATCCCACCCTTGGTCCAGGTGGCACGAGCACGGCACGCTCGACAACCCGGCCCTCATCGACTACATAGTCGCGACCACCAAGCAGCCCAGCGTCGTGTTCATGGGCCACTCCATGGGGGCCACCACCTTCTTCGTGACGGCCTCGGAGCGCCCAGACACTCTTAAAAAAATCAGCGCTGCTTTCGTGATGGGCCCTGCCTCGTTCCTGGCGCACCACCGCAACCCAGCTCTCAGCATCTACCACCCCGTGGCCAACATCACGCAGGTCAGTGTAATGCACTAAAAACTTACGTGTGTTCTGAGTGAGTATACACACAGAGAGCACTAAAAAGTGTCCTGAGAAAACACACAGAACTCTAAAGTGCGTACTGAGTGAGTACCCACAGAGCACTAAAGTGTGAACTGAGTTACACGATGAGCAATAAAGTGTGTACACTCATAGAGCACCTAAGTAGGGGTTATCCTACGTTTATACCCCCTAAAATTTTCCAAAGTACTTCGGTTCCAATTTTCTTTCTTCCCAAAAAATAATTTCCAAACTAATTTTACCAAAACAATTTATGCAAAATGCCAAAGTATATAAAAAAAATTATCAAAAATTCCGAAAAGTTTTAGAGAGTGAAGAGATGTCCCGGGGTCCGCAAGTAGTCGACGACCCTTTCTTCTTGCTTGTAAGTAGCCAGTGACGACGGTCTTGACGCGTCGCTGCTGGTCCAGCCACTTCTTCTTTGGAGCGGCCTTGACGCGGCACGCGGCGACCCAGGGACAGCTCGTGCAGCATCGTCTCCGTGTCGGCTTGCTTCCTCATGGATTTCTCCAAGTGCAGTGTATAGCGATGGGCGATTTTCGCCGATGACACCCTGGCGAGGAACAGTATTGTTGGTTTCCAGACCCCAAGCCTCCAGCCATTCTCCAGGAATTTTACCTAAAAGCGGTTGTGCCAGTCCTCGTTTAAGTTGTTGGTCCCGTGGTCCTCTCTCAGGCAGTGGTGTTTTCTTAAAGAGTTCATAGGTCACACGGTGTTGTGGCCTACCTACCTTCCAGGCACCACGTGTGAACGAAACAGAGAGAAGACAGGTGTACAGTTTATCATAGTCACTTTTGGAACTGAAGGATTCCGTCCTTCTAGACCTCTCTTTTTTTTCGTCTGTGTGGCGTTGGCAGAGTGGTGTGCCATAACCATAATTTGAAGATGGCAGATTTTTATCATCGCGATACACTCAAAGTAACTGAACCATTTTCACATTAAAACTCTTAAAGAAGTTCGTGTCCTCTCAGGATAACGCAGACCCTAGAAGACCTTATCAAAAGCCTAAATCGAGAGCTAAAAGTTAAAACCGTGCTAACGTTTTGATTCACAGAGAATTGCAGACCTGACTCACCATCACCGACAGCCTGTTGAGTTCATCCGTTCGGTCATCGACCGGATTTGCAATAGCGCCCGGAGATTGAATCAAGAGCTCTGTCGTTTGGCGGGACTGAGCCCCGATGATCGCATAGTAAGCCTTTCCAACTATCTTGGAGCTCCAGTGCTCGGTGAAACATAGATGTTTCCGAGCGCGGCAAAGAGGCACCGTCCCAGTATCTCTAAGGTTTGCTTTTGTGTTCATAGTACGTTGCATTAATATTGAATTGTTTCATGTTCAGCTGTCGGATATAGGCATTTTCTTCCCAGCTGGAGGATCGCTCGGGCAAATTTTGCACTACGCGCAGTTGGGTGATCGGAAATGTAAGGTTTTTCTTTAGGATACCAGAACAGTTTGCGGAAATGTGGTGACACTATAGAATCTGAAGTGTGCTTCCAGGTACACTCTTCTTTACAGCGTAACATGCCAGGCGCACGCTAAAATAGTGTTGGCGCCTGGCATAAACACGCTTTACACACTACATGTTCATGTAGAATTTTGTACCCGTGACTTGTAACATTTTGTGCATAAGTGTAATTTGCTTATTATGCGTAACATTACATATATAGGCAAAGTCGAGCACAATTTTATGCAAAACGCTACACAGGTTCAAAATCATGCAACACCACGTTCAAAATTGTACATAAAGATTTACCGTGTTAACAAGAGTGTGCCTGTAAGTACACGCCAAAATGCATTCGCTTAGTCCTAACCAAAAACATGGGCCAGTTTGCAGGCACACTCTCATTAAGCGTGTACGTGTACTTGCAGACAGACTATTTTAATGTGTACTGACCCTGGCAAGTATGCTGTAAATAAGAGTGTGCTTGGAAGCAGGCCCAAATAAGAGTGTACTTTGTACAGACTTCATTTTCTAGAGTACACAACACAACATTGACTCGAGCTTACAATATTATTTTTTGATGCAGGGCCAGGTTTCCGAAAGTACAATTACGGTACCAGAGGGAATCGCGCCAGGTACGGGCAGGACACTCCACCTGACTACAACCTCGCTAATATCAACACGCCTATTTTCATGTACTACGGACAAGACGACAGCTGGTGCACTGAAGAGGTAACGTGCAGTTTTTCCATCCATCTTTACCGTTGCTTGAAGTGCTTGAGAAGGAATGTTTTCGCGATTTTCAACTCGTGTTACATGGAAATGATTCGCTTACACTACAAACGTCTGCTTGCGGGGTTCCAAAATTGAGTTCATCCTAAAAAGTCTGAAAGTTTCGACTTTTTTTTTAACACACCTACAACGGCCTGCTTGACAACGTGTCTCCTTTCCAAATCGAAAGGTGACATTGTGAGTACCTTTTTTGGCTACACAATTGTGTGTTGCCACGATAGGGTCAAAGACGCGATACTCTTAAGTGTTGTCGAGTTTTTGTTGATACCCTTGTTTATCGCAAAGACTTTCTGTATGTCGTATCTCGGTCGTATTGCCAAAAAAGGTACTTAAAGTATTACCTTTGCATTTGGCGCGTCCATGCTACACATATGCACTAGGCATGTGTACTTCCCCATGCACACTAAAAGGAGTCTACTTGTAGCTTTGTAAAGCTTTTGCTTCGTAACTGCTAAGAAAATGAAGGCATCGAGTAATTCTACATATAAAAAGGAAATGCTTCATGTAACGAAGAATTCTGCTTCGTAACACGAAGCAATTCTTCGTAGAATACAATGCCATCGATTTCTACGTATTGTAAAGCGATGTTTCGTTGACCTTTTACTGTGCATCACGTTCTTTGTGTGTACTTGCGGGCACGCATTTGAAAGTGTGTTCACGGCAAACTCAGAATAATACCTTGGGACTCCCGGGCTGCTAAACACACCCCTGTTTGTACGGGATGGGCCTGGGAATCCTTGGTACTGCTTATACCTTGCACTTCGTAGTCAATTGTGTTTTTCGTGTATTGGAGAGCAGTTAGGATATGATTCTTTCGCAAACTTGAAGCTGTGCGCGAGCTGACTCCTATTGTTTTAAACCACTGCTTCACACAGCTTTTTGACTGTCGTTTCTTTATTGTCTGTGCAGGACATGGCACTTCTGAGAAGCAACTTGAAAAATGTAAGAAAGTCTTTCATTCCTCTGAGGAAGAACTTCAAACATCGTGATTTCGTTCTCTCCGACACAGCCTACGAAGATGTGTGGAAAGAGGTGTTGAAGGATTTGGATCCGTACCTAAGGCAAAGTTGAAGTAATGCCAATGAGAGATTAGGTTACTCTCCACTTACACTGGAGAAAATCTGAGTTCCAATAAAAATAAGATCATTGCAAGGAATAACATAATTTTTATTATCAGAACACAACGAAGACAGTCCTTACGTTATATAAAACAGCAACCTGAAGATTTACTCAAACAGAGTGAACGAACATAAATTTGAGTTGAACTGTGCTGTCATATTCAACTCAGACTTAAGCCAGTCGCAAAACAAAAAAGAAAAAACTTGAGGAATCGTGCGCCTTTGAACACTATTGAGAAACAATAATACCTACTGTCCAGCTCTATCGTAATGTATTTGAACTAAATTAACATTAGTGGTTAATGCGACCAATTCTTCAAAATTTTGGACAGTAAAAGAGTCACCCACAATCAAATGCATGGGCGTGCACACCATTGCGTGCCAGCTTTCAAATTATCCATTACGCAGCAACACAGGCCCCTATTTAGACTCGAACTAGTTCCCTGTCGTATAATTTGCTATGAGAACAGACGTCCAACCACGTCTCGGCCTACGACTCTTCCGATTTCTGAAATTCAGTGCTTTCACACACACTGCACACCACAGTGACATTCAAGTCACTCTCGGCGAACATGTCCCACAGTTGGTGCACCTGCACTCTGCACGTGTCCCTGGTGTGACGGCAGGGAGCGTTGTGGCCGGTCTGCCGCAGTAGCACCATACGCCGGAGGCTCTGGAACCTCAACCTCCGCAGCTCCTCCGCCAGGTCGGGACAGCCGTAGGGCTCGTCGGACGCCGCCACCAACTGCAGCTCCTCCAGTGTGGCGGCGTGCGCGCGCATCAGGGCCAGCGCAGAGACCAGCGGGTGGACGCCGCAGCGCAGCCACTGCAGCCTCGCTTGGGCACCAGGGAAGGCCAGCACCGGCAGCGGGGCGTCCAGCGGGCAGTGTACCTCAAGGGGAAATCACACTGTGAATTTCAGTCAAATTTCGATGAATTTCAGCCGAATTTCGGTCAAAATTCGATGAATTTAAATCGAAATTTGTAGAAGAATTTTAGTCGACATTCTATGACTTTCAGTCGAAATTCGATGGTGAATCTCAGTCGAAATTCGACGGTGAAATTCAGACGACATTCGATGAATTTCAGTCAACATTCGATGAATTACTGTCGATATTCGATTAAGGGGGCTCATACATGTTAAAAGCACTTTTTAAAAAAAAAAATTTGATGTAGACGGATTGAGATTTTACAATTTCTGTGTTAAAATCCTTTTAGATAATTGAGTAAGCTTCATTTTGGCTTAAGGGAAAGTGACTTTGGACATTTTTTGGAGATTTAGTCGAAACGTTTAAAATTTTGCTTCTCGTAAGATTTTGTTCGCATACTTGCTCAGATCTGTGGGGAAAAAATCAGGGAGACTCATCCCCAGTAGTGTCATAGAATTGACTAGAATGGGCTTTATATCTGCAATAGTTTTCAAGAAAAAAAATAAAAACAATTTTTTGTTTAAAAATTTGTTTAAAAAATTGTTAAAAAAATTGTTTTTATTTTTTTTCTTGAAAACTATTGCAGATATAAAGCCCATTCTAGTCAATTCTATGACACTACTGGGGATGAGTCTCCCTGATTTTTTCCCCACAGATCTGAGCAAGTATGCAAACAAAATCTTACGAGAAGCAAAATTTTAAACGTTTCGACTAAATCTCCAAAAAATGTCCAAAGTCACTTTCCCTTAAGCCAAAATGAAGCTTACTCAATTATCTAAAAGGATTTTAACACAGAAATTGTAAAATCTTAATCCGTCTACATCAAAAATTTTTTTTAAAAAAAGTGCTTTTAACATGTATGAGCCCCCTTAATTTCTGTCAAAATTCGATGCATTTCAGTCGAATTTCGATGAATTTCAGTCAAATTTCGATAAATTTCAGTCGAAATTCCATGAATTTCAATCGAGTTTCGATGAATTTCGGTGTACAAACGAGGCCGAGTTATTTTCCCCTGGCGTACCTCCAGGCGGCGCAGCGAGGCCATCTGGCTCACCACCTGCAGCTGCTCCCCGGTGGCGCCGATGACGCTCAAGGAATGCAAGTGCGGCATGGCCTGCATCACATCGAGGTGCCGCTGCAGAGGGGCAAGGACCTGCAGGCCTTGCAGGCGAGGCGCCACCAGCTGCAGCGCCTTCTGGCTCCAGAACGGAGTGACCTTGCAGGGAAGGCCGGCCAAGAAACGCACCTGAGAAGAACAGCAAAAAGTCAACCTCATTACTCATTTGGCATGAAATGGTTGGGACCCACGGCAAAGTATAATTGGCATGACCAACGAGTCAGTAAAGTAAATTAATAAAAGCCCTGATGGAAATCGGAGGGGGCCATTCGAAGGCGCCGAACGCGTTTGGCCCCATCTCAACACAAAGCCGTTTCAACATCCGTTCACTTCCACTTTCCTCATTAGAAAAAATACTGAGCCGTTCAGAAGCCACACTGCAAACCTAACTGTGTGCTAAGCACGCACTTACAAATAAATGCTTGCAAATACACACCTACGAAATGCTTGGCCAAGTTAGCACTGTCAAACGCATGCGTGCAGTATGGAGTTCTACGGCGCCAAGCATGCAATTGTGTGTACTTCACAAGCACGCGTTTTTAAGTGCGTGCTAAGTAGACAGATAGGTATGTGGTGTATTATTACTGCGACTTTCCACCCACTGGAATGGTCTACTTTATCAGAAGACGTACCTGGGCAAGACTGCCATCCGTCAGCAAATTAGCCATGTTCTTGGGATGTGAGCTCGAGCTGATAGATTCCACTCCTAGAAAGTACTCTCCTTTGAGCGCTCCGATTGGCGGCTTCTGTAACAAAGACAAATCGACGCGTCTCAATAGAATAATCCTCATTAGCAGTGCACATCTAAAACGATGCAGCCTTTGTACGAAGTAATATGCGAGTTGACCCCTCGCCCTATCCCATATGCACTAGATGCATGCTTCTGTTAGCAATAGTAAGTGCATGCTTGCCAGGCATGCGCTAGCTAGAGCGTGCTTGCAGGCATGCTCCAGTTAGAGCATACAATGTGTACGCTCTTTGATTGGCGCGTTACACTGCATGAAAAAGTGTGAATATTCACACCATTTACGTGTTTCTTGGAAGTAAAGGCCATTTCTGATAAAAGATATAGCAAGAATTGTTGAAGGATTGTTGCGGTGGTTTCAAGCAGTGGCCATTACTTACCAACGGAGAGGGCAGCAGGCGTAGTGCACACTCATCAGACGTCAGTGTAAAAGAGTGAGAAGTATTGTAGTGATCCCTCGTGAATGACACAGTTAACCTAGGGAACGAGCAAAGGCCGTGGTCGACCTTGGTGACAGTGCCTGACCAACTCGACGACCGGCCTCTGTACGCCACCCTGGCGCCCACCACCATCCGCTTCAGCGTCTCCTCCGGTGTCATCTCCCAATCCCCCTCGTTGGAGCGTTCCCGCCAAAGCGGGGCTGCGGCAGAAGGGAGACACTCTTGAACGTTTGCAAAGGAAATTGCTTCACTCTCAGACTCGTATTGACTTTTTTCTCTCTATTATGGACAAATTTTTGTCCTTTGCTTACGCAGTATTTTAAGCAGCAATAATATGTAGTATTTCCTTTGTAACCATGTATAATAGTGTTCACAATGAAGACTAAATTGTCATTAATTATTGACTATTTTTGATGTCAATTGCGTATTGACTCTTTGCCAATAGCAAAGTGACTATAAGTCAATGTAAGGAACAAAATTTTACATAGACATTGAGGAAATAGTAAATTTTATTGCTGTTGTAAAACCCTCACCAAAGGATAAAAAGTCAATAACAGGCTAAGTGTGTTCACAGCACGATGTATTCTCTGACTTAAAATTACGAACACCCTTGCGAATTGCAAAGAAATGGTTTGAACAGTTGTCCCTTTTCCTTTTCAGAGCTGCCGTAAGAGGGAAGCAATTGCGAATTTCTTCAAACTATCTGACCGAGGGGGAAAGCACTCGCGTAATAGTCGGGTCACTCTGTCCGTAATAGCACGCGTAATAGTGTGCGTAATAGTAGCGTAATAGCCGAAATTCTCCACATTAGATCCATTTTGGGGGGTTTTTGGTCTGTTTTCAGCTAAATCCCTTTAATTTTGAGGCGTAATAGAGTGTCATAGACGTAAGAGTCGGGTCGCAGGTTTTAAGAGTGATTTCCCCCTCGTATCAGACATTGTCATTCGAGAGGTGCGCTCTCAGCATCGGCACAGTAGCCCACAAATATAATGTCGTAAAATTATTGGAATTTTTTTTTAAGGGGGGACCCTGGTGAAACTTTCAAGTAGGCTTCAAAATAATCCCAGAAAGTTGAAACTTTGCTTTATTATGAGGTTCATTATGGTGAGTTCCCAAAACAAAATTCAACCCAAAATGTTGAACGGTCTCTGAGAAAAGTGGCTTTTTAGTGTTTTTTGGAGTGTTGGGGAAAAATCTTCCTGCGTCTTTCATTGGGACGGAAAGTCTTGAAAATTTTTTTGGGTTATCCTAAAGATGTATAGAAGAGATTTTAGTGACGGAATTTTCAAATTCAACTTCTGTCCTGAAATATGAGTTTTCAAATTTCAACATTAATAAAAAAGTGATTTTTTTCCCTTTTTTCAAACTTTTAGGTGTGTTTAAAAAAAAGTAGGGCTGATATCAAGATTCCGTCACTAAAATTTGTCGACAAGTCATCAATGAATAGAGTCCATGCAAGACGACTCATGTAGGTGTCAACCAGGAACGCAGGAAGTCTTTCTACGACAAATTTTTTTGTCGACTGAGCAAAGCTGTGAAGTTGAGCGTAGAAGCCAACGACAACTGATCTCAATGTTATTTCCTTCCAAATGATAAAGAAACTACCCACTTAGCTTAAAGGTTGAACACCTGTTGAATTTGAAACCTTCTATGCACATTTTTATCTATGAACTTTGAAAATTCTATTTTTTGGAATTTTGGCGATTTTTTCACCAGGGTCCCCCCTTAAAGGACCAATAAAAATGGAGATTATATGGACAAACGCAAATAGGTATTACTGTTGCACTAAAGCCAGAGGTACGAACGACGGACTATCAATACCATCAATACCATCAACACCATGAATAGCGAGTCTTAGAGTGTAGACGGCGCATAAGAGGGAACCAATTTTATTTCACCAACTTCCGTCAAAAAACTGAAAAAAGTGGTCTGTCTTGCAAACATTGCACCTCGAATTTCTTTAATGATAGGGCCCCTTTACGGACCTTTTCATAAATGTATTAATAAAAATAGAAGCGCAATGTTTGCCAGACAGACCATTATCTTCCAGTTTTTTTGGACGCACTCCCATGCCAGGAACGTAACGTCACGTTGAAACGAACGTGACAAAATGTCACGTTCGTTTGAGCATTGTGTCACATTCGTTTGGATGTGAACAGGCTGACTTTTGGCGGATTCACGTCTAAACGAATGTGACACAATGCTCAAACGAACGTGACAATTTGTCACGTTCGTTTCAACGTGATGTCACGTTCCTGGAATGAGAGTGCGGAAGTTGGTGAAATAGAACGTCCTTTCTAAATACATTTAGCATGTTCTACATATTTTAATCAGAAAATGACAGCCCTCATCTACCGTCTACGTTTGAAAGTTCTAACGAATGTGGCAACCGAATCAAACGGCCCTCTCACGATCGAAGAAATGTGACATCTTATTCACACGAACATCAAAACTTCACATTTTAACGAAAACGGCCGTCACACTTGTTGAATCGCATTGGTCCACGTGCGCGCACACCAAGCAAGACTCACCGGCCGGGCGCTGCGGTTGTGGCTGCTGCTGCTCATGCGCCTCCTGCTCTCGCTGCAGCTCCCCGCTGCGCGCCAGTCGGTACAGCAGCATCCTGGCGGTCGCGTCCTCCGCGGTCTGCACCTCGCCGCGCCACGCCACCGCGGCGCCCGCATCCCGCCGGACAGCCAGGCTGCACCTGGCGGCGGGCTGGGACAGGTCGCTCACCAGCAGGGCCGTGCTCTCGGACACTCCTGCGGGACGAAGTGACACAAGTCAGAAGATAACCTACGTTAGAAGGGCTCTAGGTTCACTCTACGAAGCAACGCAAGTCTCGGAACATGTGAGCCATTAAACGTGAGCAAGGAAGAAGTTTTCCCAATTTCCGATTTCATATGACAAATAATTAGTTGGCTTCCGCTGTCAAACCAAGTATGGAGAATTCCATGTTACTGGTACTTAGTAAGGGAGGGTGGGGCACCATGACCACTGGGGCACCATGACCACCCCCCTCGCTCTCGGGAACTACTTTGCCGACGGCAACCGGTCGATCGGACTTTCGAGAGAATAGAATTCTAACTATTTTCAGCCAGAGCCCAACCTTCTAGCTTCAAGGGAACGACCATAGCACCTCGCCAAAATTTTTGTTACAGCGTTTTGGCTAAATTGAGCGTTTTTCAAATCTGAGATATTTTTAGGGGTTCCGACGAAGGAGGACCCCTATTGCCCGGGGCTCAGAATTCTTCTTCTACGGACCCCCCACGATGGACATTTCGCTCCCGCCATATTAATCCTTTTCATAATACAATAAAAAGTCCAGAAAATCTAAAAAATTTATCGTGGAAATTTTCCGTAAACGACTAAAACATAAATTTGCAACAATCAAGCACCCTTATCCGTTCACATTTTCCAGAAACGTTTCGAAGAAAAAATGTGCCACTCCTCAAAACTGAACTTCCTGCCTCATCAAAGTGACAAAAACTAATCACTGTTCTAAGAAAATGATAAAAACATGAAGAAAAAGTCTCCATGACAACGTCTCACTGCCATCGTACCAACTGTCAAAATTTTAAGTCCCTGATAAAAAGAAATGAAAACGCCGTAAAATTCGAAAATGCCAATGTTCACTCATTGCACACTGACAAGACATTTAAACATCATTCAAATCTGTCGTTAGTAAAAGGTTCGCAGCAGAAAAGACAGAATAAATAGATTTTCGGGGGTTGGCAACAATTTTCCCGGCGTCTTTCGAAAATCGCGAGGCTGAAAAAAACAAGTAGTCGCACATTGAAACTGCCTCTCCATTGTTGCTGAGGTTGGGTTGTTTGGCTCGCTTTTACAGGCTGCGGTTCTCTCTCAGCCCCAAAATATAAAATTTACTCCCTTCTTCGTATTTCTAACTTCAAATCTTCTTTCATTAACTTACATTATTTCCACAACCGGAACACCGTGCAATGCGTAAGCATTGGAATTTTTTCTCACTCTCACATTTGAGGAGATAAGTTCGATGTCTCAGGTTTTTATCAAAATGTTGGCTCTCCGGCAAAATATCCAACATCACATTTAATTCTAAGTAGCTGATTGCTTGCTCGGGGAGCCTTAGAGTCGTAAACTGCATTGTGGGGAGCCATGACCACTTTTTAGTGGGGCACCATGACCATACATATTTGAGTGTTTTAAGGGGTTCCGACGAAGGAGGACCCCTATTGCACGGGACGGCTCAGATTCTTTTCCTTCCGCCGACGCAAATCTGAAAATGGTTCCCGCCAAATTACTCCTTATCATAAAAAAAATGAAAATTGCTGAAAATTTCGAAAATTTCTCGTAAGAATTTAACGTAAACGACAAAAACATAAATTTGCAACAATGAAGCACCCTTATCCCTTCACATTTTCCAGAAACGTTTCAAAGACAAAATGTGCTTCTCCCCAAAACTAAGCATCCTGCCTCATCAAAGTGACAAAAAATCATGTCTGTTCTGACAAAATAGTTAAAACATGAAAAAAAAGTCACCATGGCAACGACACGGTGTCATCGTACCAACTGTCAAAATTTAAAGTCGCCGATAAAAAGAAATCAAAACGCCGTGAAATTCGAAAATGCCAATGCTAACGCATTGCACGGTGTCCCGACATTGGAACATCTTTGAAGTCTGTCAGTAAAAAGTTCGTAGCAAAAAAGACGCAATAAATTAATTGTCGGGGGTTGGCAACAATTTTCTCGGCGTCTGCGCCCTTTCGAAAATCGCGAAGCTGAAAAAACGAGTAGTCGCGCATTGAAACTGCCCCTCCATTGTTGCTGAGGTTGAATTGTTTGGCTTGCTTTTAAAGGTTGCGGTTCTCTTGTGATGTTTTCCTCAATTCTGTAACCAGCACGACGTTGGTTTGACGAACTTTATAAACTCGGGAGAGGTGGTTTCGAAACGCGGATGACTTTCGTTTGACGAACATGAGCCCTGTAAATCGCGAGATCGCGAGATGGACTGAGATGGTCATTGTGTTAACTGAATCAGGTTTGGGGATGTAAAAATGCCGGTAGGATTCAAAGTTACGTAAATAACGGTAAAATTAACGTAATTAACGTTTAGACGACAGACTTCAAATTCATTTCCACAACCGGAACACCGTGCAATGCGTTAGCATTGGAATTTTTTCTCATATTTTGGCCTGATAATGATTTATTTTCGTCGAAAATTTGCTTTTTGCTTCTGAAAATGTATAAAGGTTGAATAATTGCTGCAGAATAGATAGTTTTATCACAAATCGTGAATCACCAAGATGATTAAGAATGGTTCTGAGGTTCACGGTCATTTTTCCCAATCCTATTTTCCCAACAGAAATTTTTCCCTAAAACTGTAATGCCCAAAAAAAAGTTGTCCAAAATATTTATTCCTATTTTCCAAATTTTCCAAATGTATTGAAGTTCCATAAAATAAATTCCCAAAGGAAAAAAAAAAACAATTTATAGCTGGAAGTGGTGGCCCAGGGTTCGGAGGTAGTCCAGGACTCGGTGCTCATCCTTGTAGGTCTGGTAGTCTCCAACGATGGTGCGGATGCGGGTTTGAAGGTCACGCCACTTCTTCTTCGGGGCCAGCTTCACCTTCCTTCCCATCCTGACCTCCATGAGGATGGTCTCCGTGTCCCCCTGCTCCTTCTTCAGTTCGCTGAGGCAGGAGTACAGCGAAGGGTGCCCTGCACTCCTTCTTCCTTATGCAGATCCAGTAAGTCCTCCCCTTCTTCACGTCCTTTCGGTAAAATATGTGTCCCTTGTACAGTAATTGTGTCCCCCCCTTTCGATTTGTCAAAATTTCGGCGTCCATCTCAGCCAACCCGCCACCAGTTTGTTCTGGCCCGCCACTAACAATCGAAAGTACTGCGAAGGCAGAGGTACCAACCATGCAACAATTCCACCGCCCTTTGGAAATCAGTTGATTCGGAGGGAAAATAAATATTGGGAAATAGATCTTTTGGAACAAATAAGACTTTGGCAAAACACAAATTGGAAATGTCCACTTTGGAACTTTTATATTTTGGGACTTAATTTTTTGGGAATCTGGTTTTGGGAAAAATGGGCGGGAACGGGTTCTGAAACTGAGACATGAAATGGTAGTTTCTCTTGCAGAGCTCCAAACCGCAAAAGTTGGCCGCGAAGGCGATCCGTGGCTACTTTGCACCAAGATGGCTGTGGCATTATGAGAAACAGCACTTAATTCACTTGTTTGCAGTGTAGTAACCGCGATAATTTTCTCAAAATTTACCAAGTTGAAATCTGCATACGAATTTGGACTCGTCAAACATAAAATGTTAACACATGTCATAGCTTTGGATGTGAAATTTGAAAGCCTTAGAGCGTTAACTGTTTTAAACCGTCCATTTTAAGGCATCTTAGAACGTTTGATACTTCAAAGGTTTTTACAGTGTTTTTTAGTTAAGTTGACTGGCCTGATGGTAAGGACAGAGATATAAACAATTTCAATGAGAATACTGGTAGAAAGTACACTTTTTTGGGCCAAAAAATTACTATGGTCATGGTGCCCCACGGGGTGGTCATGGTGCCCCATAGGTGGGGCGCCATGACCACTTTGCGTTTTATTTTCCAAAGTGTTCTGTGAGCCTGCCGTGCATTGCAGACAAGTTCCAATGGGTGGAAGAGGTCCTTGGAGGTCCAAAGAATCCCCTCATGCTGGAAACTTAACTTTTCGAACCACACGGTGGAGTAGAGGGAGGCACAAAAAAAAAAGTGGTCATGGTGCCCCACCCTCCCTTAAGTCTCCGCACTTGGCTGTGTAGAGTTCGCAGTCTTCAAACTTCAAATGAGAAGTTGCTCACAGAGCTCCAATCTCTTCAAAGAGTGACCCAAAATACACTGGTAGCCGCCGAATGTGACGTCATATTCGTAGCAGTGTGAATTTTGTCACGTTCGTTTGAATCTGATGTCACATTTGTTTGAACGTGACTTGACCGTTTAAGTAGGGTGTCACATTCGTTTAAACGTGAATCAACAATCAAACGAATGTGACAAAATTCACATTCAAACGAATATGACGTCACATACGTTGGCTACCAGTGAAGTGCACGTTCCACACCTCCGCATTTTAAATATGGTACAGTGTCCTCAGATTTGTTAGCAGGTCAGGACAAATCGAATAATTTCGTTACGGTGGCTGCTAGAAACGAATCCAACCGCAGCCCTCCCCCCCTCCCCCGGTCTCTTCCTTGTTCTCTCTCTTCAGAACTCTAATGGGAGTGGTATATATGACACTACACGAATCGGATGCGACCTGCGTTACGCGAGTGCTCCCTTCTTACCAGCCTGCACTGCGGCCTGCTTGGCCTGCTCCCAGACGGCCGCGTCCGCTTCCAGAGCGTCCTCCAGGCGTCCGCGCGCTGCCGCCAGCCCGGCCTTCTCCCGCACCAGCTGGCGGTGGAAATCGCCCAGCGTCTCGCCCATCTTGTCCAGGACCGCCTCGCCCTGTCGGCGGAGATGTAAAAATCACACTCTCAGACTCGTATTGACTTTTTATCTCTTGCCATAAAGGTTTTTGTGCAAACGTAATATGTACTATTTTCTTTTTAGCTATGCACTATTTTGTTTATTATATAATGTACTTAGTCCATTAAACCGGACTTCTTGTCGTTTGCAATGTACGTTTCAATTTCTACATGATCTATTGACAATTTTATCTTTATTAGGATCAAAATTGTGCATAGTTAAGAAGAAAATAGTACAGTTTACGTTTGCTCAAAAAACGCAATAAGCAAGAGAGAAAAAAGTCCGTATAGGTCTGAGAGTGCATGGACTTTCTGCACAAATCGAATCTGCTCAAAATAGATTTTTTTTTTCACGGTAAAAACGATTCCTGGTTTTCCCAGGAACTCCCTGGAAATGGTCCGTCTATACCTTCACCATTGGCTTCTTGGAAAAACCAGATCCCGTTTTTACCGTGTACCGAATCGAACCAATAAATTTTCGAATCAAATGAAGTCGGCCAAACAAAGTGTGGCCATATCGAAAATTTCAATCTTTGGGCATGGAAATGGATTTTGGCACTGCTTCGAATCGGATCAGATCAGGGCCGATTCGATGCGAACAATGGGCACACAGACTCCCTAGACGTTTCGTAGAATACTGTCAAGTCTTCAAGCGTATTTCTACGCTCGTATGAAGCGTTAGAACTACGCTCTAGTTTCACCAGATGCTTAATGCAATCCTTGACAAGAGCACACTTACATCCACTTGGCAAATAGGCACTTAACCGCACACACTCAACTACTATGTAGTTATTTTCTTGAGCTTAAGCTAGGAACGAAACTGCATTCGTTTCAAAATGCACTTATTCCAAGCACTAAAACGTACATTTACGTGCGTAATTGCGCACAAAGTCGTGCAGTTTGAAACACATGCAAAGTTTCGTGCAGAGGTTATGAAAAAAAAATGCAAGGGAATTTAGCATGCATTTTTCGCTCCGTGAGCTTCATGCTACGCGCGCTTCTACGTGATCACTTGCCAGGCATTCATTTGTGAGTGGCATTTGTAAGAGTACTTGCAGTCGAAAGGTTTTGCAGTGTACCTGGCGGAGCGACGCTAGGAGCGGCCCCGCATCCTCGACGCGGGCTTTCTTGAGGCTGCATACCGAGTGCTCTTCCAAACAGTCTGCGGTCGCATCCTTTTCGCAGTACAGGCACCAGAGGCGGATGGCAGCAGCCCCGGTAGCAAAAACAACGGGTCTAAAAGAAGGGGAGCAAAATGAAAAACCGAACACAGCAACACACTTGCACTCTGGTCAAGAGGTGCTGAAAATACGCTCTTAAACGCATGCAAAGAAAAGGACTTTGCAATAAAGAGTATTTTCCGGCATTGTAATACAAACTCTCTTGCGAACGATTTCCTTCACATCGCAAGAAACAGTTTGCACGTTGCAAAGAAAAAAGTTTGCGACGTTGCGAAGCATCGGTTTGTAACGTTGCAAAGCATTTCCTATGCAAGTTGCAAAGAAACACTTAGGCAATAGTTTTTAAGAGAGTTTGCGATACAATGCCGGAGAATACTTTGAAGGGTTTTTGGCTGAGCGATTGCGAAGCCCGTTACTCAGGTGGGGTTGAAAAGTTTTTCCTGTCTGCGTGCGTGTGTGTGTGTCCGCACTATACCTCCTGAACGGCTCAGCTGATCTCGGTGAGATTTTGCACACTTTTTGGCTGAGCGGTAGCGAAGCCCGTTACTCCAGTGCGGTTGAAAAGTTTTGTCTGTCTGTCTGTGTGTGTGTCTGTGTGTGTGTGTGTGTGTGTACACTACTCCTCCTGAACGGCTCGGCCGATCTGGCTGAGATTTTGCAGGCTTATAAGGTATGTTCTTGGCTCGGCACACGCGAAATTTCACTATCCTAGCTCAACTGGTTCAGTTTTTATAGCCGAAAAACACCCAAAAAACGGCAAAAAATCGAGTTGTCTGCAGGTAGATCACCTCTGTCTTTTAGAAAGGGGGGTCTGGGGGGCGGAGCCCCCCAGCCTCGACAAGTTAAAAAGCGACAAGGGTCAAGATCGTGTTGTCTGTAGATGAAGCAACTCTAACCAGAATTAAGGGGGGTCTGGGGGGCCAGCATGCAACAGACCGACGATGGACAAGCCAATGCCTGCCGAAGGCAGGCTAGCGCCGCAGGCCAAGGTAGGTACGCCAGGCGCGGATTGGAGGAACAGGCCGCGAGACATCGCGAAGCCTGTTACGACAAGACGCGGTCTGGCGTAAACCTACCTTGTTAAGTATGTCCTTGGCTCGGCACACGCGAAATTTCACTATCCTAGCTCAACTGGTTCAGTTTTTATGGTCGAAAAACACCTTAAAAACGGCGAAAGATCACTTCTGTCTTGGAGAAAAGGGGGTCTGGGGGATCGTGTTATCGGTAGATAAAGCATCTCTATCTCGAATGTAAGGGGGTCTGGGGGGTGGAGCCCCCCAGCACGCAACAAGTTAAAAAGTTCCGCCAAGGCAAGCTTAGCAAAGCGGTCTTGCCGTGGACCGGCCGGGGAGGCCGGGCAGAGAGGGGGCAAGAAGGGTGGGGGTGGCTGTGAGGAGTGGGGACTGGCGCGGCGCGGCGGCGTGGCGTGGCGGCGCAGGACGACGACAGACGACGACGACGACCAACACGACCATGCAGTCCCCTCCGAGCGCGCTGAATGGATGGATGGGTGGATGGGATGGGATGAGTGGAATCGGATGCAGAGCTAGAAGCGGTAGCAAGACCGCTTAAAAATAACCGACAATGGACAAGCCATTGCCTGCCGAAGGCAGGCTAGCGCCGCAGGACAAGGTAGGTACGCCGGGCGCGGATTGGAGGAACAGGCAGCGAGACATCGCGAAGCCTGTTACGACAAGACGCGGTCTGGCGTAAACCTACCTTGTCTAAGTGTACTCTTTATCAAACAAGAGACCTAGGCGATTCTTCCTTCCTTTAGTGGCCACAAATAGAAAGTCAGCACTAACAAAGCAGTGACTTACCTGCTGCGCGCATCAACTAAGCTCCAGTTGTCCACCAAGTCATCCGGCGAAGACTCGAAGACCTGCAGAAATTAAGCTAATTATTTACGAGACGTAACAATCCCAACAGCAAGAGCATATTTCAGAGCCAGAGTGTCACTTGGACGTAAAGAGAAAGAAGTACCGTGTTACATCAAAGTTTTTATGAACACATAAGTTTACAAAGAAAAAAACCTTCGTAACGATCTGATACTTTCCAAGGCAAACTAAGTTGTTTATGCTTCACATATGCTCAAAATACTGCCTCAAGTTTTAAACGTGTAGGAGTTCAATTGGAGGCAATGATAATTTTAACGACTTATTATCACACTTGGATTTAAGGTATCAATTGCAAAGAGAACTCACCTTGCTGTCTAACGGGCACTTCCTGTTACGCAGGTTATGAATGCACTTCAGGCAAAACGTGTGTCCACAAGGTAACACCTTCGGCCGGTGGCTCGCGGCGTCGAACTGCTCCAGGCACACCTGGCACTCCATCTGGGCAGAGGTTAAAATTGGTGTTCAGGGGGAAGTTCACAATTTGATAATCTGCGCCGTGCCTTTAAGACAAAACATAATCAGTTTACGCTTGAAGTCAAGCGTAACAGGCTCATCGGCCAAGATTCTCCCTATGCAAATGCGTGGGGGACTGACTTTCCAGAGATTTTTCATTTCAAGCGTAACGTCTTCAAGCGTAACTTTATGCTTGACTCAAGCTTAGAGTTACTCTTTAGTTTTACCAGTGAAGTGTGAAACTACCCCACACGAGGATTGGCACCGGGAGGTGCACGAAACGGATCGGAAAATGATTCGACAAATGAGCATAATAAACTTGAACAAATTAGTTCGTACCCCTCCCCCGTAAACGACGCCTGCTTCCAGGACGGAAGCAATAAAGAACCGCGGCAGCCACGGGGTGCCACTTCCTCACAGCCTAGAAACAAAGGGGCCGTTAGATTAATATGTGGGAAGTGCTGTTCACATAGTCAGAGTCTACTCAGCAAACTCAACAGTGTACTCAGTACACTCTCTTCAGCGTGTACTCACGAGTACACTTTCTTCAGCGTGTGCTCACAAGCACACTCCCACGAGCGTGTACTCAACTGCATGTATTAAATGGATCTGAGCACACTCTCGTTAGCGTGTACTCATCTAGGCACACTCTCATTGGAGTGTACTCATCTAAGCACACTCTCGTCAGAGTGTACTCATCTGAGTACACTCTTATAAGAGTGTACTTGTGAGTACACTCTTGTAAGAGTGTACTTGTGAGTACACGCTGAACAAAGTGTGCTGAGCACACTGTTGAGTTTGCAGAGTAAATGGATGTCGTTCTTCTCTCTTGAAAGTTAGTTTTATTATTTCTATCATTCTAATAATTACAACGAACAATCTATAGTCCTTATGTAACAATACTTTTGGTGTAGATCTCTTTAAATGGAATAACCAATTGATGTTCCACTGAGGATGAAAACGTCTTGATTATAATACCAAATTTGGATTGAAACGATATCCCATTGTGTGAAACATACCGGCTCTAAGGATGGTCTCAGATCATATCACTTCACTTCAGTCATCGTTCGGGTTTGGAAAGATCAAAGGGAGAGGAGGACAAGCAAAGAATCAACTTGCAGTCTACCAGTTTAAATGGAAGCCAACTGAACCTCTCAGATGACTATGACACTTTTCGTGTTGTCTTACTCAGGGTTTTACATGCAATGGACAAGGACAACTTGTCTAGCTTAATAAAAGATGGTAATGATGATTTGTTTCGTAACATGGAGGACGAGGAGGACTTTGAACCCCCTTTGAAAAGAGGCCTATTGGAAATAAGAGACCAAGGTAACGAGTTCCATTAGTTACTTGAAGATGACGATTTGTTCTAATATTGTCTAATAATGTCTAATATTCCTCTTTTTACTGTGTTGATGGTGTTATGAGCGAATGATGGAATAAGTGGGACGAAAAGATCATAAGTGGTGACATTGTTTTTGAGCAGCCATGGCTGGACATCACAATTAATAAATCCAAACTTAGTATTCCGACGATGGAAGCGGGGGGGGTCAGCTACTGCTGACATGTATGCGGTGTTAGACCGGCTCAAATTTCCCGAAGGTATGAAATGTCGATGCGCGGAAACGGAATTCGGTTCCTTTCCGGATTCTAAGACTCTGGGAATTTTTCGGGATTTTTGAGGTCACCGGAAGTGGTCCCGCACGGCAGGGTAAGTTAGGCGCACTGCCTATTGATAGACCAGTAGTAAAGCGGCCTTCATATTCATTTTACGGGCATATTCCATGAAACAAAAGTTGTCAGAAATGGTCAAATTAATAAAAATAAGTGATGTCTGATTTCGGAAACTCAACATTTGCAATCTGGGTGCCTACCTGTAAGGGGCAACTGGTGTCTATTTTCGCACTGAGCCCCAAAATGAAGTGTATCAGGACGGAAAATCGTTTTGAAAATCGATTTGGCCCTTCTGGTGGTGCTATTTTGAGTGCCTAATCCCCGCCCGGTCTAACGGATTAATTGGAGGCCTTTAATGAGTATTGGCTTGTTTACGTTTGGGGGCGCGGACTGTGGTGAAGTCTGGTTACTTCTCGTTTTACTCGGTGATTTGCGAAGATCCAATCCCTGACACAGCATTAGCGCGGAAACTAGAACCGCACCAAAGCCACGCGGCGAAGGGCTGGAGCGCGGTGATCCGGTGCACTGCGAGGAAAGTCTACATGAGACCGAAGGCAAGACTGTTAGTTTTTAAGAGTTGGTTGGGAAAATAACGTAAGTGTCGTTTCATGTTAAAGCTAGTATAAATCTATTGGTGCCATTCATATAAGAACACTTCTAAACCTGGGAGTGAGGAGCGAGCCCACTAACAGTCTGCCTCACTTAAATTTGAACTGGCATATACGTAGAGTAACGCGGCAAGCGAGTTTTTACGACGTTTTTGACGAGAAGTGTACGCATGACGAAAAGCTCGTCCTATTCCGAATCTGCTTAGCTAAGTCAACGGTCTACTTAATACGCACTCTTCGGCGTGCACCCACAAGCGCACTCCCACGGGCGTATAGGACTCAATTTAACACACAGTAGAATGTACTCAGTTGTGCCCTGGGAGTATACTCAAATGAGTGCACGCTCGTGACGATCAATTTATTGGTCACAAACGGTTCCGAGTAGGATGAATCTCTAAGACTAAAGTAAGTACTTGCGAAATCAGTTTCAACCGGGTCCATGCGAATGTGCGTTGGTGAAGCGAAGTAATCAAATCGCTAACTTTCATCGCACGAACAACATTTCAGTAAAGATCGGTTGGAGGTAGGGAAAAGTAAATCACAATGAAAGAGTTCTTGTTCAGAATAACATTTCAGATTAGACAGGCTAAAGGCCTGTCCATCTGGCGTTCTCTTTTACGTTCTCGTGCTTTTCACCTTCTCGACTGAATCTTCGGAAATTACCGAAAAAGTCAAAGAAACCGAGTTTAGCCACGAAACGGGCGCCCAAACGTAAACAAGACAATACTCATTAAAGGCCTCCAATTAATCCGTTAGACCGGGCGGAGATTAGGCACTCAAAAATAGCACCACCAGAAGGGCCAAATCGATTTTCAAAAAGTTTTCCGTCCTGATACACTTCATTTTGGGGCTCAGTGCGAAAATAGACGCCAGTTGCCCCTTACAGGTAGGCACCCAGATTGCAAATTTTAAGTTTTCGAAATCAGACATGACTTATTTTTATTAATTTGACCATTTCTGACAACTTTTGTTTCATGGAATATGCCCGTAAAATGAATATGAAGGCCGCTTTACTACTGGTCTATCAATAGGCAGTGCGCCTAACTTACCCTGCCGTGCGGGACCACTTCCGGTGACCTCAAAAATCCCGAAAAATTCCCAGAGTCTTAGAATCCGGAAAGGAACCGAATTCCGTTTCCGCGCATCGACATTTCGAACCTTCGGGAAATTTGAGCCGGTCTAATGCGGTGTACTGTGAGCACCAAAAACCCTCCAGCTCCAGACATGTTTCAGTGTGAACTGTGCAGAGAATGGTACCATCAAAAGTCTGTCGTGAACCAATCACCTGCAGTGAAATGGAAGGAATGATACCCACAGCATCAGTAAGGTAATGCTGAAAATTTGTAATTTGTATTCTGAACCAAATAATTTAAATTAAGTAGAGCTTCAACCTTAAATTGAAGAAATAGAAACCCTGCCACACCCTTATGATTGTATTTCAATTTCTGGACTGTAGTTGATATCCAGTCACTATATTATGAAGAATGATAGTTGGCTGGATTTTAATTACAGGAACAAAGGTCTAGGTGGGAACATAAAATTAAAAGGAAAGATTCCCCACTGACATTAAAGTCAAGTCTATGTTCAGAGCACTTTTGTCCGGAGTGTTTTGATGAATATTTTGAGGTCAAACTAAAGGGTGGCACAATTAATAAAATTCCTCGAGATAGGGCTAGACTTATATCTGCCGAAGTTGATCCCACCATCTTCAAGGACAATCCTATTTACCGTCAACGGCGGTAACTTGGGACACCGGGGGTCACTTGGGACAGTCTGCCCCAACTGGAGCATGCCTGCAAGCACGCTCTAGCTAGCGCATGTCTGTCATACATGCACTGACTAGTGCATACATGCCATGTGCACGCTAACTGAAGCATGCATCTAGTGCATACGGGATAGAGAGATGCCTGCATCAGGAAGCGTGTACACGGCGTGTATGCACTAGTAAGTGCGTGCTTCGCAAGCATGCGCCAGCTAGAGCGTGCTTGCAGGCATCCCGCGCGAAAGGATCAGTAGTCAAACTGTATTTGAAACTGCAGTGGCTCATCTGCAGTTCCTTTCTGCAGTTCTTTACTGGCCTTGAATTGCATTTTAAGTGCCATCAGTTCTGTATTGCTGGCATGCTTTAAGCATCATAAACCATAATTTTCGTGCCCATTTCAGATGTTTTTGCAAAGGATTTTAATTGGCTTTATTCACACATGGCTTGCTGAATTATTTTTCTTCAAACTGACAAATTGGTCCTAAAATAAGAAACCTGCCAGATGTGACTCCATAGTATAATCATCTTTTTAGAAGTGTGGGATGACACTTGTGAGTATTTAATGATTGTCATGCAAATCAATAACAGTTTGCCTGCATCGCTACTATTTTATGAACATTTTTTTTTATAAATTCAGGTTTAATGAGCAGTTAGCAGCTACAAACTCATACCAGCTCTCTCAGAAGGCTCTGCATTGTACAAACCTTCTACTTGCTACAATTCCAAGTTCTGGCTCATCTCAGATGTAAAATCTGTCAGTTAAATGAATGTCTTATCTTTGTATCCTTTTTTAAATTTTCTCCTTTGAAAGCCATTTAATTGACTGGTTGCTGAGGTAATTCCGAACTCCTTTCTGGAGTGACCGGCTTTCTTCCGAACTCTTTCTCAGTGGATAAGTTTCCTTCCGAGCTCCTTCTGAGTGTACGGTTTCCCTCCGACCTCCTTAAAGGAGGGAGTTGAAGGAGGAGGCGGAGTCGTTGAGAAGTGCGGAGAGGAAGAGGAAAAGGGAAGAGGAAGAACGAGAGGAAAATCAGAGACATGTCTCTTCTGCAGAAGGTGGAGGAGAAGGAGAACGCGAAGAAGATGGAGGAGGATGAGAGGAAAAAGGAGGAGGAGTGGAAATCCTCCGGCACCCCTCCGGGTCCACAACCAGATGATCGAGGCCAACCCCCAGTCGATCAACTCTGATAGTTCGTTAAAGGCTGAACGATGGCGCAGCTCGTGTCTCGGCTGGGGTTGAAAAAAATTGTCTGCCTGTGTGTCAGAACAACTGCTCGTGAACGGCTGGGTCGATCTGGCTGAGATTTTGTAGGGTCGGTATGTACTTGGCTCACCGCACACTGATATTCAGCGTAACATCTAGATCCAATCGATCATTCTAGTTTAAAAACAATTAAACGGTAGAATAACTAAAAAATAACGAACGTTCTCACGCCAAGTTTCACAACATTTCCTTTGTTTTGGAGGGTGCTGATGGCGAAAATGAAACCCTTTTCGACCTCTGCCCCAGGTTCGAAGCTCAATAGGGCATAATGTAACCGAAATTCCGAGGGTGCCAACCCATAAATAGAGTTTGACCAGCGAACCCCGTCACTCCGTACTTAAAAGCAATTTTGACAGAGACGTCCAAAATTTATTTTAGGGCTACTTTGAACCCTATTCTAAAGGACTACAGAGAGATAATTTATCATCCTTAAGTGAAGCAAATATTATAATAAATAATCCCGATTGCAAATGTTTGCTTTAACTTTTGATTGCCAACCAACATCACTGTGAAGTAATCTATGTTTATTTATTACAAAGCACCACATAGCCATAGGGGAAATCAATGCATTAATTTATGAAAAATGTGACACGTAAGTTTATATATAGTAGGAGATTCCGAAAACTGAACACTCTTTTTGACATTAAGTTAGTTTGCAGCCCTGATAGAAAGGCAGATATCTTACGCCATAGAATGTGAGTAATGGAAGTGCACTGAAAGCAAAGATGCTCAAATATACCATTAATGAACTTTTTTTTCACCATTTTAGGTGCACGCAACTGGCTGATTGACAACGACGCTCAATTCAAAATTGCTGCTGAGACCGGGGCCACCGAAACTATGCACAAATGTTTGACTGAAGTCTACATGAAAATGTTAAGTTAACAGGCAAGAGAAGAGTAGAGAAAAGAGATCCATAATGGCTTGTCTTAACCCTACTATCTAGAACTTGACCCAAGAATAATTTCTTGAATAACACTTCTCTCAGAACGTGCAGCTATTATGCAAAAGTTTGACTTACGATTATCTAGGTCAGAAAAGCTGAGGAAGTTGTCCGTTACGGTCCAAGTTCATTAGAAAACTTCTTCAAGACCTTGAAAGCAACTCCCATGTTGAACAGACCAAGCAATTTCAAAATTGATCTTAATTTCAAAATTGATCTTAATTAACTTGTCAGGTTTTGGTGCCCCTGACGCTGAAGATGATGTTGATCTCCTGAGGAAGCATGTGTCTATTAAATGCAGAAAGGATAGGGATGCCCTGATGTTTAAGGGGGGACCCTGGTGAAACTTTCAAGTAGGCTTCAAAATAATCCCAGGAAGTTGAAACTTTGCTTAATTATTAGGTTCATTATAGTGAGTTCCCAAAACAAAATTCAATCCAAAATGTTGAACGGTCTCTGAGAAAAGTGGCTTTTTAGTGTTTTTTGGAGCGTTGGGGAAAAATCTTCCTGCGTCTTTCATTGGGACGGAAAGTCTTGAATAATTTTTTGGGTTATCCTAAAGATGTATAGAAGAGATTTTAGAGACGGAATTTTCAAAATCAACTTCTGTCCTGAGATATGAGTTTTCAAATTTTAACATTAAAAAAAAAGTGATTTTTTTCCCTTTTTTCATACTTTTAGGTGTGTTTTAAAAAAAGGAGGGCTGATATCAAGATTCCGTCACTAAAATTTGTCGACAAGTCATCAATGAATATAGTCCATGCAAGACGACTCATGTAGGTGTCAACCAGGAACGCAGGAAGTCTTTCTACGACAAAATTTTTTGTCGACTGAGCAAAGCTGTGAAGTTGAGCGTAGAAGCCAACGACAACTGATCTCAATGTTATTTCCTTCCAAATGATAAAGAAACTACCCACTTAGCTTAAAGGTGTTCAACCTGTTGAATCTGAAACCTTCTATGCACATTTTTATCTATGAACTTACAAAATACAATTTATTGGAATTTTGGCGATTTTTTCACCAGGGTCCCCCCTTAACCCCACGCTAGAGAACTACTTGATGATCTATAATCTATAAAAACGGCGGAAAAAAGACAGTCTTGAAGATACTACCAACTTTGTGTCAAGTTTCATATCGTTGCCCGATGACAAAAATGGAACCCATTCTGACCCCCGACCAAAAGTTAAGTCCCATTAATGTACATTTTGGGCACCAAAAGCTACTTTTAGTGGGGATCACGCCCATATCTACGGTCTGTCTAGGGAAGCAGTCTGCCGAAGGCAGTCTAGCGCCGCAGGCCAAGGTAGGTATAAACGCCAGGCGTGAATTGTCGTAACTGGCGCAGCATCGCGATGCCTGTTACGACAAGACACGGTCTGGCGTACACCTGCCTTGTTTCCTATCAACAGAGAGTCATGTGGACTCTTCCATGTTCGTCTAAAATGAGGAAGTAGAAGAGGTCAAGTTGAGTTGTATCTTTTCAAAGTGGATTTCCTCCGTGACTGCTAGGAATTGAATCAAATAATGAGGTGCAGAATTCAAACTTCTCTAGGCATAAAATAGAAGGCAAACTTAAAGTCGATTTGGGGATAAGGCGATTTATTCCCTTCTTCCCACTTCCTGGATCATTCGTACAGGAGCACTTAGTGTGCACATCCTCCACTGATAAACCTAACACCGCACCAACTGGTGTGGTCGAATGGGTGCCATTTTGACCGCATCAGTGGGTGTGGTCATTGCATGGGAAGAACGCATTAAACTTGGTCTGGACCACACCAAATGATGCGGTCAAAATGGCACACATTTGACCAAACCAGTGGTGTGGTCTAGACCGACCACGTTTGATATTTCAGAGTCCGAAGTACTCTTTAGGCTGGTATAATGCACGCAATCTTACGTGTGTAGGTTCATTATTTATGCTATAACGCCACCTTTCAAGCCACGGAGCGTCTCCTGACTTGCTCCGAAGTACCCAACACACACTTCGGCCCTTTCAAAACGATGTATTGAAAGTTACGGATTGTGTTAGGCAGCCTTAACACGGCCAAAGTTTAGAATGTAGTAGCGCATTTCAGTCGTCACCGATCGAAGAAGAAGAAGAAGCACAAAACCGGAAGCCGGGAAGAAACGGAGTAGGTATCAAACCCGGTCCAATCGAGAAATGTCGACAAATATTTATACTTCCCGAGCCAAAAAGTGTTTGAAACAAACGATAGTGCTTTTGAAGGAGATGCGCCACAGAAAACTCAAAAACTAGTCCACTCGTATAAGTCTTGGAGGTTATCTTGCCAGAGCTAGTTCCGACTTCTTCGATCGTCGACGACTCGAATACTCTATAAAATTGTCTCTGTTCTCAACAGGGTCGACCCCTCCCCCCCCTTTTCCATGAAACGCACTTCTTTCTTTTGATCGACTTCCGGTCCAGGGATACGTTAATAGGGTACGTTCGTAGATCCCTGAACGGGAAGCACACAGACGCCATGTTGGCGGAAGTAGATCAACTTGACATAGGAACGAGACGACACTCAAACGTATCGGCCACACTTGAACATTAACAGTCGTTTTATACTTATTTGCAGTGCATGTGTGTCCCGCGAGCAACATTTGTACAGCTCCGCTATAGCTTTGGATTCGGAAAGAGGTTAGTTTCCGGCCAATATGGCGTCTGCTTGCTTCCGGTTCAGGATCTACGAAAGTACCCTATACCTTGTTGTGACCGATATATTTTACTATCGCCTTGGGCGCATGTCACGTCATGGTCTACTTCCGCTTACGTGGTGACTACTGCCTTCCGGTCCATGATCCATGGAAATGCCCTACATTCTTAACTTTCGGCTACCACATCTTCGGTATTATGTTTCGCAAACCTCATAACCGAAATTACGGTAGGTCGGGAGTAGCTGCACGCAAGAAATGCTGCCGAATTTCCGTACGGAAATTTGCGCTACTTAGCGCACAATCAAATGATCCACGAAGCGGAAGAAGGGATTAAGTCGAGTTGAATCCGTGCACTTATGAAAGGCCTGAACCTTGCAGGTGGAGGAACAGGTGGGGAATGTCATTAAAAAATAGACGCAAGAGGATGGGACTTGTCTCACCACACTTATTTTTTGACCAAATTTTCGCTCACGTTTACTTGATAGACTGATAAGAGGTCACTGAATCAACTAGACTTAACCCCTTCTTCCGCTTCATGGATCAAATGGGACAGTCATCTTCACTCCCAAGAAGTGGTCTTGCGTACATGATAAACGTTGCTGCCACCATTACCGCGTTTGAGCTTGACTCCAGTTAAGTCCGACATCTCACCCGGAAACCTCAAATCGGTGCGTCTTTACACTGAAAATCTACCGGCGTGACTTCGTGCCGCTGCAGGGGCGTGAATAAAGTGTCACGTCAATGAACGGCATGACACAGAAGTAACGCCTAAAATCGGCGTGACTCAAAAATTCACGCCAATTTTTGGTGTGAATTTCTTGTCATGCCGCTTTTTGGCATGACTTGTCTCATCAAACGCATCGTCATTCACGTCAAATGACGGCGTGACTCACATCTCACGTCGTTTATCGGCGTAAATTTCGTGTCACGCCAATTTTTGGCGTGACTTTTTGTCACGCCATTATTTGGCCATGTGTCCGACCATTAAGTTTTCAGTGTAGGAAAGTGTGAATTCAATATCTGTCGAAAATGACAGGGACCCCTATTATTAAATTTTCATCATAATGTTATTCTAAACGGCAAAGTCACAACTCGCAACTTCTGATTAATTGAGTCATTTTTCTGGCATTCTGATTATGTAATGAGGTGCTTGCTCTTGTGGATCGTGGAACACTGAGGAAAAAGTATGGAAAAAGTACGGAACATGTCTGGTCAATTATTTGCCTGGACCGTCCGTTCTTGCCAACTTCGGAACGTTCCGCGCTTTTTTCCGTACCCATTTACATGGGTTCAAATAGGGGAAGTACGGAACGTTCCGTACTTTTCTCTGTACCTCCGTAGTTTATTTTTCTGTACCATTTCCGTACAAAAGTTCGGAATTTTTTACAGTGAACGCTGAAGTGACTAGACGCCACTGACCGGAACCTAACCTCTCTCCCAGTTATAGTTGAACCTAGAACGCCAAATATGGTACTTTCGGAGACCTGGGCCGGAAAAGGAGAAGAAATGAAGAACGTAACCTTGCCGAAGCGGCAGAACGGCGACGCTACGCTACATTTCGCGAATTTCGCTAACTTTGTTCTTCTTGATTTCTTCTCAACTTCCGTACCGTGAAACGGGGTAACTTCGGACACTTTTGAGAGGTTTTTTTGAAATTGTGAAAGTTGTGGTGTTGTCATGGACTTGCATGACAAATTTATCATCTACCCACCTTTAGCTTCGATTTGGCGCTAATTTCAAATATCTGCGCCTCACCGTTTTTACAGTGGAGGGTCCGAAGCAGTGTCCGAAGTTACCCCGTGTTTTGGGGTAATTTCGGACACCCCCGGAAAAAACGACTTTTCGTTCTGATTTCGGTCTCAAAATCGATCGTTGTCTCTTTCTATAGTGCTTACATGATTATATGAGAAACTCGTAAGGGCTTAGATGTGGGTGGTCAATCATACATAATTTGAAGTCATGGTTTTGAACTTGAACTAATAGTTCGGTTTCAGGGAGAGTGGGTCGAACTAGTAGAGCGATATCTAGAAAGCTTCTTATTTTTAAAAATTTGACCGAAGAGCTTTTATATGCAACTCGGGCCATACTTTACGCGTAAATGAATCGTAAATCGTCCCCTTCAAGATTACATACGATTACATACATGCATATGAAAAGCAAGTAGTCGTGTCGTATGTACGGTGAGGAAGATACAGGGGCGCACTGGAAAACCTTACATAATTGTAGTAAACCGGCGAGCTATGCAGCCATTCGCCAAGTCCAACTCTCATGTCACATGAAAAAAATAGTCACAATACAGTCGTTGACATTGAGGTGGGATATGAACATGGAAAAAAAAAGGATTTAAGATGTAGCTTTGCCCCTTTTTCTATGAAAGTCAAAGTTCACAAAGCAACCGCTGTGGCAATGGGGGATTATCGTTGTTATTGGATTATCTTCATCTTTCAGAAGAGCTCTTCAGCTTCCACGACTCCAACCCTGCGAAATTGAAAGTGTTCAGAACATACCCACTCTTCCTGGCGTGACGTTTGTATGTCCGAAATTACCCCGTTAAGTAACAATTTTTCAGTTTTGAGCCCATATAAACCAAACTATTTCACCCAGATGATTGAAAATTTGACACAACATGCTCTTAACATGTTCGAATCGACAAACAATCACTTCATGAACCACCCATTAACAGTTTCGGCTTGTCAGTCAAAGTTTTTACGCTTAAAGCGAATTTAGGTAAAAAGGGTTAAATACAAAAGCCACTCTATCTCTTGAGGTTTGCCACTGTTTTGACCTCAGGGTGAGTGATTGGATGGTTTTAAGTGTGGCCGATTCGATGCGCGCAACGGGACAAGCCTCCAAGTTGGCCGTTAGATGGGAGCATCATCGCAATGCTTTCGGGCAGAGGTGTCCGAAATTACACCGAGTGTCCGAAATTACCCCGTTTCACGGTACCAGCTGCTCTCCGAAGTATCCCAGTGACATTTAGTTTCACAAATACACTACCAATAAATTTTTAACGAATATCGTGCTTTGTGTGGCTAGCGACCACAGTGACTGGGATGATACGTAAGTGCATTGATTCCCGGTCGGCGGTAAATCTTGAACCACTGTGTCCCTGAGGCCCCTTTGGACTTGTTATCTTGCAGTAGAATGTCAAATAAGGTGTTTCAGAGGAGGTTTCCACCGGAAGCCCAGAGCTTCAACCTGCATCAGGAACTTGCTTCTGGGAATGCGTCAGCGAGTTTGTTCCTGCAGATGGAGTGCCAGGTTTGCATTCAGCGCTACGACGCCACGATCCGCCGCCCCAAGATTCTCCCCTGTGGACACACTTTTTGCCTCAAGTGTATCGAAGAACTGCACACGAGGAAGTGCCCCCTAGACAGCAAGGTAAATTGTGGTAGCGTCCAGTATTTGTGAAAAGTTCTCAAACACACTCTAAATGTTATGTAGGTACAGCATTGTACGACGAGACATCACGGTTTTTGTGCACACAAAACTTTTCATACTATTATTGTACGAAAAACTGCTCATATTTCTCCCTATTTGTCCAAAATCGCGTTCAAATTTGCACGAAAAGTTCGTGTACACTAATCTGCGATGTCTCGTACAAAATTTGTTCTACAGCATTTAGTGTGTACTGCGTAAAGTACACTTTGGTCAACGACTCCGCAATACTCCTGAGATTTTAAGAAATACTTCTGAAGTGACTGTTAAATCATTGTAGCTTGGTAACATGTTTCATAGATTGTTAACTGTGGCGGATCCAGAGTTCGTGTGCGTGTGTGTGCGTGCTATAGTATCATCACTTTTGCCAAGTTTCAGCGGAAAAGTGTCGCTTTTTGCCTACTTTTCAGGCGGCTACATGCGAGTCGAAAAAGGGGTACGGAGGCATTGTCCCCATCTGGATCTGTGCTTGCTTGATTAACAGCAGTTTACCATTTGCTTAGGCCTAAGTGCAGGTTGCCCTAGACCGTCCCTTATTTTTTCAAATTGAACCGAGACAAAAGTTCGTGGTGCCAAATTGTTCCATTTGGTGAGAAAACACCTCTGCCAAAGTTTGGTGGTGCTACGATATCGCATGGCCGAGCCTGAGGGGCCTAAGTGCAAATTTCAAAAATCGGCCGATTTCGGAATTTGAAAGTTGTCTTCCAAGTAAACACGTCATTTTGATGCCCGTAGGGCGAAAATTTCAAGCGTTTTGCCGTATCTCGAACCGTTATGGCCGAAACGGCGCTCTGAACGCGCTCCGCCACCGCGCGGAAGGCCGATCTGGACCCAACTACGACGCTTTTGGGCTGCACCGAGCCGCCCCGGAGGGCAGTGTATCGCTGCGTCGCTGTCAGCACCTTCCCAAAACATGTATCTGAACTATCTCTGAAAATTCCAATTTGGTTAGTGGGATTACTCAATAGGAAAATGCTGAAATATGCCCTCAAAGTGTCAAATTTAGCCATAATAGCATTTTTCACGTGTTTTGGTGTAAAATTTGGTCTTAACCACGTCTGTATTGAAATCTAACCTACCAATTACTATGCAATTAGTCAAACACATGTTTTGGGAAGGTGCTGACAGCGACGCAGCGATCCACTGCCCTCCGGGGCGGCTCGGTGCAGCCCAAAAGCGTCGTAGTTGGGTCCAGATCGGCCTTCCGCGCGGTGGCGGAGCGCGTTCAGAGCGCCGTTTCGGCCATAACGGTTCGAGATACGGCAAAACGCTAGAAATTTTCGCCCTACGGGCATCAAAATGACGTGTTCACTTGGAAGACAACTTTCAAATTCCGAAATCGGCCGATTTTTGAAATTTGCACTTAGGCCCCTCAGGCTCGGCCATGCGATATCGTAGCACCACCAAACTTTGGCAGAGGTGTTTTCTCACCAAATGGAACAATTTGGCACCACGAACTTTTGTCTCGGTTCGATTTGAAAAAATAAGGGACGGTCTAAGGTTGCCCCTATTTCTCCTTAGTAGTTGATGACTATGTTTACCTATATTTAATTTTAGGTCTTCACGCCGTCACCGGAACTTTTGGTGGACAACTTGAGCCTTCTTGACGCTTGCAACTCGTGAGTCTCTCTTCCGAACGTTAGAAACTTTGTTGGGCCTGACTAAGAAAAGTAGCTTGTTCCAAGTGTTTTGAGCATAAGCTTACATAAGCGTTCAAAGGAAATTCTTCGTAATTTACAAACATCGGCACTTTACATCTGCACTGACAATTAGGATTTTCTTGGATCTGCTCTTACAGTTAGGATTTTTCTATAAAGACGCGTCGATTTTGAGTGTAGGGGTAGGTTGGGGAAGAAAAGTACAAAACGCGTACTTTGCACTGTACAGCAGGTCCAAATGAGGGTTCAACTACTCTGCCTTCGTGAACTTATAATCCAGTCCCTTCCTGATGAAATGGATCACTGTTCAATGATTGTAGGTCCCCACATTACGTACAACATGCCAATATACATGTGATTTCGGCACCTCTCGAAAAGGGTAAGAAAAGCACACCACCCGGAAAGGAAAGTACAACGAAAAGAATTGCGATTTCGAACCCAGAAGAACCCCAATCTTGGTTCAATACAGGTTTCCCCCTAAAGTGGAGAGTTTGCACCTGCCATTAGTTCAAGCTTCGTCAAAATCGGTCAATTGGATAAGCACTTATGCTCATTTTTGTACTTTTCTTCCCCTTTTCACGTAAATGCCCAATAACTTGTTAATTTCGAGTCTAATCCTATAACATGTGTTCACATTTTTTGCTTGTGTCGCCTCATCAAATCTGTTTCCGCGATCAACATATTATAACAAAGCGAGAACAAAATATTTATCCCGCTTTAAGGTTTTTACAGGGTGTCTTTTTCTTCCCCAGCTGACTGTACTTTTCTTCCCCGTTTCATTTTTACACTTCCAAAAATTTGTATTGAAGCCTAAGAGCATTGAACGGCACTGTTTTTCAAAGATGATTGTTTTAGCCATAAGGTGGTACCATACATTGGACTGTCGTCTGATTCTGCTGGAAGCTGTACTAGAACAAAAAGTTCAAGAAAAGATTTTAATAGTCATTTTTAGTGTGTATTTTCAACCGTGCAGTTTGATTATAAATATTATATTCTAGAACGGGGCTACATTTATTTTTTGTCAGCGGGATGACCAATCTTTCTAAAACCACTAAGGTGATGGTTCAGAGTAGTTTCAGTTCGGAGATATAGCAGGTGTTCTTTTCTTACCCGAGCCTCGAGTGTACTTTTCTTACCCAACCTACCCCTACGGAAACCCCTTTCGGCAGGTTCATGCAGCTCGTTGAGACAACCCCTCGCTTGTGGTGCCGGTCCTGCAACAACCCCGCCACGGAGGCGTGCGTGGACGACGGAGGCCATGCCGTCGTCACCTGCAAGAAGGCGAGGCTGGACGACGCGGGGCCGCTCCTGGAGGAGCTGGACCTCAGCGAGGCCGCCCTGGACCGGATCGCGGAGCTGGTGTCCATCCCCGAGATTGAGGAGGCGGCCGAGGACCTGCGCCACCAGCTGCAGCGGACGAAGGCGTCTCTGCACGCGGCGAGGGAGCGCCTGCTGGCGGCGCGGGAGGCCGACGACGCGGCCTGGGGGCAGGCCAAGCAGGGCGCGGCGATGGCCGGTAAGCACGCACTTTTTGACGAGGTGTGGAGAAGTCCACATGAGAGGTGTGGAATTTTCAGGGTCTGCAATGGGAAAGTGCAGGGATCGCCAAGTTTTCGTCTGACAAAAACTTGGCGAGACTTTTTGCCTCTCCTCCAGTGGCAGAAGTCGGACCCTGGACTTACAAAGGCTATGTGATTTTTCAGCTAGGGAAACGATGTCGAAATTACAGGCTAGTTGGGGTATACTCTGCGAACTCAACTGTGTACTCAGTTCACTCTGATCGGCGATAACTCACAAGCACACTCCTACGAGAGTTCACTGAGATGAGTTAACCTCAAGGAGAGTGTACTCAGATGTGCACACACCTATGCTCGCCTGGCAGTATATGCAGCTTAAGATGTGTACTCATCTAAGTACACTCTCGTGAGTACTTAGCCTCACCCTGTCCCAATGTGAACTGAGCCATTTTAAAACGTCAACTCGGTCTGTGGCCCTTGACCTCAAGACCAAGCTGCGCGCGATGACCCTTTTTGACGCCCATTGCACCAGGGTACACATTCCTAACCTCGGTACAATCATCCGACGTGCATTTCAGACGCTAAAAAGAAAACAAAATTCAAAAATCGTGCTACTTTTTCATCGTTTTTCGTGGAATCGAACTTCCAACCCACGTTTCTCATTCAGAAAGCGCCCAGTTCTGTCCCCTAGTTGTGAAAACAGTAAACCAAATAACGCTCTATTATGGTCAATTTTTCGGAGAACCTGACATAACTGGAAGTTGGAAATATTGAAGGTGTCCCAATGTACCCGGTGTCCCATTGTACCCCACCTTCCCTTACTCGTCGAAGAGAGTGCTCTGAGTACACTGTTGAGTTTGCAGAGTATTTGTCGTTCGAGTACATATTTGCAGATACCAAAAGATCCTCGACGCAGTGGAGCAGGGAGTTGAGGTAGGACAGTCCAGCACCTTGCGGCCTGCTGTAGAGATCTCGACGTCCGTTAATTGACTTGCCTTTTAAACTCAGACTTTCATCCTTAGCTGAGATGACTGGTTGGGCAATGCCTCGAAGTCCTGATGTAAGCTTGTACTTTAATTCCTAAAATTGTCCCTCGCAAGAAGGACCCAGAACGCAACGAGTTGGTTACAACGGGATTGTCTCAATCATTAAATCATTGCACATAAAGTGGGAATTCGCAAACTAGTCGCCAAAAACTGCTCAGATGGTGGGAGTCGCAAACAAGTGCCAAAAATTCAAGTTTTGCGACTGTTGTCCTGTCGCGTAGGACTGTCCCGGCGCGCAGACGACGTGGTGGCCGCCCTGAGTGACCCCAGCACCACCTGCGCCTTCACCGTGAGGTGCGGCGACGTGGCGTGGAGAGGCAACGTGTCGCCCGCGGAGGACGCCGCCGCCAGACTGATTTTGTGCCGACTCGCGTGCGGGCTGCAACGCACCAAGCGGGAGCCCGAAGAGCCGCCGTCGTCGTCAGAAGGACAAGAATCGCAGGAAGAGGAACCACCAAGTCAAGGGCCACTGCAAGAACCTCGGCAGGAAGGGTCACTGCTAGAACCACTAATTTTGCAGGAACCTCAAGGTAAAGGACCGCTGCAAGAATCTCGGCAGCACGGTGCACTGTTAAAACGGCAGAGGCAAGGACCACTGCAACAACCACGGCAGAAAGGACCACAGCAACTAGGTAAACCTCTGAAGCTACTTTTTTCCCTTTTTGGCTGTATCTTGAAAAGTCTCCTTGCACTCGGTATCCTTTATACCTATCCCACGTAGACCAAAAAAATCTCTTTCATTATGTTCCGAAAATTTCATGTGCCTTACAATTTAAGAATGTTGAATGGAAGACATTTTTATGGGTCTAGGACAACTCGTCCCGACCGACTCGTACCTGGCACAATACGTCCCGGGGTTATCCCGTTCCAACCCAAGTGGTCCCCGTCCTAAATCGTCCCAATAATTATATATTATGAGTGATTGTTATTAATTGAAATTGGCCGTATTTTTCGATGGGTCCTATGAATAGCTGCTTCGCGTCGTACCAACAAAAACATATGTTTGCTAGGGTGCGCCAAACATAAATCTGCTTTTAGGAATCTTCCTGATTCTTAACTTGAAACCCACTATGCGGCCACTGAGTTAAAGCTTTTATTTTCGGTATTACAGTTTCGCATTCCTACAAGTTTCTCAAACATAAATATCTTATCGAATCATCCACTTTCGGCACCTTAATGTGCCAGGAAGGCTGAAAGAGGAAGAAGCGCCTCTAGCCCGAAAGCTGATATTGTTGGAGCGCCCTGGAGCACTTCTGTCTTTGTGCGTGTTCAGTCCTGGCGCAAAAGCTATGCATTAAGTAACTCCGTAGTGATTTAGAGTGTAAGCTTCACCACGCTGTGCTGCATGTACTAGTTACTAGTAACCGGCCTGGACGGCTCCTGGCTGGACCGGACTAGGACCATTAATGGTTCGGGACGAGTTGGCCGCCCCGTCGGGACGAGTTCGAAAAATGACCCGGGTCGAGATAGGCCCGGGACGAGTGGGACGCGGGACGAGTTGGTCGGGACGAGCTGTCCTGCTCCCATTTTTATCTCATTTTAACTGTGGTAACGTGACTCATTTTGGAAAGAAATAAGGGAGATTTTCAGCCGAATCTCTCTGTAAAGGTATAACGATCCGCGCGGAAGGATCAGTAGTCTGAACTGTACCTGAACACTTCAGTCTCACAGCAGTTACGAGTGAAGAAAGGACGAAAAATGTGTTCACAAGTGTGAGAAAAAAATATAACGTTTTTAACATATATGCAGTATTTGCTGTAAAACTTACAAGCTATGTATGCAGTCTTCACACTGGTATTTCTAATGTGATAACTTTCATACAATTTGCTGCGATAAAAAGGCTAGTGTGATTCCCTCAAATTATCGCATCTGTGGCAGCCATAAAAAATTATCGCACTAAAATTGCAATAAGTCCCTTAGGTTTTGGCCGGTCTGGGCCCAGATTATCACAGTTTCGACGTGATAAAATGATAACTACACAAATAATGCGATAAATGCGCTAATGCAATACAATAATTATTGCACTTTTAATGCATTAACTTTTTCATGGCGCTACTACTAATTCAATAAACATGTTATTGCTTTTTAAATGAGTTCATTATTACATTCGGAAAATCAGTGCACTACACCATCATTCAAATTGCATTAACCACTGTCTACATTCTGCAATAAAATACTTATCACATTTTTTTGCGATGAGGGCTATAAAAAATCCGCAATTCAAAAAATTATTCTTGAATTTTTTCAATTAAGTATCATTTTTTTGCAATAAAGACATATGCAACAAAAAGTTACCGCCAAAAAAATGTGATAAAAGTTACAACAAAGCGCCCTTCTGTCGCAATAATTACTGGGTAGTTATCGCAAAAAATAACTTAATTGTAGCCTTCTAGGATGCTATAAATCGCGGGAATCGCAAACTCGCAATAAATTGTAGTAAATAATCGCAAAATGAACGACAGTGTACATTCAGTGTATGCAGTTGAACTGAGTTCGCTGATAACGTTGGCCCTCTCTCTGCCGCAGCTCCTCAAAATCACTCTGACTACGGCACGCCCCCCACGCCCGGCACCCCAAGCTTTGTGCACGACGTTCCCTCGGTCACCGATACTGCGCTTATGCCTTGGGCCAACGCCATGCAACCCAGTGCCAACTATCGCCTCCGCCCTCTCCTGCGCGCTCCGTTGGTAAGTTTGAACTTTTGTGAAAATTGTGAAATTCTGAAATTTGACATTGTGACTTGACCAAATGTCGTACTCAAATCGGAGCGCTAGAAAAGTGGCGCTTTGGAAAAATCCTTTCTATTTGGTGCCGGACCCTAATTGCGGTCCCGCTAAATTCAAATTCAGAAAGCCTTAAGCAACGTGACAGATCATAGACACAAACTGTCATGGGGTCATGGGACATTTTTTTTATCCCACACACCAAATTACTATGGTTTTTGTGCATAAGCTTTGCACGAAACTACACATTTTCGTGCAAAGCTTATGCACGAAAGATCTACGTAGTAATTAAGCGTGCACGAGTTATGCAATTTCAAGCACATCCAACGGCGAAACTATTTGCTTTCGGCCTGCTGATACAAACTGTCCCACGCCTTCTCCAAGTTCTACATTCATAAGACGGTTTGTGCCAAAAAGGGACAATAATGTCCCATGACCTTAAGTGTGTGGGCTTTCTAAAATTGAAAACCAACAAGTCTCACTGTTGGACTCGTTTGGACTGATTGGTTTGAAAACTCTAAACAGACCACGCAATGCAAAAATAAGCACCTAAATTCTTAATGCTCTGTTAACCCAAAATTTTAGACCTTAGGCCTAGTCTAAATGTCTCTTTCTGGGTGGCGGGTCTAGGCATCTCTCTTAAAATAAGTAACAATTTTCTTGAGTTTTTTACCCTGCAGTTTTTTGTGCAATTCCCAGGTTTCGCCACTAAGAAAAGAGCCGTCAGGATCAGCTCTTGAGATTTTTTGTGATCATCTCAGAGGTGGGTTTATTTTGGTACTACACTGTGAAAATTTAAGTCGTCACTTGATGACAATTTCAAGGCTAATTTTCCTTGCAACAATGTCATCAAATCAATTGATGACATTGCTGTCACGCCCATGCAATAAGTATAGGAGCTTCACTCTCAGACTCGTACTGACTTTTTATCCCTTGCCTTAAAGGTTTTTGTGCAAACGTAATATGTACTATTTTCTTTTTAGCTATGCATTATTTTGTTCATTGTACGTATAATGTATTTAGGCCATGAAACCGGACTCTTTGTCATTTGCACTGTACTTTTCAATTTCTTATGATCTATTGACAATTTTATCTTTGTGGCTATCAAAATTGCGCATAGTTAAGGAGAAAATAGTACATTTTACGTTTGCTCAACAAACGCAATAAGCACACTCTTAAAACCTTACGAAGTATTTTGCATACATATAACAAACTAAAATACTTTGTTATACGAGGAAATAGTTCGTGAATTACGTAGTATTTTCTTTGTAAGCGTACGTATGCTCAAAATACTTTGTTATACAAACTACTTTTCTTTGTAAGGCCCAAAATAGATTGTAATCATTTGAAAGTGATGACGTCACCGTTCTTTCACCCGCAGGCCCTCAAGATTGCTCCAACGAAATGGCCGTGGAAGAGATGGCGGCCAAGATGATTGTGGGGTCCAGGGTGGCGCGCGGCAGGGACTGGGACCTGCGGTGGACCGATGACGGCACGCCGCCGGGGCCGGGCACCGTGGTCGCGCGGACGGGGCCCGCCTCTGTCATGGTCAAGTGGGACAAGGATGCCACGCAGAGACCCCGGCCCAACGCCGTGGGGCGGAACGGGATCTATCGCCTCCGCCTGCTGTCGCCCAATCCCTTGGTGAGTGGAGAGCGGCTAACTCGGTAGCTGAGTTGCAGTCAGTGACAAGTACCACTTGTTTCCTCTGTTGAGTTCAGAACAGATAAATCCAGTAGCTGGAGCTCGCACAGTCACTGTCTACTTGTAAAATAAATCTGTGGCATTTACAAAGGCAGCTCTGGCAAAAATGTTGCCGAAGCCACCTTGGCGAATTTCTCAAGATTTATGGTAAGTTTCGGAGGTTCTCGGTGATTTACAAAGATTCCTCTTTAAGTCAGGAACATTCATTGTAAATTGACGAAGGTCCCTCGTGAATTCTCGAATATTCTTCCTTTGTTTCGAATAATTTCTGTGGATTTACAAAGGCTCCCGTGGCAACTTTTTTGCCGGATTTCTAACACTGTCATGTCGGCCGGATACCCAATTTCGTTTACTTGGAAAGAAAAGGCCAAAAATAAGCTCTTGTGCGTGCAGAGCTGAGTTCTATGTAACATCCCACATCCATTTAAATTTTTCGATAGGACCAAGGACAGTTTAAGCCAGTTTTACACATTAAATACAATTTTGTACGTGGTGAAGCATAATTTTAAACTTGTGTGCCGGCGTGCATAAAATTGTGCGTGAATTTGCATAAATTTATGCATCCTTACGCGCAAATTCCACGAATGCACAAAATCGTGCGAGATGCACGCACAAAATTCTACCCAAACATGTAGTGTGTAATGTAGATTCCACTATGTTGCAGAAACCACACCTAGGAGCCCAGAGAGGAGACGAAATTCTTGATACGGACAATTTGAGCTCGGCTCAAAAGAAGAAGCTCTTGACAGATGGCAGCCTCGCTCAGGTGAGGGTTGAGGAGGGTTACATCGTTAATTAGGGGGAGGCTGTGGTGAAAATCCTACTTTCTTAAGGGGAGATTCTGGTGAAAATCTTGCCATTTCCTAATTGGATCTCACTGCCATAATTTGTTCGGAATATAAAATCTTTCTTCGAAGCGACTAAAATTTGACTTTTGAAAGCACATCCCAGGCTCTGAACCCAGTCGAAGAGTCTTTTTGAGCCTATTTTGGCTGTATCTTAAAAAATCTCCTTGCGCATACTATTTTGTCGTAAAAGGTTGACTTAACATTTTTCACTTCTTCCATTCATTTTCAAAAGATACCGGCATGCATAGCTCAAAGTTTCCATTACAGTAGTAATTGTAATCTTTACAGGCTGAAAAGTCCATAAAATTTGACTATTTTGTACATTTTTGATCAATTACAGTGAAATGCTTGGTAAGAAAGCTTGCGAATAAATATGTAATTTACATTTTGAGTTGTGCATGCCGGCATCTTTTAAAAATGAATCAAAGAAGTGAAAAATGTCAAGGCCAACCTTTTATGACAAAATAGTATGCGCACGAAGATTTTTAAGGGGGGGTTCTGGTGAAAATGCTATTTTCTCCTAAATAGGTCCCACTGTGAAAATTTGTTAAAAATTTGATGTCTTATCAAGTATTTATTAAAAAATTTCATTGGGGAGGCACATTCTATGCCCTGAACCCAGTCGCAGAGCCTTTTTTCTCCCATTTAGGCTATAACTTTAAAAATCTTCTTGCGCATATTATTTTGTCGTAAAAGGTTGGCTTAGACGTTTTTCACTTCTTCCATTCATTTTTTAAATATGCCGGCATGCACACCTCAAAATGTCAATTGCATTTTTATTCGCAAGCTTTCTAACCAAGCATTTCACTATAATTGGTCAAAAATGTACAAAATAGACAAATTTTAGGGACTTTTCAGCTTAAAAAGCTAATAATTAATAATATAATGGAAGATTTGAGCTATGCATGCCGGAATCTTTTGAAAATGAATCGAAGAAGTGAAAAATGTCAAGGTCAACCTTTTACGACAAAATAGTATGCGCAAGGAGATTTTTTAAGATACAGCCAAAATAGGCTCTAAAAGACTCTTCGACTGGGTTTACAGCCTGACATGTGCCTTCAGAAGTCAAATTTTAGTCTCCTCAATGAAAAATTTTATATTCCGAACAAATTATGACTGTGGGATCCATTTGGAAAATGGCAAGATTTTCACCAGAACCTCCCCTTAAAGTTAAAGCCTAAATAGGAGAAAAAGGCACTGCGACTGGGTTCAGGGCATAGAATGGGCCTCCCCAATGAAAAATTTTATTAGTAACTTGGTAAGACATCAAATTTTTAACTAATTTTCATAGTGGGACCCATTTAGGAGAAAATAGCATTTTCACCAGAACCACCCCTTAACAATTTGTTGGCATTCACTCCAAATCCAAAGAGGATACTTTAAGTACCTCTTTCGGCGATACAATTTAAAGTTTCGCCAACAAACGGCCGTACCCAAAATCTTGCTTTCCATGCGGCGATACCCAAAAGTATCGCCAAATCTTGTATGGCCGTTTGTTGGCAATTGTATCGCCGAGAAAGATACTAAAAGTATTTGGGTTTGGAGTCACTCCAGGAACGTGACATCACGTTGAAACGAATGTGACGAAATGTCATGTTCCTTTATGTATGTGTCACATTCATTTGGATGTAAATCCGCCATAAATTAGCTTATTACAAATGAATGTGACTCAATGCCCAAAGGAACGTGACATTTTGCGACGCTCCTTGTATGAGAGTGGAGTTTAAAAGGGACAAGATTTTCTCAAGACAAGAGTTTTTAAAGCAAGAAGATCACATAAATTTAACATAACATTTATCTATTAGGGCCTGTGGTTTTTTTTTTTAAGAAAGATTTTTATCGAGGCGTCCGCTTTAAAATGAATTTCTGTTCATGCACCGGAAATACTGTCCTCCTTCGAAACAGGTTATATGGACTCCTAGTTTCGACTGGGCGACATGAGTTTTTTTTAGGGGTTCCGACGAAGGAGGACCCCTATTGTTTTTGACGGCTCAGATTCTTTTCCTTCCGCCGACGCAAATCAAAAAATGGTTCCCGCCAAATTACTCGTTATCATAATCAAATAAAAATTCCTGAAAATTTCGAAAATTTATCATAAGAATTTAACGTAAACGACTAAAACATAAATTTGCAACAATCAAGCACCCTTATCCGTTCACATTTTCCAGAAACGTTTGAAAGAGAAAATGTGCCACTCCTCATAACTGAACCTCCTGCCTCATCAAAGTGACAAGAAATCATCTGTGTTCTGAGAAAATGGTTAAAACATGAAAAAAAAGTCTCCATGGCAACGACACGGTGCCATCGTACCAACTGTCAAAATTTAAAGTCGCTGATAAAAAAAAAATCAAAACGCCGTGAAATTCGAAAATGGCAATGCTAACGCATTGCACGGTGTCCCGACATTGGAACATCTTTGAAGCCTGTCAGGAAAAAGTTCGTAGCAGAAAAGACGCAATAAATTAATTTTCGGGGGTTGGCAACAATTTTCTCGGCGTCTGCGCCCTTTCGAAAATTGCGAGGCTGAAAAAACGAGTAGTCACGCATTGAAACTGCCCCTCCATTGTTGCTGAGGTTGGGTTGTTTGGCTTGCTTTTAAAGGTTGTGGTTCTCTTGTGATGTTTTCCTCAATTCTGTAACCAGCACGACGGTTGGTTTGACAAACTTTATAAACTCGGCAGGGGTGGTTTCAGAACGCGGATGACTTTCGTTTTACGAACATGAGCACTGTACATCGCGAGATGGACTGAGATGGTCATTGTGTTAACTGAACCAGGTTTAAGGATGTAAAAATACCGGTAGGATTCAAAGTTACGCAAATAACGGTAAAATTAACGTAATCAACGTTTAGACGACAGACTTCAAATTGATTTCCACAACCGGAACACCGTGCAATGCGTTAGCATTGGAATTTTTTCCTTTATCATATTACATTCAAATGAACGTGACGGTTCGTTTCTGCTTGGGTGCCACGCTCAAAGTCTCGTTCATACGGGTGTGGCGTCGCATTACCTGGCTTCCACTGAAGTTGAACAGCTTTCGACAGGCAAGGCACACGGTGAAAACGGAACCTGGTTTTCCCAGGAACTCCCTGGAAATCGCCTATGCCTTCACCATTGGCTTCCTGGGACAACCATGTTCCGTTTTTACTGCGCAAGCCTTGACGCCGCTGGCGCGCACTAAATGTTATGTACAATTTTGAACGAGACATCACAGTTTCTTGCGTGCATGAAATTTTCGTACGAAAAACTGCACATTTTTCGCAATTTTTGTACAAAATTGTGCAAAACTTTGTACAAATTTGTACGAAAAGCTCGCGTGCACTAAAAAGTGTGATGTCTCGTACAAAATTTGTACAAATCATTCGGTGTGCGTGGACTGGACGAGCACTGACATTGCTGATCCCCAGGTGCGCTTCGTTGCTGGCCTGCCCTGCGCATACTCCGCTGCCTGGTGCGAGAAAGTGCTGCAACAGGTGGCGCCCCACCTCAAGGGCTTGCAGATGGTGTCTCCTTCGCAGCGTCACATAGACGTGGCCCTGGCGATGCCCAGCCTGCAGGCCCTGTGCCTCACCGACGTGACGGCCCAGCAGCTGCAGCAGGTGACCGAGATAGCCTCGCTGCGCAGCCTGGAAGTACACGGCCAAGCGGACTCTCCGCTGCCACTGTGCGCGTTCCAAGGGACTGTGTCGCGGTTGAAGTGGCTGCGCTGTGGCATCTACCCGCTGGCCACCGCGCTGGGCCTGATGCGCGCGCACGCCGACACACTGGAAGAGCTGCAGCTGGTAGCGGCCTCCACAGAGCCCTACGGCTGCCCTGACCTTGCACGCGCGCTGCAGAGTTGTAACTTCAACAGTCTGACGCGGATGGTGCTCCTACGGCAAACAGGCTTCAACACTCCGTGTCGTCACGACAAAGCCACGTGCAAGGTGCAGATGGGGCAACTTTGCGACATTTTTGTTAAAAACAGCCGTGTTAAAATCCTGTCCTGCACGGCATGCGAAAGTGCAGTCTCTATTGCTTGATCTTTATAACGTTTAACTTTGTTCATTGTTTTAGTTTTTTATATTCATTGTGATATTCATCTGAGATTTAAGGGGCAGGCAGTTGCTGCTTTGCGAAAATCAGGAAGAATGATTTTCATAAGGAATCTTGGCTGCAATTTACTGAAAAATCGTGGGTTACCTTAAGAATATTTAAACGTGTTCCAAATGCTCTCTACTCCTCCGTGTTGGTGGTTCTTTATGTTTGCATACGTGTTCCCGAGATTATCATACAATGTAACGGGATTATGAGGCACCATTATGGTATAATATCTGAGCGCACTGTGCAGACATTGCAGTGTGGTTTTGTTATGTTACGAAAGTTACCATTTTTGTAAAGCTCATGTTCTTAACCATTTAAGGACAAGCGCATTGTTTTGTTTTTTATCTGTACGGAATCAGAACCTTCAATTCTGGGCAATCTTCCACACTTTTGGTCCTTAGCCAAATGCATATGACTTTTTTTCTATGACCAATCAAAGGACAGCATAATAACGCTGTAAAAAAGATACAGTAAAGGGAAAGTGCAGGGTTGACCTAATAAAAAAAGTACTTATTTTGCTTCATTGTATCATCTTCTCCCGACCCTCTTCGCACGCCTCAGAGTCATTAATTCGACGCATGGAAAAATCCTCACTGCCAGCTTCAGAGAAGGGCACTTTTCTCCCAAGCTGCCAGAGTAGACCCAAGACAATCCTAACTGCCAGTGCGGATGTGGAACTATCGTCATTGCGGAAGCGTCCAGAAACTATCTTCATTAAAAGTCAGTGAAGCGCGATTTCCCTAAAATACTATGTCCACGTATTTTATGGGGATAACATTTTTGACAAGTTCTCCGGCAAGTAATTTTATGACGTATGTGGGCATCACGGAATACGAAAAAAGATCACTTCACTGCAAGTTAAATGGAAAGAATTCGAGCCAAAATGATGCAGGAGGCAGAAGTAGGGAATAATTGAGTTTCTACCTTATTATTGTACCACAGGATGGTTTGCACCACTACACCAGATTGTTTAGCCCAATTGCTAACAGGTTACGAGAAAAATGGATATCACTCAACTTGACCCCTTTTACGGTCTAAATTTCATCAGAAAATGGAGCTAACTCAACTGAAGTCCACATGACTCCATTGCACAAAATGACAGAAGGAGATAACTCAACTTGTGGCTTTATGAATGTAATGAGAAAAGAATCAACTCAACTGAACTCCCCGTCATTCGTTGAAAAAAAAGAGGTAACTCCAAAAATGTACGTCAGTAATGACTCTACGCAGACCTCAGTTCCACCTGAAACTCGACCCCGTTTAAGAGAACTAAGTAAACATGGTTCCGTTGTCCATTCCAACTTAAAGATTTAAGTCACAGAAAGCGTTTATAGAGTGATGCTACACTTTTGAAACTTTTCACATTTATTTCTTGGTCCTTTTTTACGTAAATGCAATTGCATTATTCATCTGATTGGATTAAGTTTACCCTGCCAGCAGTTTTTTGTTTCTCCTGAAAAATGATGTAGGTTGAGTTATCCCCTTCATGGATCAAACAAGTCTTGCCAAGTTTCGGTGAGACCTGACCTGAAAGTCAGGCCAAAATGTGGTCCAAAGAAAATGTCTCGTCACAAAATGGCGAGACTTTCTTGTCTGACCGCCGTAAAGCCGCTAATGACGGTGCGCCGTATGCGCAGTCATTTAAGGGGGCTCATACATGTTAAAAGCACTTTTCTAAAAAAAAATTTTGATGTAGACGGACTAAGATGTTACAATTTCTGTGTTAAAATCCTTTTAGATAATTGAGTAAGCTTCATTTTGGCTTAAGGGAAAGTGACTTTGGACATTTTTTAGAAATTTAGTCGAAACGTTTAAAATTTTGCTTCTCGTGAGATTTTGTTCGCATACTTGCTCAGATCTGTGGGGAAAAAATCAGGGAGACTCATCCCCAGTAGTGTCATAGAATTGACTACAATGGGCTTTATATCTGCAATAGTTTTCAAGAAAAAAAAAAAACAATTTTTTGTTCAAAAATTTGTTTAAAAAATTGTTTTTATTTTTTTTCTTGAAAACTATTGCAGATATAAAGCCCATTGTAGTCAATTCTATGACACTACTGGGGATGAGTCTCCCTAATTTTTTCCCCACAGATCTGAGCAAGTATGCGAACAAAATCTTACGAGAAGCAAAATTTTAAACGTTTCGACTAAATCTCTAAAAAATGTCCAAAGTCACTTTCCCTTGAGCCAAAATGAAGCTTACTCAATTATCTAAAAGGATTTTAACACAGAAATTGTAAAATCTTAATCCGTCTACATCAAAATTTTTGTTAAGAAAAGTGCTTTTAACATGTATGAGCCCATGAGCCCCCTTAAGCCTTTCCAGTGGTCAGACAAGAAAGTCTCGCCATTTTGTGACGAGACATTTGACCAAATTTTGGCGAGACTTTCTGGAGTGGCGAGAAGTCTGACCTTTGGATTGGTAGTGTTTAAACGTCATGTGCAGCTAGGATTGTTCTGAATCGAAATTGACATAGAATTAAATAAGAAAGGACGAAGACCGGAGAATATTGCTTTAATCAAAGTATAAATTGGCACCAAATCTGGCTGAGTAACCAAAACACAAAGAAATGCAAAGGTGTCATTTAGGACTAAGTTCAATGGAACATGTAGACGGCCTCAAGTAGAACAAAAACTCTCACTAGAGAACCAACATTGACAACGAAATAAAAACTGACACATTTGGAACGGATTGCTTCCTCCCGAGCGAAATGCGATTGGACAGTGTAAAACACCTCTCAACCGACAATAACACTGTCTACACCTCTATCTGGAGCCACTGCAACCCTCCCGTGTGCAGGTCACACTTTTCTTTCGGGTCGTGGCTGTAGAGGCCGAACCGGCTCACGGCCAAGTCAAAAGCGACGCGGCCGACGCCGCCCTCGACCCAACACCCTTTGCACTCCAGCCTCCTCAGGCACCCGTTCTCTTCGCACTCTCTGCACACCCGCAGCCCGGAGACGTGCAGCGCGGGCTTGCTCCGCAACAGAGCCTTGATGTCGCGCGCGTGGCGCCCGGTGGAGTGCTCGCCTAGGACGGGGCACAGCCAAAGACCGCCCAGATGCAGCACCCTCAGGCTGGCGGAGGGGGAAACAGCGTGGAGAATGGGCAGCAGATCGGGCCAGCAGGAGTGCGCAGCGTCGTAAAGGCGCAGTCCAAAACTCTCCAACCGAGGTAAGGCGGGTAGCAACGCGCAGAGACGACTAGCGTAGCCGTCCTCCTTCTCTACCAGTTCCAGGTGATTGAGGTCGCGGCACTCCGCTAGGGCCGGCAAGCCCTGCAGGTCCGGGCACTCCAGCTCTAGGAGGTTGACGCACGCCGTGAGCAGAGCCACGGGGAAGTCGAATGGCAAGTCGCGCAGAGTGAGGCTCCTCAGCGTGCGCGCGTGCGTCTCCAGCAGGAACCGCAGTCCCGGCTCGGTTGAGCCGAACGCGAACGAGTTGTACTCCAGCCAGTCCAGGGTGGCCTCGTTCCGGCCGCGGAGGGCCACGGTGCGTTCAGGGGAAGGTGGGCTGTTGGTTGAAGGTCCCATCCGAAGTCGAGGTTGAATCTGAAGCGAAAGTCCCGTCAGGCTGGAGTTGCGAACGGTTCTAAGCAGGCGTCTGACAGTCTGAGTCTGGCCGTTGTCCCATCCGACGTTGGCAATGATGAGGTTGAGGAGCCCTTTCTTCATAAATTGGGTTATCACACGCGTGACGATTACCACGTTGCGGCTCTCGACCCAGAGGATCGACAGTGTCTCTACGGCGCACTCCACGCCCTGAAGCGGCACAAGGGGGATGGTGTCTTCGTCTAGTTGCAGAAACCGCAGGCAGGGCGCCAGCCTCACCACGGCGCCGAGCTGGTGCTTGGTCGTGTGCTCGCGGTGCCGCCACGCCGCGCGGCTCAGCGCCACGTCGCGCCAGCGCTGGCACACGCCGCGGGCCGAGAGCAGGCTGGGCGTGTCGAGGTGCTCGAACACAAGCAGCAGCACGTCCTCAGGGAGCAGCAGCACACCGTCCGGCGGCAGGACATCGTCGGGCGGCGGCAGGCTAGTCTGCAACAGGAAGCGGCGTTCACTCTCATCCTCTAACTTGAATACTTTGAAAGTTGTGCACTCTTAAAACCTGACGAAGTATTTGAGCATACATGTAACAAACTAAAATACTTTGTTATACGAAGAAATAGCTCGTAAATCCCCACAATATATAGCATTTGATGATCAAAATCTACACTAATGGGACTTAACTTTGAGTCGGGGGCAGAATGGGTTCTAATTTCGTCATCAGCGCCCTCAGAAACCTGGGAGACGGTAAAGAACTTGACAAGAAGGTGAAAGTTCCTAAAAAAATTTCTTTTTACTGCCGTTTTTTTTTTTTTTTTTTTTTTTTTTTTTTTGTTGAAATGACCGAATGGATTGAGATAGAAAGCTGAAATTTGGTGTGTGGTGAGCCAAGGATATACCTAATGACCCTGCAGAATCTCAGCCGAATCGGCCGAGGCGTTCAGGGGTAGTAGTGCGGACAGACAAAAATTTCCAACCCCACCCGAGTAACGGGCTTCGCTATCGCTCAGCCAAAAATTTCAACTAAATTGCAAAACTTTTTTTTAAATTGTGTTTTAAGGCTTTCAAATGGGTTGAAAACAGTAAACGGCAACATAATATAGTGAGAAACGAGTTTGGGAAAAAATCGCCAAAATTGCCAAAAATAGTATTTTCAACATGTGCATAGAAGGTTTCAGATTCAACAGGTTGAACACCTTTAAGCTAAGTGGGTAGTTTCTTTATCATTTGGAAGGAAGCAAATAACATTGAGGTCAGTTGTCGTTGGCTTCTTTCCTCAACTTCACAGCTTTGCTCAGTCGATAAAAAATTTTGTCGTAAAAAGACTTCCTGCGTTCCTGGTTGACACCTACATGAGTCGTCTTGCATGGACTCTATTCATTGATGACTTGTCGGCAAATTTTATTGACGGAATCTTGATATCAGGCATACTTTTTTTTACAAAGATCTAAAAGTTTGAAAAAAGGGGAAAAAATCACTTTATTTAAATGTTAAAATTTAAAAAATTTAAAAACGGGTCTATATTTTTACACCGACCGCGACATTCACCGACCCTACTTTTTTGCAGTCACTTTTTTATTTATTTTTTGACCGACCCCCCTTTTTTTTACATTTATTGTGTCATGTAATGTACATGAAGAATTTTTCCAAAATACGAGAAAAAATTTACACCGACCCAAAAGTTGACCGACCTCCAAAAAAAAAAAAGATAGAGAGTACTTAATTAGGGTGTCAATCGCCTACGCACGCTGCGTCCACGGATCCGCCTCCCCTTCACGTACGGGCAGTTCTCGGTGACTGCGCGGAGGCTGGGCGCTGAGAAGCACGCCGATCTCCTCTCCTTCATGTACGCCCGGGTCGGAATCAAAGTCATTTTTACGCCTTGTAGGCGCATTGTAGGGAAGGCAGGTACAGGGCTGTTTGAAGACCGCAAAGAGACCCACTTCAGTGTTTGAACGAGGCATAAACAGGGCGAAAAAAAAAGGTTGGAAACAAGGCCTAAAGAAGGCTTTGCGTAAGCATCTGATTTTCGTCTACGAACTACCTTAATCTGGTCTTGTTTTCGCCTTCATGGAATAGAAGGCGGTTTCAGGGTGCGAAGAGGGCCGAATCGAGATCGCTGGGAGGGCCGAAACAGGGCAAAATGAAGACGCTTTCGTGGCAGTTATCGGTGCCACGAAACCGTCTTCTTTTTGCCTGGTTTCGACCCGCTTCGCGTCTGGAGGGGGGAAAAAGAAACACAGATGGAGAGCCGGGCGCAGCGCCGAGTCGAACCACTAATCCGTCACTCCAGAAACAGATGCTCCAAGCCACCTACCTGGCCAGGGCGACTTGGTGAGACACTCGTCTCGTCGCATGGCTTTTATGCTCCCGGAATCGCTCTACTGACGGACGCCAGCCGTCAGGTGGCCAAGTTACATGGCCACGTCGCGTGTGTAAGAGTGTTGACATGTACTTCCACGGGGGCGTGCATTCATGAATGTTCTTATTATTGTTGTTACTTCAAGCAAAAATTAATCGCAATGATGATAAAGAAACTCAATAGTGTTCCTGAATACAAAGCCACGTGCGCTTCTAGAATCTACTTGTCAACACTACACACGCGACGTGGCCATGTAACTTGGCCGCCTGACGGCTGGCGTCCGCCAGTAGAGCGATTTCGGGAGCATACAAGCCATGCGGCGAGACGAGTGTCTCACCAAGTCGCCCTGGCCAGGTAGGTGGCTTGGAGCACCTGTTTCTGGAGTGACGGGTTCGTGGTTCGACTCGGCGCTGTGCCCGGCTCTCCATCTGTGTTTCCTTTTCCCCTCTCGAGACGCGAAGCCGGTCGAAACAAGGCAAAAAGAAGACAGTTTCGTGGCACCGATAACTGCCACGAAAGCGTCTTCATGTTGCCCTGTATCGGCCCTCCAAGCGATCTCGATTCGGCTTTCTTCGCACCCTGAAACCGCCTTCCATGAAGGCGAAAACAAGACCAGATTAAGGTAGTTCGCAGACAAAAATCAGACGCTTGGTCAAAGCCTTCTTTAGGCATTTTTTCCAACCTTTTTTCGCCTCGACTTTGCCCTGCAGCCGCTCTGTTTATGCTTCGTTCGAACACCGAAGTGGGTCTCTTTGCGGTCTTCAAACAGCCCTGTACCTGCCTTCCCTACAATGCACCTTCAAGACGACTTCAAGGCGTAAAAATGACTTTGATTCCGACCCGGGCGTACATGAAGGAGAGGAGATCGGCGTGCTTCTCAGCGCCCAGCCTCCCCGCAGTCACCGGCAACTGCCTGTACATGAAGGAGAGGCGGATCGGTGGACGCAGCGTGCGTAGGCGATTGGCACTCTTTGTACGAGCCATACCTAGTCAATATGGGCCACGCGGCAATTAAGTACTTTTTTTTTGAGGTCGGTCAATTTTTGGGTCGGTCTAAATTTTTTCTCACATTTTGAAAAAAATATTCATGTACATTAAATGACACACTAAATGTAAAAAAAGCGGGGTCGGTCAAAAAAATAAAAAAAAAGTGCTTGCAAAAAAGTGGGGTCCGAGGGGGTAATCACTTGCTATTTTCGTGTACAGAGAATATGAATATGTGTGAATATCCGTGAATACCAAGAATATTGTTGAATACACATATTCGTCTGAATACTAGTGAATATGAGGTAATACTGGTGAATATTTGTGAATATCATGAATATCTAATGAATATCATGAAATTTGCACTTAAAACGCTTCAATATTGTGAGAAGAAATTTCTGGGACCCCCCGTCTCTACGAGAAAGAAAGTTTTCAACTAATAAGACCGTTTTTAAAATTACTTTTAAACCATAATGGGATCAATCAAGGGCCCCAAAGAAGCGCTCTAACTGCCAAAAAAATATTGGAGATGGCTTCCCAAGACTCCGTTAAACTTCAAAAACTTCACTGTCCCCCCCCCAAAAAAAAAAGACAAAATGTGACCTATATTGTTCCTGCTGAGTCACAGTGCATTGAAATAATTTCTACGTGTCTGCCCTGACGTTATGGGGCTATTTCAGAGGTTAATGTAACTTTGACACTACACAGTGATACGCTTTGCTTATTTTTATTGCCATACAGTGCTCTTTGTCTCGTTGTTCATCTTCGATTTAAACGTCGCCCTATATTGCCAGGCATGCTTAGGTATGTACTGAAATGAGTTCAAGCTCCTGGGAGTGTCAGTGTATTCGTGAGTACACGCCGAAGGGTACTCAGTGCTGTTGTGATGGTGCCCTAACCGGGCATCTCCAGCAGCATCAGCAGCGGGGTGGTGGAAGGGGTGATGGTGCCAAGGAAACGCACCACCAGTTCGGGCCAGCCCCCGTCATGGTCTCGACATAGCCAACCCGTGGCAGCACGAGACGCTTAAATTTGGGGAACGTGGGAATTAGGGCACTCAAACGCTCGTAGGTCATCCAAACCTTATGCAAAACATCCTGAATACTATTCAATACCTATGAATACAGGTGAATACCTCAAAATATTCCGAATATGTGTGAATATCATGAATATTTTTTGAATACCTGAAGACGTATGAATATTGCAGAATATTATGAATATGAATATCCCGGCGTGTACAGAGAATACTTCGAGTGAATACCCCCTCGGTGGGGTCGGTCAATGTCACGGTCGGTGTAACGAACAGCACCGTTAAAAACTCATATCTCAGGACAGAAGTCGAATATAAAAATTCCGTCACTAAAATCTCGTCTATACATCTTTAGGATAACCCGAAAAAATTTTCAAGACTTTACCTCTCAATGAAAGAAGCAGGAAGATTTTTCCCCAACGCTCTAAAAACCACTAAAAAGCCACTTTTCTCAGAGACCGTTCAACATTTTGGATCGAATTTTGTTTTGGGAACTCACCACACTCTACAAAAAATGTCCTGTCAACGCCGTTAATTTATTACCAATGTTTGCTGTTATGCAATTCACGGCATTTGCTGTGAACTAGTTCACGGCGTTCACTGTGATCTCGGTTACAGTGTTCACTGTGATCTGGCCACAGTAAACGCCATGAATTGGAGCCTGATTTGCAGTACTTCTGTGCTTAGCGGCGTCAAACTCACAGTGTTTACTGGGGACCAGATCACAGTGAACACCGCGAACAAGATCACAGTGAATCCCGTGAGCAGATCACAGTAAACGCTGTGAATTGACCCACAGTGAAAACTGGTAATAAATTAAGGGGGCTCATACATGTTAAAAGCACGTTTTTAAAAAAAAATTTGGATGTAGACGGATTAAGATTTTACAATTTCTGTGTTAAAATCCTTTTAGATAATTGAGTAAGCTTCATTTTGGCTTAAGGGAAAGTGACTTTGGACATTTTTTGGAGATTTAGTCGAAACGTTTAAAATTTTGCTTCTCGTAAGATTTTGTTCGCATACTTGCTCAGATCTGTGGGGAAAAAATCAGGGAGACTCATCCCCAGTAGTGTCATAGAATTGACTACAATGGGCTTTATATCTGCAATAGTTTTCAAGAAAAAAAATATATACAATTTTTTGTTCAAAAATTTGTTTAAAAAATTGTTTAAAAAATTGTTTTTATTTTTTTTCTTGAAAACTATTGCAGATATAAAGCCCATTGTAGTCAATTCTATGACACTACTGGGGATGAGTCTCCCTGATTTTTTCCCCACAGATCTGAGCAAGTATGCGAACAAAATCTTACGAGAAGCAAAATTTTAAACGTTTCGACTAAATCTCCAAAAAATGTCCAAAGTCACTTTCCCTTAAGCCAAAATGAAGCTTACTCAATTATCTAAAAGGATTTTAACACAGAAATTGTAAAATCTTAATCCGTCTACATCAAACGTTTTTTTTTTTAAAGTGCTTTTAACATGTATGAGCCCCCTTAACGGCATTTACAGGACATTTTTGGTAGAGTGCATAATGAACCTAATTGGCTGAGCGATAGCGAAGCCTGTTACTCCAGTGGGGTTGGAAAGTTTTGTCTGTCTGTCGGTCTGTCTGTCGGTCTGTCGGTCTGTCTGTCGGTCTGTCTGTCCGCGCTACTCCTCCTGAACGGCTCGGCCGATCTCAATGAGATTTTGCACACTTTTTGGGTATGTCCTTGGCTCGGCACACGCGAAATTTCACCATCCTAGCTCAACTGGTTCAGTTTTTACAGGCGAAAAACACCTAAAAAACGGCGAAAAATAGAGATTTCTGCAGATAGACCACTTCTGTCTTGGAGAAAGGGGGGTCTGGGGGGCGGAGCCCCCCAGCCTCGACAAGTTAAAAAGTGACAAGGGTCAAGATCGTGTTATCTGTAGATAAAACAACTCTATTTACAATGTAGGGGGGGTCTGGGGGAGCATTCAACAAGTTAAAAAATTAACCGACAACGGACAAGCCATTGCCTGCCGCAGGCAGGCTAGCGCCGCAGGCCAAGGTAGGTACGCCAGGCGTGGATTGGAGGAACAGGCAGCGAGACATCGCGAAGCCTGTTACGACAAGACGCGGTCTGGCGTAAACCTACCTTGTTATTAAGCAACGTTTCAACTTTCTGGGATTATTTTGAAGCCTACTTGAAAGTTTCACCAGGGTCCCCCCTGAAGGGGGCACACCAGTGAAAATGCAGAGGTTTCGTAAAACAGTCATTCTGTGAAAAGTAACAAACCTATTAGCTTGAAATTTTGGTTTTAACTCAAAAACATATCAAATCAAACGTCACTTGAGCAAGTGGCGGTGATGAAAAGTGGGGCTAGGAGTCACTTTCCGTTTTCGTCGACATGTTGTCACATTCTGAGAAAAAATGACGGTAAATCCTGGATAATTTTTTTGCCAAACTTTACCGTACTTGTTTTACAAAATATTCCGTAGTCTTTTAACAGTAGTTACCGTTCTTCCGTACAGCCCATGCCGTAGGAAGGGCCAGATCTGGTCCCAACAAAGGCCGCTTCCAAGAACTGTCCACATCAGGATCTTGAAAAAAGGGGGTCAACCGACTGAAAAAAACCTACCTTGTTAATGATTGCTGCTCGCGACGTGTTAGTGCGATGCTATCGGAGGTTCACACGATAGAGGGACGTAAAAGGAACATTTTGCCGCAAACCGCGTTCAATTAGACAAGGTAGGTTTACGCCAGACCGCGTCTTGTCGTAACAGGCTTCGCGATGTCTCGCTGCCTGTTCCTCCAATCCACGCCTGGCGTACCTACCTTGGCCTGCGGCGCTAGCCTGCCTGCGGCAGGCAATGGCCTGTCCGTTGTCGGTTATTTTTTAACTTGTTGAATGCTGGGGGGCGGAGCCCCCCAGACCCCCCTACATTGTAAATAGAGTCGTTTTATCTACAGATAACACGATTTTGACCCTTGTCACTTTTTAACTTGTCAAGGCTGGGGGGCTCCGCCCCCCAGACCCCCCTTTCTCCAAGACAGAAGTCTATCTGCAGAAATCTCTATTTTTCGCCGTTTTTAGGTGTTTTTCGCCTATAAAAACTGAACCAGTTGAGCTAGGATGGTGAAATTTCGCGTGTGCCGAGCCAAGGACATACCCAAGAAGTGTGCAAAATCTCACCGAGATCGGCCGAGCCGTTCAGGAGGAGTAGTGCGGACAGACAGACCGACAGACAGACGGACAGACAAAACTTTTCAACCCCACTGGAGTAACAGGCTTCGCTATCGCTCAGCCAATAACAAGGTAGGTGTACGCCAGACCGTGTCTTGTCGTAACAGGCTTCGCGATGCTGCGCCAGTTTCGACAATCCACGCCTGGCGTTACACCTACCTTGGCCTGCGGCGCTTGCCTGCCTTCGGCAGACTAGTTTTCTTTTCCAGGCATCCGCATACCGATTTGCGTGATTGAAGTTCAAAACAGCATTTGATTTCGTTCCTAGGGCTGCATTGGCCTGACTCTTTAACTTGTCGGGCCCCCCAGACCCCCCTTTCTTCAAGACAGAAGTGATCTGCCTGCAGAAAACTCGATTTTTCGCCGTTTTTTAGGTGTTTTTCGGCTATAAAAACCGAACCAGTTGAGCTAGTATAGTGAAATTTCGCGTGTGACGAGCCAAGCACATACCCAAAAAGTGTGCAAAATCTCACCGAGATCGGCCGAGCCGTTCAGGAGGAGTAGCGCGGACACACACACACACACACACACGCACGCACGCACGCAGACAGGAAAAATTTTTCAACCCCACCTGAGTAACAGGCTTCGCTATCGCTCAGCCAATGAGATATCTCAATTATTGCGGTCGTGAGCCTGGGCACCAGGTCCAAAATTGGTGATTTGAGAAAATGACGTTCTAAGTTAAACTACGGTTTACACGCGTTCTTTCCGATTACGGACGCAATTTATGACATATTTGAGTTCGGTTTGCGTCAAAATATTTCTTTTTCCAACTGCAATTGGATGGCCTGAGGGTTGTGTCATTGGACTTCAAGTGAATCACCTGAACGTTAACAATTGAGATGAAATATGCAAAAATAGTTACCTTTATAGCAACTACAAAAATGTGCCCAAGCCAAAGTAATTGGAATTTTGAGGTGGGGTTTGCGGCGTTCGACTCGGGATGAGTAGCAGAAAACAAGGTAGGTTTACGCCAGACCGCGTCTTGTCGTAACAGGCTTCGCGATGTCTCGCTGCCTGTTCCTCCAATCCACGCCTGGCGTACCTACCATGGCCTGCGGCGCTAGCCTGCCTGCGGCAGGCAATGGCTTGTCCGTTGTCGGTTATTTTTTAACTCGTTGAATGCTGGGGGGCTCCGCCCCCCAGACCCCCCTACATTGTAAATAGAGTTGTTTTATCTACAGATAACACGTTCTTGACCCTTGTCACTTTTTAACTTGTCGAGGCTGGGGGGCTCCGCCCCCCAGACCCCCCTTTCTCCAAGACAGAAGTGGTCTATCTGCAGAAATCTCTATTTTTCGCCGTTTTTTAGGTGTTTTTCGCCTATAAAAACTGAACCAGTTGAGCTAGGATGGTGAAATTTCGCGTGTGCCGAGCCAAGGACATACCCAAAAAGTGTGCAAAATCTCATTGAGATCGGCCGAGCCGTTCAGGAGGAGTAGCGCGGACAGACCGACAGACAGACCGACAGACAGACCGACAGACCGACAGACAGACAGACAGACAAAACTTTCCAACCCCACTGGAGTAACAGGCTTCGCTATCGCTCAGCCAATAAGGATAAAATAAAATAGAAGGCCAAAATTTGACGATTTTCACTGGTGTGCTCCCTTAAAATAGCCATTTATTGAATTCCCAAAATACGCTTTCTTACTTTAGCGTACTTAGCGCTCGTAACACCGTTAAGGACTGTTTATGGCCCAAAGGGCGTAGTTTTTAGGCGTTTGTTTTACCAGCATGTGTGTTTAGGCAGCGGCGCGGCGTATTAGGCACCGGGTCAGAGGGTCAGCTGACCCCCCAGTTTTTGGAGCTGCCCCGGGTCAATCCCCTGCGAGGTAGGCAACATGCACTACACTGACCCCCCAACTTTTTTGACGTTCCTACGCGCCTGTGTTTAGGTGAGACTCACCGCTTCCTCATTCATTTCCTGGCGGCTGGCAGCAACGGGTCAAAGCAGGAGAGTCCGCCCGAATCTCCTCTCAGATTGCAGTGCCCTCTGGGCTTTAGTTGCGTCTGAAACAAACGGAAAAAGACATTTCAAACGACTCACTAGACGGATAACATGACACGGTATTATTGGTCCGCTAAACTTCTCACACGCTCAGACCTATATGGACTTTTTTCTCTCTTGCTTATAGCGGTTTTTGAGCAAACGTAAAATGTACTATTTCCTTCTTCACTATGCACAATTTTGATCGTTTTAGGGATATAATTGTCAATACAGCATATGGGTGATTCCACGCCAGCCCTTGAGGTCTGTGTTGCCTCGTAACATCTATTTTCGGTTCTTATAAACTCGATTGGATGAATAGACTATTCTAGTCGTGGCTGAGTGAAGAACAAGAAGAATCACAAAAGTGTACTTTTTCGCACTTTTACTTCAAATGTTTAAGTCCCCTTGCTTGGTAGAAGTTAATTCAAATATTTTATAGTAAATGCAACATATTTCATCAAATATGTTCACTTTAAATGCCCTCAATGGCGTCTTTTGTGATTCTTCTTGTTCTTCACTCAGCCACGACTAGAATAGTCTATTGAAACTGGTTGGGATGAAAAGCGGACTGCAGGGGCACAAAAATACCTAAATTGGTCAAAATGGGAATAAATTTCCAATGAAATTTATTAAAGGAAAAACCTTTGAGGCCAAAAAAGTCGAATGGCCGACCTCGCTACAGCGTTGCGACCATAACAAAAGTTGTAGGCCTTGTCCTTAGCTTTCCGAATCTGTTGAGAAAAGTTGCAGAATCGAAAAAATGTCAGTTTTACGGGCAAAAAACGTGTGAAAAATGGCAGATTTTGGTACAAAATTTTCATGTTTTTCGCGATTTATAGCTCTCCAAGCCTAGCCAATACTAGGAAATCATTTCTTTTACAAGATAACATCATGAAATGACCATATGCCGTGAAAAAAGCTGACAGATAGGAAAATGATTCGATGTCGCACGATGTCGCATTTTTTGGCGTTTCGCTCCACTGTGGCACCTACGCCCCTACTCCGCCGATGTCGACCCCCACCACCGCTCAGCACGGCAGCGCGACGCAGCGACGCTCTTTTGTTTCTCCCGTTCTGTCGCTGACTTCCGGTCTAAGTTTTCTCCGAAGTCCCCTATGTTACGCATTAAGGGTGAGGGACGGGGGGTGGAGAAGTCCTGCGTAACGCTGCTTGCACATGGAGGGGAAGGGAGCCCGAGGCAGGTTCATTATGTATGAGAGCACATTTCAGGAGGACCAGAAGTATATAAGAGTAAAGGAAGAAATTCTCTGAGAAAATAGGGTATTTCAAAGAAGCTCTGGCCCGGAAGAAGAACAAACACGGAAGTAAGAAACTGTCAAACGGAAGTAAGAAACTGTCAATGACAGTTTCTTACTTCCGTTTTTGTTCTTCCGGGCCAGAGCTTCTTTGGATTTGGAGTACTCTATGGGCGTAACGTTACGCTGTTATAGGGCGTGGGAGGTTCCAGCCCAGCGCAACGCTGCGTAACATAGTGGGATGGGGTGGTTCAAATGTACCTTTGAGTGCGTAACGGTCGGTCCCTCATGGAAGTCGTTACGCCTACGTCAAGAAAGAAGGAAGGAAGACATGCTGCAACAACAATGGCCGCCGGAGGCTCCCACTTGGACTAAGTAGCAGCAAGCAGCCGACGAAGCCCCTGGCGGTCATATTTTTGAAGCATTGTCGCCCCTTTCATCTTGTACCACTTCAGCTCAAGTACGCCATTGCGACAGCGATAGAAGGGAGTAAGAAACTTGAACCCTTCTGTGGTAAGGTATGCACCTACTTAGCAGTTCGATCACATTTCCTGGAAGTCATCGATTGTAGAACCAAACGGCGTGAAAACCGGAAATGCTGTCGTGTGGGAGTTGTGAGCGAGCCGCGTTTGAGGAGAAACGGTGTCAAGTTTACGTAGCGCTTCAAGATTCATCACCGACGGTTACTTCAATGAATCTTTAAACGGAAGAAGAACAATAGTAAGCCTTCAAAACAACTTCTGCGCACCCGGTGGTGACGGTCTGCGCATGCTCAGAAGCTTTATTGAGGGCTTACTTTTGATCTCCTTCTATCCTTGTGGATCAGCCTTGAAAGTAAATGCAGTCGGCTGGCGGCACCATTTCCGATGTTGGGTAGTTTTCACCGAAACGTACAATTACGAGCCCCAAATTCTCTTAAAGTTCAGTTGGCCCATACGAGATTTTTTTTTTTTTGGATTTCCAAATAATTGTTTTCATCCACATCAAAGAGTACCGTAAACCGGGGTAACTTGAGACAGCAAGGGTAACTTGTAGTGTTTTAAAGGGTAGGAATATTCCCGGGAAGTTAGGGAATTCCCGGGAACGTTCCCGGGCACAATCAGACCCATAAAATGGGAAATTCCCGGGAATTTTTAAAACATGCGTAAAAATAGTTGGTTTTTGCCCGAAAAATGTAGAAAGTGCAAGGTATCAAGTAATAAGGCATGGTTTTCTTCATGTCGGATGAAAGAGTGACTCTAAATGCAATCATAGTTCATTGGTTAAACGATTAAACTTTGTGGGAATAATGGAAGCGAGAAGAAAACACAAGGCTCCAATGAGCAACATAACCTCAAACCCATAGCAATAATGCAATTTTTAATTCCTTAGTAATCTTAGTTTTGGCCAGTGACCGGGGTTGCCCCTTAGCGGGTGAACAAAATAGGGTGTAGGGCATCTTCTCAGCAATTTTCATGAGTTTTTCTTAACTTTCGCCTAGTCGTTCGAACTACCCTAAGGAGATTACTCAACTTGTACTTTCATAATTCTAATGAAGACTGAACGGTCAACTCGAATTACGTCCCCCATTAATTTAGGAAACTATTTGGAAACAAGATGTGACCTAGTTAAATTTACTGTTTGTTCTTGCAGATGGAGTGCCAAGTGTGTACGCTGCGTTTTGACGCCATTGCCCACCGGCCGAAGATCCTCCCTTGCGGGCACACACTATGCCTCAAGTGCATCCAAGAGTTACCCACTAGGACGTGCCCTCTAGACAATATGGTGAGGTTTCTTATTGCAGCTTCGAGGATTTTTTTCAGACGCACTCACTGTTAAAATCTGTCGTCACTCTATGACTAAGTCATGGATGAAATTATCATCACTCAAGTCATCACTTTTAAATGATGTAAATTTTTTCACCAATTGATTACTTTCTCATCAAAGTTCCTGTACTTACTGCATGGGCGTGACAACTTAGTCATCACATGTTTTGATGATATTCTTGTTCGAAAAATAAGCCTTGATATAATTCAATGTTCCTCAGAAAATCGAGCTCAGTTGCTTTTGAATACCGTTAACTTCGGGAAATTCCGAAAAATTTTAGAAGTATGTCACGAGAGATTCCGAAATACTCTACAAAATGCATCTTGTAAACGTATTTCGTAACATGTGAGGAATATTAACAGTGTAAAATCTGTCATCTGCATATGAAGTCCTTCCCACTCCTCTGTAGCTGGTAGCTCATTGCTATTTCTCTGTGTCGTTTGTGTAGGTCTTCACGCCTTCGCCGGAGAGCTTAGTGGACAATCTCATCGTATTGGATGCCTGCAATACGTAAGTCTGTAGTCCTTCCATCGTGCTTCGTACACACTACATTTCTTACGGATACACCCTATCTGTATTACGGACATTTTTGTGCAATTGCAATTACGGATAGATTTTGCTTGTAATACGGATGAAATCATCCGTATTACAAAGAGTTTTACGTCCGTACCATACGGATCTTTTCGTCTGTATGTTACGGACGTAAAACTCTTTGTAATACGGATGATTTCATCCGTATTACAAGCAAAATCTATCCGTAATTGCAATTGCACAAAAATGTCCGTAATACAGATAGGATGTATCCGTAAGAAGTTTAGTGTGTAGCCGCGACCACGCGGGTACCACACTGCTCAGGACGGGCTGAGTATGACCGAAAAAGGGTCATATTTAAATGAATGACCAAAAATAGGTCTCATATCAGCGAGACTGGCTATTGTTAAGCTTGGGGATATATCAGCCTTTACCTGTGATACACTATAAAGTATGACCGTTTTTTGTCATACATGGAGGTATGACCTTTCTACGGTCTTAAATTTCAGTATGACCCTTTCTCGGTCGTACATTTCAGTAAAACCGTTATAGGGGTCAAAAGTCTGACCTTTCTATTTTCAGCGTTCTCTGCCAATCATACGCGCAGTAAAGTTTTGGCGTATTGTAGTGGTTTAGCAAAGCGATTACGGATACCAGGTTGTAGGGCTTAGAGTCAAACTTCCGTTTTGAAAACGAACATTAAAGAACCAGCTTTTTATTTGGAAACCCCACTAAACTTTTTAGTTATTGAGAAGAGATTTTATTGAAGCCTGAAATCAGTTAAAATTTTGGTGTTACAGACGAGTCTTTCCCCTTAAGGGAAGGGGGGGGATAATATTTCCTAAATGTCTGATAGTAGGCAACCATCATCACATGCCCCTTTAGGTAGGCAAAATATACACAATCGCGCTCCCTGTCGGGGGCTCCCTAAACCGCGCTTGTCTTCCTCCACATGCTTCGTGGTTCCGGATTAATCACTACTGCCAACACCCCTTTCGGCAGGTTTCAGAGGTCCGTTGTGGCGCCGTTGTGGTGCCGGTCCTGCAACAACCCCGCCACGGAGGCGTGCGTGGACGACGGAGGCCATGCCGTCGTCACGTGCAAGAAGGCGAGGCTGGACGACGCGGGGCCGCTCCTGGAGGAGCTGGACCTCAGCGAGACCGCCCTGGACCGAATCGCGGAGCTGGTGTCCATCCCCAAGATTGAGGAGGCGGCCGAGGACCTGCGCCACCAGCTGCAGCGGACGAAGGCGTCTCTGCACGCGGCGAGGGAACGCTTGCTGGCGGCGCGGGAGGCCGACGACGCGGCCTGGGGGCAGGCCAAGCAGGGCGCGGCGATGGCCGGTAAGCACGTTTTTGGAAGACATTGCGTGAGAGGTACCGAAATCGACGGATGTAGTTCGTGGCCTCCAATGTGAGGTTGAGGCGTAAGTGTAAAAACAGCTAAAACCGAAGTTAGCCCGGGATGATTTGTAAGAAAATAACCCTACGATTTTTTAAAAAGAAGTTGAGGGTGAATAGATCGTGAAAAGTCTATCTTGTCTAACGAATTAAAGAAGTTCTGCGCTAATTTTGCCCACCGTGAAGGGATTCTGCGCAACTGTTTTGGTCTGATTAATGTAGGGTTTTTCTCGGAGGTTCCTTAGTTCAAAGTTGTGAAGCGAAATTGAACTTTGTCCATAGTTTGGAATGAAAAGAAAATTTAAGTTAACATGACTTAAAATACGTTTAACATGTGAAGTGGGAAGGTCTTCTCTACCCTTCGAATTCCTTTTAAAATGGGTTGTTTCGTAACTCTGATAAAACATTCTTATCAAAGTAATTAAAAAATTGCTCCAGTTTTTTTGGCTTAATCTGTTGCACAGATTCCCTTTGACAGACACTAAGGTCCGAATTTGCTTATCAATGATCCACTGTTCGTGAACTGCTAGATGGATGCTAGACGGCTACTGAGGGATTTTGTGTTTCTTTTGCGTTCTGACTGCAAAGGCAGATCCCCCTATCGACGGCCCCTATTCAAAAGATCTTATCTGCGCGCTCCTATTCAAAGAATCTCATCTGCAACGCACGCAAATTTCACTAAGTTTGACCATTTGGGAGGGAGAAGAGGGTTAGCGTTACATATTTCTACACGCACTATTAATTTCTTCGATCTTTCATCTTCAAGTTTGTGTAACTACAATCCCAAATTATTTTGATTTGTGGCTGCCTCTAATGGTCAAACTTAGTGAAATTCGCTTGCTTTGCAGATAAGATTCTTTGAATAGGAGCGCCCAGATAAGATCTTTTGAATAGGACCCCTCGCTATGTCCTGAAGTCAGGAATTTTCATCCGCACTAGAGTTCCAGGAACGTGACATCACGTTGAAATGATTGTGACAAAATGTCATGTTTCTTGAGCGTTGTATCACATTCTTTCGGACGTGAAGCAGCCATGAACTACGTAGCTTACTCACATTCAAACGAATGTGACACAATGCTCAAACGAACGTGGCAATTTGTCACAATCATTTCAACGTGATGTCACGTTCCTGGAATGAGAGCGTAGTGATAAATCAGATACTGACTAGCTTCTTTACAAAGACCTAGACATGGGCTACTTGTTATCATGACTGGAAGCGACCAGACGCCTCCTTTTAGACGAAAATAATAGAAGTTAGAAATATTGTGTTAAATGTTATTTTTAACTTTAAATATTTTCGTCCAGAAGAACGCGTCCCCGTTTCCAGGAAAGATAACGAAAATAACCCATGGCAATACCTTATTGAAGAACTTCGTCACATCAATTTTATTTTCAACGTTTTCGGAATATGATCGAAAATGCTCGAAAACGTGGAAGTATTATTTTTTAAGTTACGGACCCCTGCCGAAGACCCCATTTTTCATTAGTATTTACATCATAGAAGATTACAGTAAGTTTCACTTGTTTCTCGCTATGCTCCTCAAATCTTTCTAACGCAGTAACGAAAAGTTTTAATTTTAAAAGGGATTTTGAGAACAGATTCAATTAGGACGTCAAAACTTGTCGTTATTAGTGCACAACAACAGTAAGGTAACAATTTCTTTAAACTTTGTTTGTGCTGTCTTATGCCAGATAACTTTCATCCATTCACCTTCAACTTCAAATAATCATACTTGCAACCTTAGTACAGGATTCGTTTCACCCTGCAAACATGTCTTGTAAATACTCCCGTATAAATGCATGCTTGCAAGTACATGTTTGGCCAGGTACATACTCACTTACAAATGCATGGTAGGCGCCGTATCACTCCATGCTTAGCATAGGCATTTGTAAGTATGTTCTTGCCAAGCATGCATTTGTAAGTGTGTACTGAGTAGACAGACAGTTATGTTCGTAGTATAAATAACTCAAACTGTGTTTAATAGAGCATTTCCAGCTGTTTTTTTTTCACCAACGCCTCTCAACGTACAGTACCCTGACTTGGATGCCCTGTCCCGTAGGACTATCCCGACTCGCCAACGACCTGGTGGCCGTCCTGAGCGACCCCTCCGCCTCGTGCACGCTGAGCCTGCGTTGCGGCGACGCGGCGTGGAGTGGCGACGTGAGGCCCGCCGAGGACGCTGCAGCCAGGCTGGTGTTGTGCCGACTGCTGTGCGGTCTGCAGCAGCGGGTGAAGCAAGAACCTGAAGAGTTGGTGTCGCCGCAACGGCAGCCACGTGGACCTGGAGTGGAACAACAGGGAAGACACGTACCGCGGCAAGAGCCGCCGCAACAGAATAAGCCTCAGCAGGGAATTCAGGAGCCTCTGGAGAAACCACGGCAACAGGAGAAGCCTCACCAAGAAAATCAGGTGCCTCTGGAGAAACCACGGCAACAGGAGAAGCCTCACCAAGAAAATCAGGTGCCTCTGGAGAAACCACGGCAACAGGAGAAGCCTCACCAAGAAAATCAGGTGCCTCTGGAGAAACCACGGCAACAGGAGAAGCCTCACGAAGAAAATCAGGTGCCTCTGGAAAAACCACGCCAACAAGAGAAGCCTCACCAAGAAAATCAGGTGCCTCTGGAGAAACCACGGCAACAGGAGAAGCCTCACCAAGAAAATCAGGTGCCTCTGGAGAAACCACGTCAGCAGGAGAAGCCTCACCAAGAAAATCAGGTGCCTCTGGAGAAACCACGGCAACAGGAGAAGCCTCACGAAGAAAATCAGGTGTCTCTGGAGAAACCACGGCAACAGGACAGACCCCTAGACCTGACTGGCAATGGTAAGTCAGTACTGCATGATTGTGAATGTCCCGCGCGCCGGGGAGTTGCCTACATTTCGGCCTATTTCGTCTCCTTTGCGATGGGTCCTATGAACAAAGACCGATGTCTTTTGGGTAGCTCGAACAAAGACCGATCTCCATTTCGGCCGTCTCTGCATTCTCCGCTTCTTTATCTTGTGGTTCTCGCAACAGACATCCAACTCAAGAAATACAGGGTGAGTTTTCTCAATGTGTCAATAATTTGTAGGTAGTTTGGGCACCCCAAGGCGATCATTTTCTACCAATGAACTAGTGGGCGCAAACGTCTAGGTACGGAGATAATTGGTGTTTTGTAATTGGCCTTCGCGCCTGCGAGGTAGGCACCCGCAGCCACTGATGGTCGCAGGACCTCGCGTGGGGGTGTCGCGGGTCTAGGAGGAGTCCGGCGGACCTTGCAAATGTCTTTTGGGAGGGGTTGCCGCGGGTCTGAAGAGGCTGTCATGGTGGCCCCCGTTACAGTGGATCTCACGGCTGTCTTTGCGAGGGTGGCGGGATTCCTCGGATACTTCCGCGAGGTCAGTGGCACTCCCGCGAGTACTGCTAGTCCCGCGACACCCCCTCGACAGGTCCTGCCGCCCTCAGTGGCACCGGGTGCCTACCTCGTAGGCGCAAAATCCAATTACAAAACACCAATTATCTCCGTACCTAGACGTTTGCGCCCACTAGTTCATTGGCGAAAAATGGTCCCCTAGGGATGCCCAAACTGCCTGCAAATTATTGACACATTGAGGAAACTCACCCTGTAGTTTGCAGGTTTTGTGTCAAACATATTAGAGAATGATATTCTAAAACTGATCTGTGTGTAATTAGAACGTAGAGATTAGAGATTGTTCTGAGACTTCAAAATGACCGCGTTGAGAGGTTAGGAAATGGAGATCGGTCTTTGTTCGAGCGACCCAAAGGATATTGGTCTTTGTTCATAGGACGGCCGTTGCTTGGTCTTTTTCGGCGTATCGTGTGGTTCCAACGACGCAGCTCCACCTTTTTTTTTGCACTGCCCTGTCAAGACTGCTGAATCAAACGCACGGGTCCGTAATGTCCTTCACTTGCACGTGTCGACCTGTCGTAGTCGTGTACTACACACTAAATTCTTGTGGACTTCTTATGCATATTTATGCATGCACAGATACGTGCGTAAGGTGTGCTTAATATTCTACACGCCCTACGTACGTATCTGCGCATGCGCAATGCACAAGAAGCGCATAACTATGCATCTAAAAAGTGCACATGAGATCAGCACTGTCAGAAAAAAAGTCCGTAAATTTACGGAGAAAGTTACTCTAATTTTGGGAATGGAGGCTCCGTAAATTTTCCATATTTTTACGGAGATTTTCCGTATTTTTACGGAGATGAACCGCATTTTTGCAGAAATAAACGCATTTTAACGGTTTACTTCCCTCCTTCCACCTTCGATGTTAATGCAAACAGTGTCCTTTGAGACGAAATTGATATTCTCCAAAACTGTTCGAGGATCCGCTTGACCACATGCCATTAGGATCGGATAAATAAACGGAAACCCAAAGGCGAGGTCGCTTTAGGGAAGGCGTACTCTTGGAACACCTAATCAGTTGGTCACCCAACCCATCGATAACGTGAATTAGTCTGTTTTTTTTATAAGTAAGGCTTCTATTTCATTTGTATACATAACTTCCATATTTTTACGGAGAAAATCCATAATTCAAAAAAACGGAGATCTCCGTTAAAAAAAAAATGGACAGTCTCCGTTAAATTTCCGTATTTTTACGGAGTTTTCTGACAGTGAGGGTGTAGCTTACAAGCGTCGACCTGTCGTAGTCATGTACTGGCTTACAAGCGTCGACCACACCGCGCCCTACGCCTAGAAGCGTAGGGCAGGCACACACTATCAGCACGTTACTGCTTTTTCCCTCATTAATTACGTATCCGTATAAAGAGCAATAATACGTCGTAGTATTTTCTAAGAAAGTATGTCTAATTTCCTTTGTAAAATTATGTACAAAACAGAATTCTCACTACATTATGTAATATTTCCTATGTAGTTCTTTAAAAAGGGAAAGTACGTATTATAGTTGATCAGGTTACTTGCAGAAGTACTGACAAAATGAGCAAAAAGTCAATAATGTGCCGAGAGTGCAGCTTGTTCAGCGATCCAAAACCATTGATTTGTCATGCTTCCAGTGTGGTGGACAATTATTAAAGCGCGTACCCCACAATACGCTACCAACCTTGTTTATGAACACCTTTAAGTACCTCTGCAGTACTTCGATGAAACATTTTTTTTTCGGACGAATAACATAAGATTAAGGAGGCACGTCACACTTTGTGCCCAGCTTTTTATCCACATCCATTTCCGAATGTTTTTGAACCTAAAAAACGGGTTTAAATGGGCCTTTTCTCTGTGCATAGATGATGTACGGAATTTCATTACGAAAGAGTCGCGCGGCAAGGACGGTGCTGCTCCTGGACCCACCACCGTCGCCCCCCAGCAGCAACCTAGCACTGCGCCCGTGAAGCGCAACCCCAACAAGTTCAAACGCCCGGCGTTAGATCTAGACTCGCCCCGCTCCTCGGCTCGCATCAGTCGCCGTGGACTGTCGCAGGCTCCGTCGGTAAGTTGAACACCGTCAAGCGTCTAGGCCTAAAGCATTTCCGATATTGGATACACACTAAAATGTTCACTCTCAGTCTCGTACTGACCTTTTATCTCTTGCCATAAAGTTTTTTGTGCAAACGTAATATGTACTATTTCCTCTTTAGCTGTGCGCCACTATTTTGTTCATTTTATAATGTATTTAGTCCATTAAACCTGACATATTGACATTTGCCGTGTACTTTTCTATTTCTACATGATCTATTGACAATTTTATCTTTACAACGATCATAACTGTGCATAGTTAAGGAGAAAACAGCACATTTTATGTTTGCTCAATGTCGACGCCCGCACACACTAAATTCTTATGGACTTTTTTATGCATAGTTATGCATGCACAGATACGTCCATATGTTATGTATAATATTATGCATACCTTATGAACGTTTCTGCGCATGCGTAACTATGCATAAAAAATGCGTCCTTATGCACTTAAAAAGTCCATAAGAATTTAGAGTGTATTACGCGGTATTACGCTGTATTACGGGGATATTAAACGTGTATTACAGCATTAAAATGCCAAAATTTTGCACATTTTGCCCCAAAATGGTATTACAGTTACGTGTATTACGCGTAATACACGGTTTTTGTGTACAGGGTATTACACGAGTGTCCCCTCGTGTACACCGTTGCCACCCCCTGGTCTGTCACTTGCAAGTGAGTGACACCAATAAATGTCACACACTTTGCACCGGTCGCGTGGGCATTGATCCACCGAAGCCTCGTCAAAAAATGTGGGACAGACCGTGCATCATACTATGAGCTGCACTCTCAGACTTTACTTGACTTGTTTCTTTTGTTAAAGAGATTTTTACGCATCAATAAGAAGTACTGTTTCCCAGGGGGTGGCAACGGCCTAGGCGGCGCGTGAAACGATGCTCCCCGCTCGGGCCGGCGAGCGACGAGCGGCCGACCGCTGTGCACGGTGTCACTAAAATCAACATAACTTCATCAAAACTTCATCAAATTAAAAAACCCAGGTCATTTTCAGCATCTACACAAAATTTCCTATTTGTATTTAGTCATGGTTTACAGTTTTAGACCCGTTCAAAATGTTAAATCTCAATTTATAATCAAATTTACCGGCAATTTTAGCCAATTCAATATTTTGCAACGACGAAAAAAGTTATTTCCGTTCGTTTTAGGTCCATACATGCAGCGAGCCAATTGTTGGCCTCCACTTCCCCTATTGCGTAAGCATACTGGAATGCCGATACGACATCTGTGACGGTCACGGTGGCCCATAATGTAATTTGCAAAATTAGACCAAAAGCAGTTAGACTGACTTTGGGAATATTTTTCGTAGCTCTTTCGCACTTGTTTATCGTTCTGCAATAGCCTATACCACGCAGTATTTAATTCTCTATCGCCCTGTTGTAACGGTTTTTCAAACGGACGTTTCAGTTTTCACATTTCGAATTAGTTTTAAAACACTGCAAACTAACCCTAAAAGTACACGTATTTGGTAAAGCTTCACTTGAAGAAACTAGGTGTCGTATCGCAAATCTGACTTCACCACGTTGTAGAGCGGACAATTCTACATGCCCCCGTCAAGTTTCATCACAATCGGTTGATTGGTTTGAATGCTTCAAAGATATTTCAAAAGGCAGACGACGCTTGGGCTTGGCGACGAGTCGGGTCACGCAGCCCAAGTATGAGAAATCGCTGCGGCGGTTATGTCGTCATAGTTGCCGAAAATTGAATGCTGTCATCAAACTAATCAACCGATTGTGATGAAACTTGACGGGGGCATGTAGAATTGTCCGCTCTACAACGTGGTGAAGTCAGATTTGCGATACGACACCTAGTTTCTTCAAGTGAAGCTTTACCAAATACGTGTACTTTTAGGGTTAGTTTGCAGTGTTTTAAAACTAATTCGAAATGTGAAAACTGAAACGTCCGTTTGAAAAACCGTTACAACAGGGCGATAGAGAATTAAATACTGCGTGGTATAGGCTATTGCAGAACGATAAACAAGTGCGAAAGAGCTACGAAAAATATTCCCAAAGTCAGTCTAACTGCTTTTGGTCTAATTTTGCAAATTACATTATGGGCCACCGTGACCGTCACAGATGTCGTATCGGCATTCCAGTATGCTTACGCAATAGGGGAAGTGGAGGCCAACAATCGGCTCGCTGCATGTATGGACCTAAAACGAACGGAAATAACTTTTTTCGTCGTTGCAAAATATTGAATTGGCTAAAATTGCCGGTAAATTTGATTATAAATTGAGATTTAACATTTTGAACGGGTCTAAAACTGTAAACCATGACTAAATACAAATAGGAAATTTTGTGTAGATGCTGAAAATGACCTGGGTTTTTTAATTTGATGAAGTTTTGATGAAGTTATGTTGATTTTAGTGACACCGTGCACAGCGGTCGGCCGCTCGTCGCTCGCCGGCCCGAGCGGGGAGCATCGTTTCACGCGCCGCCTAGGCCGTTGCCACCCCCTGTGTTTCCTCAGTGTAAGATTTTGTTCGTTATATTTGACTTTAAAGTCAATTTGCTATTGACTAAGAGTCAATACGCAATTGACTTCAGAAATAGTCAATAATTTATGACAATTTAGTCTTAATAGTGAACAATATTGTACATGGTTACAAAGGAAATACTACATGTTATGCTTAAAAAACGTAAGCAAGGGACCAAAAGTCAATAATAGAGAGAAAAAAGTCAATACGAGTCTGAGGGTGCATCTTAGTTGGGCCGAAACCAACCGAAGCATCGGTTGGACCAACTTATTGTTTTTTCCGTGTACCTCACCCAAAATTAAGCCTTACTTTTAGGTGAGGTGTATTCGTTACTACGGCCTGCACTGTGGCAAAAAGGTACGTAAAATTCTGTTAATTTTTTTGCCAGGATTCTCCGTAGCCCTCTTATCAATATTCTCCGTAGGCTCTTACAGTATTCTCCGTAGGGCCGTACAGTCTTCTCCGTAGGACCTGGAAGGCTGTATAGTCCTGGTGGCAACGCTGTACACGTATGCTGACGCCATGTTCGACCCCCCCTTAAATCATGGTTCTTTTCAAGGAGATTCTCTCTGAACCCAGCAAAGGAATCGAATGAAACTTGAGTGCGGCATCAAGTTAAGAGGTCATATTAAAGTAATAATTAAACGAGAGCACACTTACGATCAAATCACTCCTCGTAACCGCATCGCGAAAACAAGAGAAAAATTGGGTTTTGTTACAATCGCTACAAGAAAAGTGTCTACTTATACTTTCAAAACGTTTATCTTGGAAAGTTTTTGAGTTTGTGAGTTGAAACCTGGCTTAAACACTTCCTCAATTCATATATTATCGTAATAACAAAACAGCTTGGCTCTAATGGACTTAGTACTTTGGATCTCGTCGAAGTAAACCAATGTGCTAGGGGGGGCCGAACATGGCGTCAAGAAAGATGCAGGGCGTTGCCCCCCTGGTCCTACGGAGATCACGGTAAGGTCCTACGGAAAATACTGTGCGGTCCTACGGAAAATACTGTAAGAGCCTACGGAGAATACTGACAAGGGGGCTACGGAGAATTGCCACAACCTGTTAACAGAATTTTCCGTCGCTTTTTGCCACAGTGTGGTTGGCTGTTTCGTTCTCAGAGGTCGCCATTGTCTTTGCACAGATCACTCCCAATGAAATATCGCTTGAGGAGATGGCGTCCAGGATAAAGGTAGGGTCAAGGGTGGCCAGAGGAAAGAACTGGGAGAGAACACGCGAGGTCGACGGCAAGCCTCCGGGGCCCGGCACCGTACTTGCCCGGAAGTACCGTTCCAGCAACGGACCTTTCGTGGAGGTCAAGTGGGACCGCGACCCTACGAAGAGTGTCCGGCGCTATGCCATGGAGCGGAGTGGGAACTCCAGCCTCCGACTGCTCTCTGCCACTCCGCTGGTGAGTTGTATACACAAGTACAATACATATACATTATGTACATAGTGCAATACAAGTACTCAATTGTGTACATAGTACACTCCACCTGGAGCCAACATGCATGTACACTCCAGTTTGGCATGTACTTTCCAAGTACATTCCAGGTGCGCATACCTGCAAGTACACTGCTGCTCGGTCTAACACGCAAAGATAGGGAGCTTTAGCAACAGTGTACCTTACCTGAAAGGTATGCACCACCCTGGCGTGTACTTGGTAAGTACACGCCAACCTTAAGTGTACATGCCAGGTTGTAGTGTACATGCATGTTGGCTCCAGTTGGAGTGTACTATGTACACAATTGAGTTTGTAGAGTAAGTGGCTGAGTTGTGAGGGAGCACTCTCATTCCAGGAACGTGACATCACGTTGAAACGAACGTGACAACCTGTCACGTTCGTTTGAGCATTGTGTCACGTTCGTTTGAATGTGAACGAGCTGATTTTCGGCCAATTCACACCCAAACGAATGTGACACAATGCTCAAACGAACGTGACAGGTTGTCACGTTCGTTTCAACGTGATGTCACGTTCCTGGAATGAGAGTGAGCAACTTCCCTCATTCATTGTTTAAAATTTGGAGGCATTAGGGTGGTAAAAACCGGCGAAAACGCCTGTAGACAAGCAATGAAAATTTTGGGTGTCACAAAATAACGCCCAGCTTTTGCTGCGTAACTGCGAAGGAAATGCAGGCATTGCAGAATTGCGTTATTATGAAGAAATGCTTTATATTGCGAAGGATCTTTCTTCGCAATTAATACGAGGCAATTTTTCGTAAAACTTCCAATGACTTTGTTTTCTCCGTATTAGGGAGAAAACACTGCAAAGCCGGTGGCAAGTTTACTTGCCACAAATTTGGCAAGCCGTTTTGAATGCCAAAATTTGGCAAGCTTGGCCCGGAAATACTCCCCAGCTTGCCAAAATTTGGCAAGCTTATGAAGATTGCCGACCAAAGCCTGCCAAATTTTGGCATTCAAACCGGCTTGCTAAATTTGTGGCAAGTAAACTTACCACTGGCTTTGCAGTAAAAGAACGATAAGATTCGCCATACACCAAAATTTAGCTTTCTGTCTCAATCCATGCGGTCATAACCACAAAAAAAAAGATTTAAAAAACGGCAGATAAATGCAAGGTATACAAGATCGGGAGGAGGATTTCGGCCATGAGTAGTGCTATTGCATGGGATCGGGGCGATCAGACAAAATTCAGTGGACCTGGCTCCGACAATATAGGCCGCTTCCACGAGTTGGCCAGATCAGGATCATAGAAAAAGGGGGTCGACCGACCGAAAAATTTTAGTGTGGTATCCGATAGGTCTGAGCAGGGGGCGGCAACGGCCTAGGAAGCGCGTGAAGCCATGCGCGTGTATGGTGCGGGGGTTACTTATTTTGCTTCGATTGTAAGATCTAGCCCGTTGATTGCAAAACGCTTTGCACAGATCAAAAGAGCACAAAATTTGGGGTGCATTAGGCCTAGTAGACTGCCCGATACTTCTAATTCAACCGAACACAAGGGTGAAACCATTTACATCAAAATGGCGCATTCCAGTTTTTCCTAAATTTTATGATTTCTCGTGTTTTCAAAGTTCATAGATAAAAATGTGCATAGAAGGTTTCAGATTCAACAGGTTCAACACCTTTAAGCTGAGTGAGTAGTTTCTTTATCATTTGGAAGGAAATAACATTGAGATCAGTTGTCGTTGGCTTCTACGCTCAACTTCACAGCTTTGCTCAGTCGAAAAAAAAATTTGTCGTTGAAAGACTTCCTGCGTTCCTGGTTAACACCTACTTGAGTCGTCTTGCATGGACTCTATTCATTGATGACTTGTCGACAAATTTTAGTGACGGAATCTTGATATCAGCCCTACTTTTTTTTACAAACACCTAAAAGTTTGAAAAAAGGGAAAAAAATCACTTTTTTTTTAAATGTTAAAATTTGAAAACTCATATCTCAGGACAGAAGTTGAATTTGAAAATTCCGTCACTAAAATATCTTCTATACATCTTTAGGATAACCCAAAAAAATTTTCAAGACTCTCCGTCCCAATGAAAGACGCAGGAAGATTTTCCCCCAACGCTCTCAAAAACACTAAAAAGCCACTTTTCTCAGAGACCGTTCAACATTTTGGATTGAATTTTGTTTTGGGAACTCACCATGATGAACCTAATAATTGAGCAAAGTTTCAACTTTCTGGGATTATTTTGGAGCCTACTTGAAAGTTTCACCAGGGTCCCCCCTTAAGGTAAGGTGAGAGTTTCGGGAAGAGCAATAAGCCTATTGCACCCTAAATTTCAAGCCCTTTCCATCGGCGTTTTGAAGACCACAGTCTAGTTTTCATAATCTCGAACAAGTGCGCAACCTCTGCACTGACTGCGCGAGCATCGCCTCACGCTCTCCCTAGGCCGTTGCCACCCCTGGGCTGAGCACGACCTTCTCACCAAGGGGTCAGAAGTGGGGTCCAGGACAGGGCTGGGACAGATACTTTATATTTTTACCTAGGTACAGATACAGATACTGGATCAAAAAAGTACCTAGGTACAGTTACAGGTACTTGATCGAACTCAGTACCTAGGTACAGTTACAGGTACTTTGGCAAAATACCTAGGTACTTTTCAGGTACTTTCAGATATTTTGATATTTCAACACATCCGCCCAGTAACGCAACCAAAACAAACCTCGCGCGACTTTTTCGTCCCTTTAAACTTTCTTGCGTCAATGACCCTTTTCATGCCAACGTGTGTGCTGTTTACAACACCGATTCGTCACGCCGCATCGTCGGCGGCTCCAGGGACCATCCTTGACCTCGCTCCTATAATGGGATGGTTCCGGTAACGCATTTTAGGGACAAACCCTATGATCCCTGCTGAGATGTGTCCATTGTTTCATAGTGCAAGTCCTCTGCGTTCACCTTGGCAGTGCGTGCGGTGACCAGGCCTGCCACATGGAGCCCAGAGGAAGCACATAAAAAGGGGAGGGGGCCGAATATCTGTTTCTTCCCCGAAAACAGGCAGTCCTCTGAGTGTCTCTCTTTATCCCCGCACTGTTGTGAGCGCATCTCATTACCCGTCTTTCCCTACATTCGCGCCCAAAAGTACCTGTAAAAGTACCTGCAGTTCTAGGTAAAGTTACTGCCCAAAATGTACCTAGGTACAGGTACAGTTACAATTGTGACTTGAGTACCTAGGTACAGTTATAGGTACCAAAAAAGTACCTAGGTACAGTACCTAGGTACTTTTTACCTAGGTATTTCCCAGCCCTGGTCCAGGAGCCCGTGTATTGGCCGGATTCAGGTCTTGGAAAAAGAGGGTTGAAGGAATGAAAATTTTATTGTCGTTTTCGATAGGTCTCGGCAAGACCTTCACAACAAAGGGGCCGGAGAGACGGCCCCGAAGTCTGACTATCTGAGTTGTGGCAATCGGTGCCACGGACTCGTTTCTCGCTCAAACGGTAAAAACGGTACCAGGTTTTCCGGCCATGGTAGAGACATAGGTCATTTCCAGTAAGTTCCGGGAAAACCAGGAACCTTTTTTACAGTGCACTTCTGCGAGGCAAATATGGCCATTCTTGACCATGAACCCTCTTTGAACCCTTCGTCGCGGAGTGCTTTATGTACTCCGATGTACTCATTGCTTCAACATATATTACTGTGCCAGGCAAACCGACGGTAGGTGTAAACGCCAGACGTGGATTGTCGTAACTGGCGCAGGATCGCCTGTTTCTACAAGATACGGTCTGGCGTACACCTACGTTGAGTAAATAAAGAATGCCCCCCCCCCCAAAAAAAAAAAAAAAAAGGAAAGAAAAAAACTGCGCTTGAACCTTGATCGCAAACCTCTGTTGCAGAGACCACATCTTCGAGCCCGGGATGGGGACGTCACTCTCGATGCAGACATCGTTAGCTCTGTTCGTAGGAAGAAGGTGGCAGAAGATGGCAGCCTTGCTAAGGTGAGTTTAGACGGCGGGACAAGACTCGTAACGTCATTGTGGTGTGTCTCAACACAACCGCACTTTTAACTTTTCTCTTGCATTGATGGTTCTCTCCACTTTTTAGACTGATCACAGTAGTGGTGTCAGATTTAGCCTAAGTGCAGTAGCAGTGGGAAGTTTCACACTAGCCTCTCATTTCTTAACTGCCCTAACATTTTCACCTGATTTCCGGACCCAAAAGTTAAGTTAATCAGGCTTTCCCTCCCATACCGAGGCGTCCTAATAGAACAATCCTAACTGTAAGAGCAGATCCTAGACAATCCTGTCTGGGCGGATTTAGAACTATCCTATCTGCAGATGTACCTAATAAAAGTGTTCATGAACTATCTTCACTGCCAATCAGTGAATCTCGATACGTATCTCTGAAATAAAATGTCCACGTATTTGTATAAGGACGAAACTTTGTAACAAGCCCTTTTGTGAGGAGTTTTATGAAGTATGTGGGCGTCACGGACTTTTAGAGAAGACCGCTTTTCACGTCTTGTGCAGTTAGGATAGTTCTGAATTGACACTAGCGGTTGGGATTGTCTTGGATCTGCTCTGACAGTAAGGATTGCTTTCTATCTACTCTGGCCGACTCTGGCAGTTAGGATTGTTCTATTAGGACGCGTCGAAATAAAAATCAGTACAGGATTTTGTGACATGGTCACGCAGCTTTTTCAATATCATGTGATACAAAAGTTTGTATCTCTATTGATACATTTTTTTTTCTTTGTAGCCTAGTTACAGAATTTCGTAACGGTTACAAAACCAAGCTTCAAAATGAGAATTTCGCTCGAATCTAGTCTGTTGTGTTCTGATCCTTCCAACGGACGGCCCACTGAGTTGCTGTGCCTGTGTCACAGGTGAAAATACTTCGAGGCCTACCGTGCTCTCACTTCCCTACGTGGTGCGAGAAGGTGCTGCAACAGGTGGCGCCCCACCTCAAGGGCTTGCAGATGGTGTCGCCTTCGCAGCGACACATAGACGTGGCCCTGGCGATGCTCAACCTGCAGGCCCTGTGCCTCACCGACGTGACGGCCCAGCAGCTGCAGCAGGTGACCGAGATAGCCTCGCTGCGCAGCCTGGAAGTACACGGCCAAGCGGACTCTCCGCTGACTACCGAGCGCTACGGAACTCTTCCGCGGCTGAAGTTTCTGCGCTGCGGCGTCTACCCGCTGGCCGCTGCGCTGGGTCTCATGCGCGCGCACGCCGGCACGCTGAAGGAGTTGCAGCTGGTAGCTGCATCCTGCGAGCCCTACGGCTGCCCTGACCTGGCGCTGGAGCTGCTGAGCTGTGGATTCAAGACGCTGAAGCGGGTGATGCTAGTGCGGACGACCGGCTACAACGTCCCCTGTCGCCACGACAGGGACACCTGCAAAGACCAGAGAAGCCAAATCCACGATGCTTTTGCTGAGAGTAACCCTATTGAACGTTTAGCCTGCTCAGTCTGCGGAGCCTCCTGAGTCTCGAAGGTTAGAATTTGTTTTATCCTTTTATTCGTACATCTGCTGATTTTGATAATAATCTTGATATGATTCTTAGCGGGGATGGTTATTACCATTGCTGTTCGCAAAGTAAAATGGAAACTTAAATGTTTCTTAAACTTTTCTTCGATTCAACATGTCAGAAAATTGTGGGTTGGCCTTACGAATATTTATAATCATGTTTCAATTCCCAACGCGTCTCTACACATTTATGTTGGTGTTGTTTTGAAGGGTTCTTCTTGTCCTTCCTGTGATTTTTTTATACAATTTTTATTAGTCTGCTCTCTCATAAAGTGACCTTCTGTAAAACGGAGTATCTCTCTGTGTGGTGGAACATCTGAACACAGTCTCTGCTCAGTATAGACGCATTAATGTAATATTAATTTGCTGTAAAGAGAAAATGTATCATTCTGTTTCTCAAACCGAGATGAGTCTTCTGTAGATTCCTAGCAGTCTATTGTGTTCCTTTAATGAGGGATTTTGCTTTGTTACAAATCTTCCACTAATGTAGCCCTCATTTATGTTCAAATGACGAAATTTAATAAATTTATTCACAATCACTCACTACTTTCAATTCTGGTCGGTCTGGGATACTTTTTGATCGTAGAGTAGTAACCTAATTGTGTAAACGTCACTTTTGTGTTCTCATATCCTCCCCACAACAATATAATAGTGCGTGAAGTTTATTTCTGTACTCCTAAATCTTGTTAAGCCCTCGTTTGCTCGTCTCGACCCCCATTGCACACAGAGTTTAAAAGTAAAAGGTTACAGGGTCGAGAGAAGCTGAGGAGAAATCAAGAAGAGCAAAGTATGCGAAACTCGTTAGAATGTGTCTGCGTCCCCGTTTTGCCGCGTCCTGAGAGATGCTTTCTCCTCCAAATTCGCCTTTGTTCTGCTTAACTTCTGTCCCAGGACAGAAATGACTTGCGTTTGTAACCCAGACTCACAACGTTCGACGAAAGCTTTTATTTCAATTGCGTTCTTACGTTTTTCAGTTTTCTGTAAACTGCTGAGAAGGCTGACATTTTTTATCTCAAGATTTACTGTGGATTCACCTCACAGTGCTCACACAACTTCAGTGGGGGCTTGCCCCCTAAAAAGTGCACGACTGATTGGTGGGATTATACAATTTTAAAAATATTGTACAAATCATTCTTTCAGAAATGAGAGTTCTGGTCTCCTGAGCAAAAGAGCAAAGAGTAGAAGGGTTTATGTGAAAGTACTTTTATTTTATAATCCACTTATCAATTCAATTCATTCATTACTGTTTTTCTACTTGGTACATTTGACAATGGGGTATAACTTAAGCATAGAGAATAATCCGGGGGTGTGTAATCAGCACTGAAGACACCGCTATAGCTTAGACGGAATGAAGTAGTGGGCAATTCTGAATAACAATTAAGTCTAACGTAATTGGATTCAAGTTTTGATGTGTCTCAGCCTTGCTTTCAACCACAAGAAATACTAGCATTCTGAATTCTGAAAGGCAACGGCATTTTGAACCAAGAAACATCAAACAAGGAATAAATACTGGACAGAAAATCGGCAAGTGCAAGCTACGAGACACATGCGCAGCAGGCTGACCCTCGGACCTTTCAGTCCGCTGCCGCTGAGAGGCAACCGGTTGGGTCCACTGCGCTCCTGCAACCCCGACTGAAAGACCGCACCGGTGTTCGGACCCACACGCTAAACCGCAAGAGTGCGCAATCTACAGGGATTCATTCAACAGAGGTACAAATGATAAAGAATACTAACGAAGTACGACAGGGATACAACGTGAAACCATAGAAAGCAACAAAACATGCTCACTAAACTTCTTACGGATACATCCTATCTGTATTACGGACATTTTTGTGCAATTGCAATTACAAGCAAAATCTATCCGTAATTGCAATTGCACAAAAATGTCCGTAATACAGATAAGATGTATCCGTAAGAAGTTTACTGTGTGAGGGACACAAATGAGGCTTAAAAAGTGACTGCACTGCAAAATCTCTACGCGTCCGGCTCGTCGTCTCCCCACTCGGCCTCCCCCTGCGCGCAGCAAATGCACTTGCAGTGCCCCGAACCGCGGAGCAGGTTGGCCACAAAGTGCAAGTCCAGGTCGCCGTCGTCGTCGTCCTTGAGGTCGGGCACCTCCCTCGAGGCGAAGGTGGGCTTCTCCAAGGCGCAGACGTCCTCGCAGGCGCTGCACACCACGGTGCAGCCGCGCACTTGCTTGCGCAGCGACGCGCGCAGGGCGGCGCAAGAGGGCTTGGCGTGGCTGCGCGTTCTGCAGGGAGAGAGAGAGAGAGAGAGACAGAGCACTGGTTACGTCACACGTTTTGCACGAACACAGCTAAAAGGGGGCTCGATTGTGCGAACCGCAATGAGGCGGTCCTACTTCTCGCTCTGCAAACTCAAGTGTGTGGCAGACATGCACTTCTTGGTGCATGGCTGCAGTGCAGGCGCACACTTCTTTGCACACTTGCCGTCGCTAATGCATGCAAGAAGCAAATGTGTGCACACTAAATGTTATGTACAATTTTGTACAAGACATCTCAGTTTTATGGGCACACGAAATTTTTGTACATTTTTCGTACGAAAAACTGCACATTTTGCGCTATTTTTGTACAAAATTATACAAAATTTTGTACTAATTTGTACGAAAAGTTCGTGTGCTCAAAAAACTGTGATGTCTCGTACAAAATCTGTACAAAAACATTTAGTGTGCCTGTCAGGCATTCAGAAAGGAAGTGTGTGCCTGCTAGGCATGCGCCAGGAAGTGCATGCCTGGTACACCCTTGAGTTTGCAGAGCGCGCGGTTCGAAAATCGTAAAAGTACAATTGAACCACCGGAGGCTCGATTCTCGGACGGGTGGTTTCATTTTCGATTGCTGTTCGTCGGCTTTCGACTCTGCGGCCTTCTACAGGACAGCACTCCACGCTTGGCTCAAGCACACCGTACCGTAAATGCGGGTAATATGGACCACCCCTGAAATTCTCCTAAATGATCGGTTCGGGCCAACGTACCTACAAGTTCGGATGCTAGTGGCCGACACGGTTTTCCATGCCACAGGGAGGCAGCATCAGCGACCACATAGAAGAGTTTTAGGGGTGGTCCACATTACCCTCTGGTGGTCCATATTACCCGCTTTCACGGTACACGCTTCAGTTTTACCAGTGTACCCGCCACGTAACATATCCCAAATTAACGTACCCTATGAACGCCACGTACTCCAAGGCCGCTCCTCTCGCCAGCTGCCGTATCTTGTCTTGGTCCGAAGCACTGGCCGGGTTCAGTTTGACCATGAGGCGGCGGAGCGCCGCGCACTTCTGCAGCGCCGCCATGGGCAGGCAGTGCGCGCCCACCTCCTCCAACGTGGCGGCGTTGGCGAGAACCAGTGCCTGCACTGCAGCGTGGCGGACCTGCGACGGACAGAGACAGTCGTTAAATGTGTACATACACTGGTACATACACTAAAGCGTCGTATTATACCCGCTCTGTTTTCAAGCGTAATCAGTTTACGCTTGAAACCAAGCGAAACAGGCTCTTCCGCCAAGATTCCCCCTATCTAAATGCATGGGGCAATATTCAGAGAATGCTTCATTTCAAGCGTAACGTCCTCAAGCGTAACTTTCAGCTTGACTCAAGCACAGTTACGCTTTAGTTTTACCAGTGGAAGTTGTTGCACTGCAGCAAGCTGCCACTCGCATTCCCGGAACGTTTAGGTGTGAATCAGCCACAAATTAGCTTGTTCACATTCAAAAGAATGCGACACAATGCTCAAAGGAACGTGACATTCTGTCACATTCGTTTCAGTGTGATGTCACGTTCCCCGGGAATGAGTGTCTGCTTTGTGGGACGGTCCCAGAAGACTATAAGCATGCTCAGTGCACGCCGTTGTAGAGGCGTAAATCACGAGGTGGAAACAAGTTTGAAATGTAGTGTGCGTTTCCCTTGATAACGTTGAAAAACGTCGGAGTAACGTCAATGTAGCTTGAATTTAAAAACGTCAATGTAGCTTGAATTTAAAAATTACGGGGAACGATTTTATAGGAAGTTGTTTGCCTCTTGGTAAATCGTTAACTCTCTGGAAGGGCAAAATTTTAAAGCTTTATCACCACGTATAAATGCGGTTGCACAATTTTGTGCGTGGTTTCACACATTTTTTAACAAACGAATTTTTTCGTCCAAATTTGTACGCAGATTCGCACTTACTCGTTCAAAATTGCGCACAAATTCGAATGAAAGGCACGTACACTGAGGATGAAAAGGTCTCGATGTATACCCAACTTTGGGTGAGGTGTACTTTTCACCCACATTTGGGCGATAAAGGGTGTATCAGGTACCTATATATGGCCTAACAGTATTATCACCCAAATCTGGGCGAATAATAGTACCACACCCAAAAATTTCGTCTGGATTAATGACTCTTTCACTCTCAGTGTATGCGCGAAATTGTGTGAGTACGTACAAGAAGAGCGCCAACGAGTTTCGTGACCAGTGTTCGTCCACAGTGCACTGCCATGCGAAATGAACGCGCGCTGGCATCCGCCCTCCCCCGCCTACTCACCCCTGCGTGACACACGAGCTTCTTGAGCGAGCCCTTGGTGCCGCTGGGCACGGCCGGCACTTGGTACTTGGCGGCCGAGCCGAAGCCGTGCGCGTACTTCTGCTGGTACTTCTCCTTGGTGGTGTCCCGCTCGTACGACACGGCCAGGCTGCCGAGCTGGGGCTGCGCCAGGGCGGTCTGCAGGGCCTGCGCCGTGGGGTTGAGCAGCGTCAGGTCCACCAGCGACGTCTGGCGGCTGATGTACTTCTCGGTCCACTGCAGCTGCCCGTTCAGCTCGGCCGACTTCACCTGAGCAAGCAGAACACCAAGAGCACTGTCATTCCAGGTGAACTCAAGGAACTCATGAACTCATTTCAAAAGTAATGACATTATCATTGCACACGCTAAACGTTTACGTACAATTTTGTACGTGGTGCTGCATGATTTTAAAAATGAGTGAAGCTTCATTTAGCCATAAAATAAAGTAAAGAAAAATAAAAACCATTTAAAAAAAGGTTAAAAATTGTTTTAAAAAAATTGATCATATTTTTCTTTGACAACTACCGTAGAACGGGGTAATATGAGACAAATTTCGAGTTTTTTTGTGAATTTTCCCCTGTTAATTCCAATTTGAGGTACTGAGGTGTTCATCACTTGTTCATTGACCCTTTGGCTACACTCCCACCAAATTTCAGATTTTTAGGTGCAGTAGGGACCTTTCAATAACCCTCGGAATGCCGTCCCATATTTCCCTGCAATGTGGGGTAATATGAGACAAAAGAAAGAAATGTCAAAGAATTATGGTTAATTAAATCATTTAGGCGGGTTTGGAGCTTTTTAAGTTCTTTTCATTCATTTTAAAGATGATTGGAAACTATAATGGAGACGATACAAAATCTGGAGGGGAGAAAAATGGGTGTCACTAAAGAGAGCTGAAAAATGTGTAAAAAGTCATGAGTTGTGCCTGTCACATGAAATTACTAAGCGAAGAGCATCGATGCCGGTCAGATAGTAAAACGAATTCATGTTAAAATCATAATTACTTAAAATCATCCCGAGTAAAAATAGAAGGCTGCAGAAAGGCTGACGCACGGCTGACGCATGGCTGTATGGGCCGTTTTTTGGCTGTATGCATGGCTGCCGTGGCTGCGTTGCAGCCATGTCGCAGCCATAGCGACGTCCTGGACTTGCAGCCATCCACGCTGCAGTGGCTGCTCTGGCTGTTTCACGGAGCGCTTTGGCTGTGAAACGCTTCAGAAGCTGCGCACAGAAGCCTTTTGGCTGCCCTAAGCAGCCTATTAACGCTGCCACGCACAGCCAACTTAGCTGCAATGGCTGTAGGCTGCGCGTCGCAGCGTGTTGGCTGCTGGCGCCAGCCGGGCCGCGGCTGGATTTTACAGCCACGCGGGCTGCAATGGCTGTAGGCTGCGCGTCGCAGCGTGTTGGCTGCCGGATGCAGCCGGGCTTCGGCAGGACTAAACAGCCATGTAGGCTGCAATGGCTGTAGGCTACGGATTGCAGCATGGTGGATGCTGGCGGTATTCAGGCAACGGTCGTATTCCTTGATTAAAGGGCCATAAAAATAGAAAAAAATAGACTGGGTGCGTGGTATGCTGATATTTGAGTTGAATACGTTAACATACATAAGCCATGCAAGTTTCGTAAAAATCGGGAAACTTTTTGGTTATCTTTGATATCTCGGGAACGGTAAGTCCTACATGAAATTACTTGGCAGATTTGGATCCGGAACGGTGTTCGGACCCTAGAAAATCTACAAAGGGCTCCATAGAACTTCAAAGGGCGTAACAGGGACCCTCAAAGGTCCTCATGGGGACCTTCATGAACTAAGGAGTGAAGCCTAGTAGCGATATGGATGCTGCCGATGGCATCCACGAGGCCGCAGGATGCGGCCGAGATGTGGCTCTGACCCGCAGCTTCATAGCTGCCGGCCGGGGGCAGCGTGGGCCGGGCGAAAGAAGGCTGCCTGGAGCATCCTGAAGGCTGCGGGGTGCAGCCTACAGCAGCGCCTCACAGCCTCCTGGCTTCCGGGGACAGCGTGGCCCGGGCGAAGGAAGGCTGCCTGGGGCATCCTGAAGGCTGCGGGGTGCAGCCTAGAGCAGTGCCTCGCAGCCTCGTGGCTGCTGGGGGCAGCGTGGCTCGCGAAGGAAGGCTGTCTGGCGCATCCTGAAGGCTACGGGGTGCAGCCTAGAGCAGCGGGGGCAGCGCTGACTGGGCTCCAAAGGGACACTTCAGTGGCTGGCAGGTGCAGCCAGAGACGCTGCACCGGCTGCGGATGGCTGTATTTTGGCTGACGTATGTCCGAATACAGCCAATGTCTGCAGCCATCCGAGTTCCATCCGCGCGTTGTAAGCAACCTGGAGGGAGCCAGCCTGCAGCCAATAATTTTCTCTCGGGATTAACAGTGGAGTATGTTTGGCCTCATGTTTCAAGCAAAGAGAGGTGTCTCTATTTTCCCTGCATGGTAACAAAATTGTATTCCATCTGAAACAGGCAGCCCGGGAGTAGACATAACGGAACCAAATTTTGTCCTGATTATGTTGACCCAATTGCCTACAGATTTAAACCTCACTCGGACGAGAACCCGAGTTCTAACCGAGGTTTCTGGGGAGGTTTTTACTAACTTTATAAAACTTGTTGGAATTTAGAGGTTTTTCCTTTGGTTCTAAATAACCCTGGCGAGTCTCTGATAGCCTTCGTGCGTTTCCCGTAAGCTGCCATGGCCTCCTAGATCGCGAAAAAAATTCACGGTGGACTTCTGAACAACCGCTAGATAGCAACACGACAAAAACCGAAAAAAGTGCGCTTTGTCTCGATTTTCCTTCATGTCTCATATTACCCCGTTCTACGGTATTGCAGATAAAAAGCCCCGTGTAGTCAATTCTATGACACTACTAGGGAGGAGACTCCCTGATTCCCCCCCTCCCCCCCTTCAGAACTGAGCAAGTATGCAAACAAAATCTTACAAGAACCAAAATTTTAAACGTTACTCCTAAATTTCCAAAAAGTGTCCAATGTCACCTTACTTTATGTCAAAATGAAGCTTAATCAATTATCTAACAGACTTTTCAAACAGAAATCATAAAATCTTGATCCATATACACCAAAAACAGTTTTTACAGAGGCCTTTTAACATGTACACTGATAAAAAAGGCGTACATTTCAAGGAAAAAGGTACGGCTAGACCGTACCTGACGGTGTACAGAACAACTGTACCGAAAACCCGTGCTTCCCATATGAACGCATGTTATAAAAACCGTACTCCGTACCCCGAAACCCGTACTGGCTGAGGTACGGTGGTACCAGGCAAATTGTCTACCAGACCGTGCCTGTACCTTTACCCGTGGATTTTTTTCTAAAGTGTATGAGCCCCCTTAAGGGGGGACCCTGGTGAAAAAATCGCCAAAATTCCAATAAATTGTATTTTCAAAGTTCATAGATAAAAAAGTGCATAGAAGGTTTCAGATTGAACAGGTTGAACACCTTTAAGCTAAGTGAGTAGTTTCTTTATCATTTGGAAGGAAATAACATTGAGATCAGTTGTCGTTGGCTTCTACGCTCAACTTCACAGCTTTGCTCAGTCGACAAAAAATTTTGTCGTAGAAAGACTTCCTGCGTTCCTGGTTGACACCTACATGAGTCGTCTTGCATGGACTCTATTCATTGATGACTTGTCAACAAATTTTAGTGACGGAATCTTGATATCAGCCCTACTTTTTTTAAAACACACCTAAAAGTTTGAAAAAAGGGAAAAAAATCACTTTTTTTTTTTAATGTTAAAATTTGAAAACTCATATCTCAGGACAGAAGTTGAATTTGAAAATTCCGTCACTAAAATCTCTTCTATACATCTTTAGGATAATCCAAAAAAATTTTCAAGGCTTTCCGTCCCAATCAAAGACGCAGGAAGATTTTTCCCCAACGCTCCAAAAAACACTAAAAAGCCACTTTTCTCAGAGACCGTTCAATATTTTGGATTGAATTTTGTTTTGAGAACTCACCATAATGAACCTAATAATTAAGCAAAGTTTCAACTTCCTGGGATTATTTTGAAGCCTACTTGAAAGTTTCACCAGGGTCCCCCCTTAAGGGGAGGTTCTACTGAAAATATTGCATTTTTCAAATTGAGACCCAGTGTAAAAATTTGTTGCAGATGTTTAGTAATACATAGTTAATGGTCAAACATGAAATTTAGAGCCCAATACCTCCCTCCAAATCCAGTCGAAGAGGTTTTTTCAGCCTATTGTAGCAATATCTTAAAAAATTCTCCTACGCAAAGCATTTCAACGTAAACTGATGTTCTGGACATTTTTCACTTCTTTGGCTCATATGCAATAAAGCGTGGCATCACCAAGACATGGGACCCAACAAATTTATTTTGTCGTTGCTTTTCAGAAAAAAAGTCACTAAAATATCAGAAATTTTAACATTTTCTTGAAAATTTGTTGACATGCTGTCTTAAAAACACAGCTTATGGTTTTGTAATGGTCCCAGTATCTTACTAATGCCACGGTTTATCAATTATGAACCAAAGAAGTGAAAAATGCCCAGAACATCAGTTTACGTTGAAATACTTTGCGTAGGAGAATTTTTCAAGTTACAACTGGAAATAGCAGAAAATTCCTCTTCGACTGGGTTGGGGGCTAGGTATTGCTCTCCAAACTTCAAATTTAACTATTTACTATGAAATACTTTAAATTTACAATGAATATTGATAATGGGACTCAATTTGAAGAAAGTAAGATTTTCAGTAGAACCTCCCCTTAAGTGAGTACTGAGTTCACACATTCACGACTGAAGTGTACAGAGTACACACATAGAGTGAGTGTAAATGAGCACAGACTTAAATTTTCCTTGCACTGTCAGAAAATTCCGAAAAAAAATGGAAAAATCATGGAGTTTTTCCGAAACTTCTGCATGGAGCTCTCTACAAATGCAAACTCTGGGCTTTCTCCGAGAAATTTCGGAATTTTGAACAAAAATGCATGCTTCACTATCACAAAAACACGAAAAAAAGGTTTGCAACCAGTTAAAAATTGATGGAAAGGTGAACCCCTACTTGTTGAGCTCAGTTTTCACAATTTTAAGGGAAAGCTACATGATATGGGTCAAATGAGCTCGAATGAGATTGTCCCTTCTTTGACCATTCCAGACCAAAACATGCGTCAGCGAAGTCCTCTTTGATATACCTGAGAAAAGACTTGCATTTTACCTCCTATCTGGACCCAAGGAATGCTCCGAAGAACATCTGTATAAGCCCTGCGAAAATCTCTCCGAAAAAAAATGGAAAATGAATGGAGTCTCCATGAACGTGATTATAGGGTTTTTCTCCATAAAATTTCGGAGCTAATTTCTAACAGTGTGCATAAGCTTGCCTGGCAATTGGACTGGGTGGCGATGGCCTTCCTGGCCCCGGCCTTGAGCGTCTTGGCACAGCTGACGCGGCCCAGGCACGGCGCGAAGCGAATGGTCCTCGCGAAGGCCTTGGCGCCCCCGTGCCAGTCCTGGAACTTCTTGTCGGCGGCGGGCGGCAGGTCGTAGGACAGCTGCCTCCTGCTCCACACGGAGTGCTGCAACCACAACGGCAACGATTACAGGCGTCTCGAACACACTGCAAAGCCGGTGGTAAGTTTACTTGCCACAAATTTGGCAAGCAGCTTCGAATGCCAAAAATTGGCAAGCTTGGCCTGGAAATACTCCCCAGCATGCCAAAATTTGGCAAGCTTAGACTGGAAGTACCTCCCCAGCTTGCCAAATTTGTGGCAAGTAAACTTACCACTGGCTTTGCAGTGCAAATGTCATGCGTTCGCACTCTCATTCCAGGAACGTGACATCACGTTGAAACGAACGTGACAACATGTCACGTTCGTTTGAGCATTGTGTCACATTCGTTTGAGTGTGAATTGGCCAAAAACCAGCTTGTTCACATTAAAACGAACGTGACACAATGCTCAAACGAACGTGACATTTTGTCACATTCGTTTCAACGTGATGTCACGTTCCTGGAATGAGAGTGTTGTTAGGTTTTCAGAGTGATTCAAAACGACGACGGTGGTTGGCACATTCCTTCCCATCATGGGCAAACATGCATAGATGCTTAGATCAAAGACAATGTCAGACTAAACGTATTTCAAACACGCATGTAATCGAAGCGTGTACTAAGTATGCACCAAACAGAAGCACACATGGCATACATACGTGCAAATATCTATGAGCGAAATAGACTATCACTAATGCACGAAGAATTAAGCTTAAATTTACGTGCACATGCACTGTAAAAAATTATGTTGTAATTTAGCAGTAAATATGTTGCTAATTTTCTTAGCGATCAAAGTTGTTTTCAAATGACTTTCGTTGTTTACTAACGAGTTGCGTCGTTCGTCCACAATATGTTTGTAAACCGGTAGACAGCCTTATTTGCATCAATTTTTATTGCCGATTAGGTCACAGACCTAGTAGAGTCCCGGTTACCCCGCAGTAACCACTTCTTAGATTGTCCGGGTTGTTTGTACGCAGCAAAATATTGTTTTGAAACAGCATAAGTCATAAAAATAATTAGCAACGAATTCGTCGTTTTAAAACAAGCAAACTTGTTCACAAACAACAGCGTTGTCGAGGTTGGTAATTGTGTTGTTGTTTTAAAACAACAATTTTTAACAGTGTGGGCACTAGTAGTTATATTCCATAAGTTGATGCAATTGGTGTACACTTCGATACGTTGAGTGTATCACATCAACTTGCAAATCGCTTCGCCAGAGACTTCCCTCCCGCCCTGCTCAGACTAAGCAACAAGGGGAACGGTTGAAAACGTGGGCCATCACTGAGAATCCAAACGCTATGAGTATGGCGCCAATTGGTGCAATGCATTTGAAGACGTTTTCTTGGCACCAATTGGTGCAATGCCTTTGCATTGAACGTGAAGTGCAATGCCTTCCCATGCATGAGCATGGGGCATTTTCGGGGCGCATTGCACGTAAGGTGCAGTATGGCTATCGCATTGCACGTATGGTGCAATATCTCGATGCATTGCACCATACGTGGAATACATATATAGCGTTTGGAATCTCAGTGATTGTACAGTCGCCGAAACTTACCTGCTTGGCAACTGCTCGCCACCTGCGGCAGGACTGCCCGGCCGAAACCACATCCTCATTCCCCAGCATGTTCAATGTTGTCATGAGGAGCTTCGCCGGCAGATCACTCCAACCTGTGGGGTGCTGAGGGAAGGTTTGATAAGAAAGGCGATTCTTGGAACATTTGTTACTGGAACCATCTCTCCCTTCTCCTTAAACTAGTTCTATGAAAACCCCATGGCCCTTCATTTTTATAGCAGTTTACATCAAAAGCTAAGAATTTTTCCAATGTTCCAACTTTGATTAAGTCGCCCGCATTCGAGATGAAGCGTCCAGATATGATCGTCAACCGGGACACGGTAAGAAACCTTCATTTAAAAGGGACCCAGCAATGGATAAGAAAATTAGAGTGCAGTTCAGCCAATACCTTAGCTAAGGTAGCACTGGTGGCCAACGAATGTGACGCCTCGTTGGAGAGTGAATTTTGTCACGTTCGTTTGAATATGATTTCACATTCGTTTGAACGTGGATCAACATTTAAACGAATGTGACATCATATTCAAACGAACGTGACAAAATTCACATTCGAACGTATGTGAGGTCACATTCGCCGACTACCAGTGCGTCCTCTTACCTCAGTCACCTCGCCTTCTAACGAGCGGCTTGCCGCGACCACAGGATCCACGGCGTGAGCTGCCGGCCTCCGGCCACGTGGTTTGGAGGTCTGAGGCTCGGCCTCCGTTTCCAGGACTTCGGCGGACTGATTTTTTAGAGCTCGTCGTGGGTTCGAGGTCTTGACCTTGGACTCAAGGTCCTCAGGGACCTCCTCTTTTGAAACCCGATGAGATTCGGTGGACTTGGTCTCGGACTCGAGGTCTGTCCAAACCACCTTCTTCGGAGCCCGACGAGGTCTTGAGGTCTTGGCCTTGGAGTCAGTGTCTTCACTAATCTCATTCTCGTCCTTCGGAACGCGTTGAGGTCCGCTGGTCTTAGTTTCGGACTCAAGGTCTCCCAAACCCTCCTTCTTCGGAGCCCGTCGAGGTCTAGTTGATTCAGCATCAGCCCCAAGATCTTCAGCAACGTCCTTGTTTAGAACCCGTCGAGGTCTAGTGGTTTCAGCATCAGCTACATGATCTTCAGCAACGTCCTTTTTAAGAGCCCGTCGAGGTCTTGTGGTTTCAGCCTTAGCCACGAGGTCTTCACCAACGTCCTTGTTTAGAGCCCGTCGAGGTCTAGTTGTTTCAGCTTCTGGCACAAGATCTTCAGCAACGTCCTTTTTAAAAGCCCGTCGAGGTCTTGTGGTTTCAGCCTTAGCCGCAAGATCTCCAGCAACGTCCTTAGCCCGTCGAGGTCTGGAGGTGTTGGTACCGGTCGTAACAACTTCAGCAACCTCTTTCTGGACAGCCCTTGTGGGTCTGGAAGCCTTGGTCTCGGGGTCGAGATCTTCCGCGACTTCCTTCTTCTGAGCTCTTCGAGATCTCGTGCCCACGGGGCTGAACTGGGGTTCGGGGACGCGCACCGCATCGGCGCGCCGTGGACGACCGCGAGTCTGCTTGGGCGGCGAGCTGTCGCGTACGGCCGCTGCGTCCTCGGAAATGCACTGGCCCGCCCCTGAAGCAAGAACAAGGGACAGGATGATACGAACTAATTTAAGGGGGCTCATACATGTTAAAAGCACTTTGTAAATTTTTAGGGGTTCCCAAGAACCCCTATTGTCCGAGGTCCGTGGATTCCTTCCCCCCCCCCCTCTTCCATTTTCAAATAAACAACGCTGAACTATTTCAACCATGAAAAAAACGAAAATTCCAAATTTTTTCGAAAATTCATCGTGGAAATTTTCCGTAAACGCGAAAAACATAAATTTGCAACAATCGAAAACGAGAACCGTTCATGATATGAAAAAATGGTTCAAATAAAAAATGTGCCACTCCTCAAAACTAAACCTCCTGGCTCATCAAAGTTACAAGAAATCGTCTGTGTTCTGAGCAAATGGTTAAAACATGAAAAAACAATCTCCATGGCAACGGCATGGTCCCATCGTGCCACCCGTCAAAATTTAAAGTCGCCGATAAAGAGAAATCAAAACGCCGTGAAATTCGAAAATGCCAATGCTAACGCATTGCGCGGTGTCCCGACGTTGGAACATCTTTAAAGTCTGTCACTAGTTAAAAGTTCGTTGCAGAAACGACGCATCAAATTAATTTTCGTGGGTTGGCACCGATTTGCTTGCCGTCTGCGCCCTTTCGAAAATCGCGAGGCTGAAAGAACAAGAACAAGCAGGCGCCCATTGAAACTGCCCCTCCATTGTTGCTGAGGTTGGATTGTTTGGCATGCTCTCAAAGGCTGCGGTTGTCTTGTCATGTTTTCCTCGATTCTGTAGAACAGTTCTTACTCACAACGTAAAAACAGCACGATGGTTGGTTTAACAAACTTTATAAACTCGGGAAGGGTGATTTCGAAACGCCGCTGACTTTCGTTTAACGAACATGAGCACTGTAACTCGCGAAATGGAGTGAGACGGTCATAGTGTTAACTGAATCAGGTTTGACAGAACTCTTTTCTATTGCTTAGTTTAAATTTAGCGCATGCTCATTGAAACTGCCCCTCCATCGTTGCTGAGAGAAGCAAAAGTTTGGGCTTGGATTAAAGCTAGAGGCTCGAACTGTGACCATGTGCATTTATTTTAAAACATTAACGTACAAATTATTTGCATTCTCCTTACAAAGTCGAACTTCTTTGAGCCGTTAGCAGGCGGTGACTTCGAATCAAAGCCCAAGTTTTTGCCTCTCTAGAGCTTAACAAGGCTGAAAATGAGCCCACAAAGCAGCCCTGCATTTAGAGCCTACCTCAGGCCTCTACTCCGATTAGCACGCTTAAATTAAATACAATACCTGTTTAAATTCAGGCCAAACCACAATTTCTACACATTTGTTTATATCTCACTTTTAAACCAGTTATGAAAACGGGAACACCGTGCAATGCGATTAGCATTGGAATTTTTTTTTTGGTGTAGTGGGGTTCAAGATTTTACAATTTCTGTGTTAAAACCCTTTTAGATGATTGGGAAAGCTTCATTTTGGCTTAAAGTAAAGTGACTTTGGACATTTTTTGGAGATTTAGTCGAAACGTTTAAAATTTTGGTTCTCGTAAGATTTTGTTTGCATACTTGCTCAGATCTGTGGGGAAAAAATCAGGGAGACTCATCCCTAGTAGTGTCATAAAATTGACTACAATGGGCCATATATCTGCAACAGTTTACAAGAAAAAAAATAAAAACACTTTTTGTTAAAAATTAAAAAAAAAAAATGTTAAAAAAATTGTTTTTATTTTTTTCTTGAAAACTATTGCAGATATAAGGCCCATTGTAGTCAATTCTATGACACTACTAGGGATGATCGAGTCTCCCTGATTTTTTCCCCACAGATCTGAGCAAGTATGCAAACAAAAGCTTAAAGGTGTTCAACCTGTTGAATCTGAAACCTTGTATGCACATTTTTACCTATGAACTTTGAGAATACTATTTTTGGCAATTTTGGCGATTTTTTCACCAGGGTCCCCCCTTAAGATGAAGATATAATTTATTTTTGAATTTAAAAAAATTAGATTGCAAAGTGTACGGCCAAGGAATAAGAAACTTATTGAGGACGGACGTTTATCATAATGGCCACTGTGCCGTTAGAATTCTACGTGCAGTGTTGTGGCAATGATTTCCTTTCAAGTGAGAAAAGTTGCATACTTAAATGAAACTGTCAGACTCAGACCCCGGCATCTGTTCCTAACGTCAAGTTTTATTCGGTTCCCCAAAATTATTACAAGTCTCGGAAGTTAAGCCTGAAGGAAAATTTCTGGGAACTTTCTTAGCATTTTTTGTTACATAAAAATCTAACCGACTTTAAACTTTTTGACGAAAATATTTACCTTAACTAAGGTTTTATTACACTGTTAAAAAAAATTTCTTAAAATTCAGACTAAATAGTCAAAAGCAGATTTTCATAACGTTGGTCTGAATATTCAGAGTAAGAATTGCTCTGAAAAACAAGATTGTGAAAATCTGAAATTTTTGACTTAGTTAGTCTGATAATATAGACAAGAGAATAGTCTGAAAATTCAGACCGCAAATTGTTTAAATCGTAAGAGCTTCCGAAATTAAAATATTCTTCGTCGGTCTAATCAGTAGACCTTTCCTCTGAGAGAATGGCGCCTCGAACTGTACCGAAACTTGGTACTGCCACTGTGACTCGAACCCCGGACCTCCGGGTTACGAGGCAGCCACCTTATCCACTAAGCCGTGTGGCGCTTGTGGGCTCCGAGGAGCGTCGAGCCGACTACATGCTGCGACTCGGCGCAGCCGTCCGTTAGGGGTCCTGACGGTCCATACCGAAGTTACTCATCGGTTTTCAAGTAATTCACATACCATTATTAAATGTTGTGTATGACGACATGATTTTGACTTCAGAAATACAGAGATTACAAATTGTATTCAGACCAGGCGATAAAAAATTTGGACTGCGGTCTGAATCTACAAGAAAGACCAAGGATTTCTGAAAACTAAGAGCATCAATTGTGAATTTTCATCTCCTCGGTCTGAAAACGCATTTCAGACTGTACACTCAAAAAATTTATACTAAAAGTCTGAACTTTAAGACTTGAGTCTGAATTCCCATTTCAGAGTAGGAAGTCTGAAAAAAATGGTCTGAATTTTCAGACTTTTTTTAACAGTGTACTTAAAAGAATGAGGGAAAAAAGCGGTCTGGAGAAATTTTTCACTACATGACCCAAGATTTAGCTTTAATTGTTAGTAGGCTATGCATTTCTTGATTCACCGAAAAAAAAATTCCATAAAGCCAAAAGTTTCCTTTGAATTGGAGAGCAGAAAATATGGAAACATAAATCAGACCAGTAGCCTCGACGCAACAATGCACAGCGCAGTTAATGTCTTTAATCGGTTTTGAAATATTTTCTACAGTTGCCTGCACAGTGCGTCGCGTACAACTTCGGCGAAGAGCTGGAACCGAAGTTGAGAAGAAATCAAGAAGAACAAAGTAGGCGAAATTGGTGAGAATGAGCGTCTGCGTCGCCGTTCTGCCGCTCCGCAGAGTTATATTCTGATATACAAGTCCGACGTTTTGTTCTTATTGATTTCTTCTCCACTTCCGGTCCAGCTCTTCTCCGAAGTACCCTATTCCGCCCGAATTGAGCTATTCCCCCTACAGATCAATAAGAAGAATTTATCATGCACATAATTGGGTACTTCGGCGAAGAGCTGGACCGGAAGTGGAGAAGAAATCAAGAAGAAGAAACGACGGACTTGTATAAGAATACAACTCTGCGGACGCGGCAGAACGGCGACGCAGACGCTCATTCCTACACATTTCGCATACCTTGTTCTCCTTGATTTCTTCTCGACTTCCGCTCCGGCTCTTCTCCGAAGCACCCTATTGTGTGAGGACACTTTCAAAATTGAACAAATACATGCACAGTGCGATTTCACGATAGAGTGAAGACGAACATGTCATATTCTCCAGCTGGGTTTTGACTTACCACTGCTCGAAGAACCTCCTTCCATTGTGCAACGGCCTCACTCCAATCCAATGACGACCCGCTCTACAGCACTAGTCCGAGTTGAGACGAAAGCTGCCGAGGAACCAACTGACTCGATTAGGGTAAGGTTACCAAACATGGATCACTTTTTAGAAATGTCCCATATTTCGGCTCAAACAAGCGATGACCTAAATTTTCTTCGACACACTTCAAGATTACCACAAAGACAACCTTCTCCCAAGAACTCTGCATTGAATAACAAATACTTTGAAATTTACAGGGCTTTGAAATTTCACTGATTTTAGTGATCCATGTTTGGGTCAGACCCAAACATGGATCACCCCCCCACACTCTACAAAAAATGTCCTGTCAACGCCGTTAATTTATTACCAATGTTTGCTGTTATGCAATTCACGGCGTTTGCTGTGAACTAGTTCACGGCGTTCACTGTGATCTCGGTTACAGTGTTCACTGTGATCTGGCCACAGTAAACGCCGTGAATTGGAGCCTGATTTGCAGTACTTCGGTGCTCAGCGGCGTCAAACTCACAGTGTTTACTGGGGACCAGATCACAGTGAACACCGTGAACAAGATCACAGTGAATCCCGTGAGCAGATCACAGTAAACGCTGTGAATTGACCTACAGTGAAAACTGGTAATAAATTAACAGCATTTACAGGACATTTTTGGTAGAGTGCACCCCCCTCGCGTTTTGACGGGGGCGATCCGATTACTTCCGGTCGCCTAAATTTTCAAAGAGTACACTCTGAAGGTACCACGAAAAAATTTTGAGACATTTCTGATGAATGGATTCTTTTTAATTACGGTTTGAATTTTGACTCCTAACCTAACCTGAAAACAGGCCGTTTTCGGACCCCTTTTTAGAGGCACTTTTTCACTTGCATGCTGTGAGGGTAACGGTAAGGTTGATCGGCGCCCCCGCGCGTGATTCTGAAAGTTAGAGGTGTAGACTTCATGAAAAACTTCGAAAAAATTAAATTGGTTGATTGGTTTGGCGGTACGGGCTCGCTAACGAAAATGATCCATGATTGGTACCCCGATCCATGTTCGGCACTTTACCCTAAGCATTGATAGCCAACGCTATGAAAGGCAAAATCGGGGGTCTCAGCTTGATTTCAGTAATGTCATTGCCCGTAACATGCGATGTCTCAAGGGCTGTCCATTGGTTGCTGTACGCACTGGGGGGAGGGGGAGATCTGCGCTTGCGTAACGCTGCACTCTCGTCCCCGAGCGTTACATCACGCAGAAACGAGCGTCTCGCAATGCCACGCTCCTGGAATGAGTGTGCTTTACAGGAGGAAAGGGGGCGGTGTAGCGCAGCGTGGCGTTGAACACGAGAGCGCATCCTACAGTGGAAGAAAGCAATTGAGAATGACCGAAGCGATAGATGGTACAAGTTTGCCAAGGGTTGCGTCGCACTTTCATGAATCCGCTTAAATTTCAGAGAACCTTTCGTAGATTTAGTAAAGTTCCGAAAAAAAATACGACATTCTTTCCAGGGGTACCTGCGTGATTCCCAGAGATATGCTTTTACACAGAAGGAGAATGTGCAATGAAATCAGCGCATCCTGATAATATTTATTGCTAAGCATTACGTACAAGAAAGAGCGGGGTCTCTATTTGGACAACGACGCCCCAGTTTGAACTAAGAAACAAAAGAAACCGACTCGAAGAGTACTTCCGAGCGAGTGTGAATTCTGTTCCAGCACGTTCTTCCCGCAGCCACGGAGCCAGAAAGAATGGGTCTAGAAGGGTATTTCTATGGTTGGCTGGACTAGAAACAAGAAAGTCCAAAATGGAGGCGGGAAATATTCATCAGAACCGCACCGATCGTAGCTCGACTCTATTTTGTGGGTGTGGAACCAAATTCTGCTCGCCCTGTCGGTTCTCTACCACTTTCTTTTTTTGTAACAGCATGGGATTCCCACGTGGCTCCTTGACAGCAGATTTCTTCATTCAGGGTGGGCTTGGGAATCCTATGTACTGCTTTTGCTGTGTTCTCTTGCAATCAATCACTGCTCAAGGTGAGGTACTCCCGGACGAAACACCTCGTCTAATATCGTGAAATTATAAATAAAAACTCTTTAAACTGCTTATTTAACTTCTTGCTTCGTAGAATCAAGGAAGAGCGTTACGCGGCTTTAAGATTACATATCCTACCTAGGAGCTTACTCAAAATTCGTTAGTAATGGATACGTCAATTGCACCTTCATTGAAATTCGAAGGGTGAGACATCCGACCGATTTTTGGTGATCCAAAAGTATGACTGAAAAAAGGTCATACTTAAATGTATGACCAAAAAGGGGTCACACATAAGCGAGACTGCACTGTAAAAAAATTCCATACTTTTGTATGGATATGGTACCGACAGATATAGTACGGAGGTACGGAGAAAAGTACGGAACGCCCGTACTTGCTCCATATGAACCCATGTAAATGGGTACGAAAAAAAAGTACGGAAGTTCCGTAGTTGGCAAGTACGGACGGTCCAGGCAAATAATTAATCAGATATGTTCCGTACTTTTTACGTACTTTTTTCTCACAGTATGGCTATTGTTCAGCGTGAGGATAAATCAGCCTTTACATATGATACGCTGTAGAGTATAGCCATTTTTCGGTCATACATCGAAGTATGACCCTTTTTCGCGGTCGTATACATTTCAGTAAGACCGTTTTAGGGGTCCAAAGTCTGACCTTTCTTTTTTCAGTGTTACAGTCCTCTAACAGCATCTAACAAAACTGAAGACTGTGACCAGCCCTCCTCACTGGGTAAACTGATGTGAACCAAGCGCGGTGCGAACTAGCTTTTGTCTTCCTAACCGCTCACGCAAGGAAACGTTCATTAATTTATGCCAGCTGAGGCCACGATGTTATGAAACTGTTTCTTTTGTTCGAGTGTTTTTAGCTAAATTCTGAGGCACAGGTTTTGATAGTGTATACCCCCTCGGCCCGAAGGGTGTCCCGGAAAACAAGATTTTTCAAATCACGCTTGTGAACACTCCTAAAAGGATCCCTTTCTCCGTGCTGATTCAAGGGGCGGATCATTCAGCGTTCTGGTGTACACATGAATACGGGTGAGTACACCGTAGAAAACTCTTTAATTTCACAATTTTAAACCTTTGAAGGCTTTATTTAGTGTTTCAGACAATACGCAACATCAGATCTTACCTCAAACCAGCGAATTTCGACAAATATAAACTTTTGAGTACACTGCACCAGTGATTCACCCACCCCTCGTTCTGATTTCAGATTCGTATTTGGTTTTGTTCAAATCTAAATTTAAAGTACAACTACCCGGTAAAATACATACAGCCACAATGTTTTGTTCAAAATCGGACTTTGAACAAAATATAAAGCTTTTGGCGATATTGTTGTAGGGCCAATTGTGGATGAGGGATGCGCAAGACAAGTAACATCAAGATCACCCCCAGACTCCACCCCACCCCTATGTCGTAACCACCTTCTGCCAACCCCTTTTGCAGGTTTCAATAGGGTACTTCGGAGAAGATTCAGACCGGAAGTCAGCGCGACAACGGGAGAAACTAAAGAGCGTCGCGCGGCCGTGCCTGGCGGTGGTGGGGGTCAGTTTGGGCATGGTGGGGGCAGCGTGCGCGCGCCGCCTTTACCCCCACTCTGCCCATTTTTGCCCCCACCACCGCCCAGCACGGCCGCGCGACGCTCTTTTGTTTCTCCCGTTATCGCGCTGACTTCCGGTCTGACTCTTCTCCGAAGTACCCTATTGGTGGATTCATAGACAATCAACTATATCCATAGACCAACTGCTTCCATGGCCAGGCGGGATCCATGTGTTACGCCGCTCCCTGATTGGTCAGCGAACGCCGCGTCCTTATTGGTCGACGCCGCGTCCTCATTGGTCGAGCAGAGCGCCTGCTCGACCAATGAGGACGCGGCTGGCACGGCGGGCAAGCGCAGCGCTTTCGAAACCAGGGACGGTGGCGGCGACGCGCGGACGGGCCGACAGGCGCGGATGCAAATGAAACGTCGCTGTGACTCGAGGCTCGAGTTTTGATCCGAATGTCACGAAACTTGACAGAAGTGTTTCTGGTGTAATGAGGCAGGCACATTCGCTTTTGCCGCGTGTAAAATCGTTCATTTAAACAACTTTCTTAAAAAAAAAAATTTAAAAAAATACAATTTTGTCCTTATACTGCATTGGCATGGCAGCTCAGGTTGCGGAACCTACGTAATTTAAAAAAATGTAGGGCTCCTTGCCCTCGGACCGCCAGTCAGTCCGCAAAAATATCACAAAAATAGCGCATCTGGCTAAAAAAAAAAAGCTTTGGAGACAACGTGCTTGTGCGTCTCGGCCCGTCTCTGGGGGACCCGACGCCCCCTTCCACTTGAGCCTCTAGGGGCTAACTGGGGCAGGTTCAGAGCTTGTTAGCAGATTTAAAAGAGATAAAACAGTTTTATAGGATCTTTAATTAATAAACAGAAACGTGACTCAATTATAAAAGTTTTAAACACTTTATAGGGGTAACAAGGCTTTTCCTGTGGTCTTCTTCCTTTCCTCTGATTTTTCTCTCCTTGCTCGCACTGCCGCCGTCTCCCTCTCCTCTCTTTGTCCTATGACCTTTGAAGCTGTCATGGCCCAGGTCTATGACAGCCTAGCAGTACTGGACAGCTGGCACGCTTTAACATCATCACTGAACAATGAAGAGCACCAGACTGCGTTCCTGGAGTTTGTAGTGCAGCATTACAGGCGGTTCCTCGGTCATGCCATTGGTGAGCGTGTCATTCGATGCCTGAATAAAAGAAAAAGAGTTGCTGTCAGAACGCATTTGAAATCGAATCCTTGATCAGTTACATAGATTTTTAGGTTGTCAGTGGGAGTTCTGTTGGGTCTTTAGTTTTCAATTTTATCTCTGAGTCAAAATTTAATCATGTGCACATTTTATGATTAGGTTCAAAGCACTATATATAAGCAAGATGAATCCATGTTTTTGGTTGACTTGTTATTTTTTAAACCACAATTTCTACACATTTGTTTATATCTCACTTTTAAACCAGTTATGAAAACGGGAACACCGTGCAATGCGATTAGCATTGGAATTTTTTTTTTTGGTGTAGTGGGGTTCAAGATTTTACAATTTCTGTGTTAAAACCCTTTTAGATGATTGAGAAAGCTTCATTTTGGCTTAAAGTAAAGTGACTTTGGACATTTTTTGGAGATTTAGTCGAAACGTTTAAAATTTTGGTTCTCGTAAGATTTTGTTTGCATACTTGCTCAGATCTGTGGGGAAAAAATCAGGGAGACTCATCCCTAGTAGTGTCATAAAATTGACTACAATGGGCCATATATCTGCAACAGTTTACAAGAAAAAAAATAAAAACACTTTTTGTTAAAAATTTAAAAAAAAAATGTTAAAAAAATTGTTTTTATTTTTTTCTTGAAAACTATTGCAGATATAAGGCCCATTGTAGTCAATTCTATGACACTACTAGGGATGATCGAGTCTCCCTGATTTTTTCCCCACAGATCTGAGCAAGTATGCAAACAAAAGCTTAAAGGTGTTCAACCTGTTGAATCTGAAACCTTGTATGCACATTTTTACCTATGAACTTTGAGAATACTATTTTTGGCAATTTTGGCGATTTTTTTACCAGGGTCCCCCCTTAAGATGCAGATATAATTTATTTTTGAATTTAAAAAAATTAGATTGCAAAGTGTACGGCCAAGGAATAAGAAACTTATTGAGGACGGACGTTTATCATAATGGCCACTGTGCCGTTAGAATTCTACGTGCAGTGTTGTGGCAATGATTTCCTTTCAAGTGAGAAAAGTTGCATACTTAAATGAAACTGTCAGACTCAGACCCCGGCATCTGTTCCTAACGTCAAGTTTTATTCGGTTCCCCAAAATTATTACAAGTCTCGGAAGTTAAGCCTGAAGGAAAATTTCTGGGAACTTTCTTAGCATTTTTTGTTACATAAAAATCTAACCGACTTTAAACTTTTTGACGAAAATATTTACCTTAACTAAGGTTTTATTACACTGTTAAAAAAAATTTCTTAAAATTCAGACTAAATAGTCAAAAGCAGATTTTCATAACGTTGGTCTGAATATTCAGAGTAAGAATTGCTCTGAAAAACAAGATTGTGAAAATCTGAAATTTTTGACTTAGTTAGTCTGATAATATAGACAAGAGAATAGTCTGAAAATTCAGACCGCAAATTGTTTAAATCGTAAGAGCTTCCGAAATTAAAATATTCTTCGTCGATCTAATCAGTAGACCTTTCCTCTGAGAGAATGGCGCCTCGAACTGTACCGAAACTTGGTACTGCCACTGTGACTCGAACCCCGGACCTCCGGGTTACGAGGCAGCCACCTTATCCACTAAGCCGTGTGGCGCTTGTGGTCTCCGAGGAGCGTCGAGCCGACTACATGCTGCGACTTGGCGCAGCCGTCCGTTAGGGGTCCTGACGGTCCATACCGAAGTTACTCATCGGTTTTCAAGTAATTCACATACCATTATTAAATGTTGTGTATGACGACATGATTTTGACTTCAGAAATACAGAGATTACAAATTGTATTCAGACCAGGCGATAAAAAATTTGGACTGCGGTCTGAATCTACAAGAAAGACCAAGGATTTCTGAAAACTAAGAGCATCAATTGTGAATTTTCATCTCCTCGGTCTGAAAACGCATTTCAGACTGTACACTCAAAAAATTTATACTAAAGTCTGAACTTTAAGACTTGAGTCTGAATTCCCATTTCAGAGTAGGAAGTCTGAAAAAAATGGTCTGAATTTTCAGACTTTTTTTAACAGTGTACTTAAAAGAATGAGGGAAAAAAGCGGTCTGGAGAAATTTTTCACTACATGACCCAAGATTTAGCTTTAATTGTTAGTAGGCTATGCATTTCTTGATTCACCGAAAAAAAAATTCCATAAAGCCAAAAGTTTCCTTTGAATTGGAGAGCAGAAAATATGGAAACATAAATCAGACCAGTAGCCTCGACGCAACAATGCACAGCGCAGTTAATGTCTTTAATCGGTTTTGAAATATTTTCTACAGTTGCCTGCACAGTGCGTCGCGTACAACTTCGGCGAAGAGCTGGAACCGAAGTTGAGAAGAAATCAAGAAGAACAAAGTAGGCGAAATTGGTGAGAATGAGCGTCTGCGTCGCCGTTCTGCCGCTCCGCAGAGTTTATTCTGATATACAAGTCCGACGTTTTGTTCTTATTGATTTCTTCTCCACTTCCGGTCCAGCTCTTCTCCGAAGTACCCTATTCCGCCCGAATTGAGCTATTCCCCCTACAGATCAATAAGAAGAATTTATCATGCACTAATTGGGTACTTCGGCGAAGAGCTGGACCGGAAGTGGAGAAGAAATCAAGAAGAAGAAACGACGGACTTGTATAAGAATACAACTCTGGGGACGCGGCAGAACGGCGACGCAGACGCTCATTCCTACACATTTCGCATACCTTGTTCTCCTTGATTTCTTCTCGACTTCCGCTCCGGCTCTTCTCCGAAGCACCCTATTGTGTGAGGACACTTTCAAAATTGAACAAATACATGCACAGTGCGATTTCACGATAGAGTGAAGACGAACATGTCATATTCTCCAGCTGGGTTTTGACTTACCACTGCTCGAAGAACCTCCTTCCATTGTGCAACGGCCTCACTCCAATCCAATGACGACCCGCTCTACAGCACTAGTCCGAGTTGAGACGAAAGCTGCCGAGGAACCAACTGACTCGATTAGGGTAAGGTTACCAAACATGGATCACTTTTTAGAAATGTCCCATATTTCGGCTCAAACAAGCGATGACCTAAATTTTCTTCGACACACTTCAAGATTACCACAAAGACAACCTTCTCCCAAGAACTCTGCATTGAATAACAAATACTTTGAAATTTACAGGGCTTTGAAATTTCACTGATTTTAGTGATCCATGTTTGGGTCAGACCCAAACATGGATCACCCCCCCACACTCTACAAAAAATGTCCTGTCAACGCCGTTAATTTATTACCAATGTTTGCTGTTATGCAATTCACGGCGTTTGCTGTGAACTAGTTCACGGCGTTCACTGTGATCTCGGTTACAGTGTTCACTGTGATCTGGCCACAGTAAACGCCGTGAATTGGAGCCTGATTTGCAGTACTTCGGTGCTCAGCGGCGTCAAACTCACAGTGTTTACTGGGGACCAGATCACAGTGAACACCGTGAACAAGATCACAGTGAATCCCGTGAGCAGATCACAGTAAACGCTGTGAATTGACCTACAGTGAAAACTGGTAATAAATTAACAGCATTTACAGGACATTTTTGGTAGAGTGCACCCCCCTCGCGTTTTGACGGGGGCGATCCGATTACTTCCGGTCGCCTAAATTTTCAAAGAGTACACTCTGAAGGTACCACGAAAAAATTTTGAGACATTTCTGATGAATGGATTCTTTTTAATTACGGTTTGAATTTTGACTCCTAACCTAACCTGAAAACAGGCCGTTTTCGGACCCCTTTTTAGAGGCACTTTTTCACTTGCATGCTGTGAGGGTAACGGTAAGGTTGATCGGCGCCCCCGCGCGTGATTCTGAAAGTTAGAGGTGTAGACTTCATGAAAAACTTCGAAAAAATTAAATTGGTTGATTGGTTTGGCGGTACGGGCTCGCTAACGAAAATGATCCATGATTGGTACCCCGATCCATGTTCGGCACTTTACCCTAAGCATTGATAGCCAACGCTATGAAAGGCAAAATCGGGGGTCTCAGCTTGATTTCAGTAATGTCATTGCCCGTAACATGCGATGTCTCAAGGGCTGTCCATTGGTTGCTGTACGCACTGGGGGGGGGGGGAGATCTGCGCTTGCGTAACGCTGCACTCTCGTCCCCGAGCGTTACATCACGCAGAAACGAGCGTCTCGCAATGCCACGCTCCTGGAATGAGTGTGCTTTACAGGAGGAAAGGGGGCGGTGTAGCGCAGCGTGGCGTTGAACACGAGAGCGCATCCTACAGTGGAAGAAAGCAATTGAGAATGACCGAAGCGATAGATGGTACAAGTTTGCCAAGGGTTGCGTCGCACTTTCATGAATCCGCTTAAATTTCAGAGAACCTTTCGTAGATTTAGTAAAGTTCCGAAAAAAAATACGACATTCTTTCCAGGGGTACCTGCGTGATTCCCAGAGATATGCTTTTACACAGAAGGAGAATGTGCAATGAAATCAGCGCATCCTGATAATATTTATTGCTAAGCATTACGTACAAGAAAGAGCGGGGTCTCTATTTGGACAACGACGCCCCAGTTTGAACTAAGAAACAAAAGAAACCGACTCGAAGAGTACTTCCGAGCGAGTGTGAATTCTGTTCCAGCACGTTCTTCCCGCAGCCACGGAGCCAGAAAGAATGGGTCTAGAAGGGTATTTCTATGGTTGGCTGGACTAGAAACAAGAAAGTCCAAAATGGAGGCGGGAAATATTCATCAGAACCGCACCGATCGTAGCTCGACTCTATTTTGTGGGTGTGGAACCAAATTCTGCTCGCCCTGTCGGTTCTCTACCACTTTCTTTTTTTGTAACAGCATGGGATTCCCACGTGGCTCCTTGACAGCAGATTTCTTCATTCAGGGTGGGCTTGGGAATCCTATGTACTGCTTTTGCTGTGTTCTCTTGCAATCAATCACTGCTCAAGGTGAGGTACTCCCGGACGAAACACCTCGTCTAATATCGTGAAATTATAAATAAAAACTCTTTAAACTGCTTATTTAACTTCTTGCTTCGTAGAATCAAGGAAGAGCGTTACGCGGCTTTAAGATTACATATCCTACCTAGGAGCTTACTCAAAATTCGTTAGTAATGGATACGTCAATTGCACCTTCATTGAAATTCGAAGGGTGAGACATCCGACCGATTTTTGGTGATCCAAAAGTATGACTGAAAAAAGGTCATACTTAAATGTATGACCAAAAAGGGGTCACACATAAGCGAGACTGCACTGTAAAAAAATTCCATACTTTTGTATGGATATGGTACCGACAGATATAGTACGGAGGTACGGAGAAAAGTACGGAACGCCCGTACTTGCTCCATATGAACCCATGTAAATGGGTACGAAAAAAAAGTACGGAAGTTCCGTAGTTGGCAAGTACGGACGGTCCAGGCAAATAATTAATCAGATATGTTCCGTACTTTTTACGTACTTTTTTCTCACAGTATGGCTATTGTTCAGCGTGAGGATAAATCAGCCTTTACATATGATACGCTGTAGAGTATAGCCATTTTTCGGTCATACATCGAAGTATGACCCTTTTTCGCGGTCGTATACATTTCAGTAAGACCGTTTTAGGGGTCCAAAGTCTGACCTTTCTTTTTTCAGTGTTACAGTCCTCTAACAGCATCTAACAAAACTGAAGACTGTGACCAGCCCTCCTCACTGGGTAAACTGATGTGAACCAAGCGCGGTGCGAACTAGCTTTTGTCTTCCTAACCGCTCACGCAAGGAAACGTTCATTAATTTATGCCAGCTGAGGCCACGATGTTATGAAACTGTTTCTTTTGTTCGAGTGTTTTTAGCTAAATTCTGAGGCACAGGTTTTGATAGTGTATACCCCCTCGGCCCGAAGGGTGTCCCGGAAAACAAGATTTTTCAAATCACGCTTGTGAACACTCCTAAAAGGATCCCTTTCTCCGTGCTGATTCAAGGGGCGGATCATTCAGCGTTCTGGTGTACACATGAATACGGGTGAGTACACCGTAGAAAACTCTTTAATTTCACAATTTTAAACCTTTGAGGCTTTATTTAGTGTTTCAGACAATACGCAACATCAGATCTTACCTCAAACCAGCGAATTTCGACAAATATAAACTTTTGAGTACACTGCACCAGTGATTCACCCACCCCTCGTTCTGATTTCAGATTCGTATTTGGTTTTGTTCAAATCTAAATTTAAAGTACAACTACCCGGTAAAATACATACAGCCACAATGTTTTGTTCAAAATCGGACTTTGAACAAAATATAAAGCTTTTGGCGATATTGTTGTAGGGCCAATTGTGGATGAGGGATGCGCAAGACAAGTAACATCAAGATCACCCCCAGACTCCACCCCACCCCTATGTCGTAACCACCTTCTGCCAACCCCTTTTGCAGGTTTCAATAGGGTACTTCGGAGAAGATTCAGACCGGAAGTCAGCGCGACAACGGGAGAAACTAAAGAGCGTCGCGCGGCCGTGCCTGGCGGTGGTGGGGGTCAGTTTGGGCATGGTGGGGCAGCGTGCGCGCGCCGCCTTTACCCCCACTCTGCCCATTTTTGCCCCCACCACCGCCCAGCACGGCCGCGCGACGCTCTTTGTTTCTCCCGTTATCGCGCTGACTTCCGGTCTGACTCTTCTCCGAAGTACCTATTGGTGGATTCATAGACAATCAACTATATCCATAGACCAACTGCTTCCATGGCCAGGCGGGATCCATGTGTTACGCCGCTCCCTGATTGGTCAGCGAACGCCGCGTCCTTATTGGTCGACGCCGCGTCCTCATTGGTCGAGCAGAGCGCCTGCTCGACCAATGAGGACGCGGCTGGCACGGCGGGCAAGCGCAGCGCTTTCGAAACCAGGGACGGTGGCGGCGACGCGCGGACGGGCCGACAGGCGCGGATGCAAATGAAACGTCGCTGTGACTCGAGGCTCGAGTTTTGATCCGAATGTCACGAAACTTGACAGAAGTGTTTCTGGTGTAATGAGGCAGGCACATTCGCTTTTGCCGCGTGTAAAATCGTTCATTTAAACAACTTTCTTAAAAAAAAAAATTTAAAAAAATACAATTTTGTCCTTATACTGCATTGGCATGGCAGCTCAGGTTGCGGAACCTACGTAATTTAAAAAAATGTAGGGCTCCTTGCCCTCGGACCGCCAGTCAGTCCGCAAAAATATCACAAAAATAGCGCATCTGGCTAAAAAAAAAAAGCTTTGGAGACAACGTGCTTGTGCGTCTCGGCCCGTCTCTGGGGGACCCGACGCCCCCTTCCACTTGAGCCTCTAGGGCTAACTGGGGCAGGTTCAGAGCTTGTTAGCAGATTTAAAAGAGATAAAACAGTTTTATAGGATCTTTAATTAATAAACAGAAACGTGACTCAATTATAAAAGTTTTAAACACTTTATAGGGGTAACAAGGCTTTTCCTGTGGTCTTCTTCCTTTCCTCTGATTTTTCTCTCCTTGCTCGCACTGCCGCCGTCTCCCTCTCCTCTCTTTGTCCTATGACCTTTGAAGCTGTCATGGCCCAGGTCTATGACAGCCTAGCAGTACTGGACAGCTGGCACGCTTTAACATCATCACTGAACAATGAAGAGCACCAGACTGCGTTCCTGGAGTTTGTAGTGCAGCATTACAGGCGGTTCCTCGGTCATGCCATTGGTGAGCGTGTCATTCGATGCCTGAATAAAAGAAAAAGAGTTGCTGTCAGAACGCATTTGAAATCGAATCCTTGATCAGTTACATAGATTTTTAGGTTGTCAGTGGGAGTTCTGTTGGGTCTTTAGTTTTCAATTTTATCTCTGAGTCAAAATTTAATCATGTGCACATTTTATGATTAGGTTCAAAGCACTATATATAAGCAAGATGAATCCATGTTTTTGGTTGACTTGTTATTTTTTAAATCCTTTCGTGACTTCTTTCCAAAATAATATTTGGCAGTTGCAGACTTCTGTCGAGTCCTAGATTTGTGGTTATTCTGATTGTCACTACTTGAATAAAAGTTTCAAACACAATTTCTCTCCGGTTTTCTTCCATTGTGTGCACCTCTACCCCCTGACTTCCATATTCGGATGTAGATGAGAGATAAATGAAATTCAGAATATCAGTATGATGGAATCATAACCTTCAATGCACTCAATTATCAAATTCCTACTCGGAAAACCATGCCTATTGGATGGTAACTAGTAGATCCGAGCATAAATTACTACAGTGAGATAATACCAAAAACTGGGAAAACACCACAATATAACATTAGTCGGCAAAATAGGCCAATTACTAGCCCGTAGACTGGTCCGAGAATCACAAGACGCAGCTACGCATGATTTTGTGAATCACTTAGGAGACTGTTCCTGCGAATGACAAGTGCTTTAGGGGACATTACATGAAAGAAAAAGGTTTAAAAAGTGTCGTCAGCCGACAAAATCAGATACTTACAGAACAAGATTGGCACAGTAGGTCCCGATAACGCACGCTATATACATTGTCTATGCCCAGGGTAAGAGCCTGGAGCGGTCAACGCCGCACTTGTGGATCAGTTTTAAACCACTTAAGTTAATGTTCAGCTGCTTTCAGCGGTGAAAAGAAGCACACATAGATGAGGAATGGCCTCAAACGGCCCGATTTTGAAAATAAACTGTAATTTTAGAGCCTCAAGGAAGTTTTACAGAGGAGCACCGCTCGCGTTAGCGTTCCAGCCCTCCAGCCGCCTCGAAAATAACCAGCCTCTTATTTTTTGCAGTATCGTCTCGACCAATCCGACCAATCAGGACGCGGCGTTCACACGCCGAGGCAGTCTGGTGAGGTCGAGGCTACACTTGTCGACCAGTTTTATACCACTTCAAGTCCATGTTGAGCTACTTTCAGTGAATGAAAAAGAAGCGCACATAAATGAGGAATGTCATCACGCGGCTCGATTTTAAAAACAAACTTTAACTTTAGAGCCTCAAAGGAAGTTTTACAGAGGAACACCGCTCCTGTCGCCAACTGAGTGTTTGTGTTACACCTGGTATTATTAACAACACGCTTATTAAAAAATGAAAAACATAGAGACATAGATTTTAGCAGGCTAAATGGACGCAAATCGTCAAAATTAAAATTCGAGAAGTTTTAAACCCGTAAATGTGGACGCGAAGGATGCCAACCAATCAGGGAGCGGCGTAACACATGGATCCCGCCTGGCCATGAAGCAGTTGGTCTATGGATATAGTTGATTGTCTATGGTGGATTATGCGTTGACATTTTTTGTTATGTTCGCCGACCCGATCGCGCTTCGATAACTACCGTTAAATTCGGCTCAAAATTTCCTTTCTCGTCATCAACCGCAATAATGTAGCATTCAATGCTGAAATTTTATGATGAAAAATACATGTGTATTTTGCATAGCAAAAATTTCAATGCAGCCTGCACCTGAGGAAGTGCGAAACCAGATTTGGAAAGCCTAGGAGTTGAACTACGATTAAGGGGAGGTTCTGGTGAAAATGCTATTTTCTCCAAAATAGGTCCCACTGTGAAAATTTGTTTAAAATTTGATGTCTTATCAAGTATTTATTGAAAATTTTCATTGGGGAGGCACATTCTATGCCCTGAACCCAGTCGCAGAGCCTTTTTCTCCCATTTAGGTTATAACTTTAAAAATCTTCTTGCGCATACTATTTTGTCGTAAAAGGTTGGCTTAGACATTTTTCACTTCTTCGATTCATTTTCTGAAAATGCCGGCATGCACATATCAAAATATCAATTGCATTTTTATTCGCAAGCGTTCTAACCAAGCATTTCACCATAATTGATCAAAAATGTACAAAATAGACAAATTTTACGGACTTTTCAGCTTTAAAAGCTAATAACTAATAATATAATGGAAGTTTTGAGCTCTGCATGCCAGAATCTTTTGAAAATGAGTCAAAGAAGTGACAAATGTCAAGGTCAACCTTTTACGACAAAATAGTATGCGCAAGGAGATTTTTTAAGATACAGCCAAAATAGGCTCAAAAAGACTCTTCGACTGGGTTTACAGCGTGGCATGTGCCTTCAGAAGTCAAATTTTAGTCTCCTCAATGAAAAATTTTATATTCCGAACAAATTATGACTGTAGGATCCATTTGGAAAATGGCAAGATTTTCACCAGAACCTCCCCTTAAGCTGTTTTAAAAGTCCAGATTTGGATTTTCCACGAGAGTAGATGGGCCCGTCTCAATATTTAATATTTTTTTTCCCAATTTACGCCACTATTTATCAAGCTCGACCAAATCCGAGGGCTGATTCGGATTCCTCGTCGCATTTCACGGGTTATTTTAATCACAGCATGAAAATTGGACAAAATTCGTCCATATCGAGCCATTTTTCAGAAATGAATCTTTAGAAGAGGTAAAAAATTTAAGTACCCATTCTGAGCAAACTACTTGTTGTCGAAATCGTTCGTGGTCTCCCAGATCGTGTAAATCTTAAATGAAATGATCCTTCTTAGAGGTCCAAAGATACAATCAACTCCATCAGCATACCTTTATTGTCCCCAGATAATAACCAGACAGTGCATGTTTCTGTTGCGCAGGCTCTTCAATCTCAGCAGCACGTTTTTCTGACCAATGCCGCCGTCCTCCACGATGACCTCGGCGTTCTCGCCATCAAGCTGCATGTCCACCACCTGGATGCAGTGGATGACGGCTTCGGACGAGAACTGGACGTGCTCCTTGTTGGCCGCAATAACACTGCCAGACCGTTTGATCTCCTTCCAGTGCAGTTGCCTGCGGAAACAAATGAAGGTTTAGGCTGCAGCACAGGGAATATTTTCAACAAAATGAAGTTCCCGAGGAACGGCCCTCAAAATAATAAAAAAGAATTTAAAAAAAAAGAGAAAGGTTTTTGTACAAGAGACGTCTTGCATCGCATACAAACACATCTCGGCCATTTTCGAGCAATTCGGTTTTGGGTTGTTCACTGGAAGAGCTGCAAAGGCCCAAGCATGATCTAAACGGGGGTGGGGGGTGGGGTGGAAAAGGTGGAGGGGGCAGCTCTCAAATTAAAGAGACTTTGACGCGAAAGAGAAATTTATATTTTCTACAATTATAGAATAAGGACTTTCTGGTCAGATAAAAGCTTGAAATTGTGCCACACTAAAAAATGGAACTAAAACTTTGTAGAACTGCTTCCATTTAAGAAGAAATGCTTCGTATTAGGGCCACGAAGCACAATAGGGCACTACAAAGAAGCTCTGGCCCGGAGGAAGAAGAACAACAACGGAAGTCACAGATGACAGTTTCTAAGAGAAATGCACGCTGCGGATGGTGTCTGGAGCATATCCCCCGCGTATATTTCTCATATTAACTGTCGTTTCTGACTTCCGTTTTTGCTCCGGGCCAGAGCTTCTTTGGCTCACCTGTCGTTCTGGTAGAGTTCACCAAAATTGAAGCTCTGGTCAATCTCTTCCAGAGAGCCTTTGCGTTCGGGAAAGTCGCCTAGAATATTGACGATTGCCGAGTCCATATAGCGCCTTTCTTCTTTTTCGCTGAGCCGCGGGCCGCAAGCTTCATGGGTGTGGGTGTTACACTTGCACTCCATGGCGATGAGCTAAAAAAAGGGCAAGACCTAAAAGTGATTTATTCAAACAAGTTTTTAATTAACCACCTTGCGGATCGCGCCTACATTTAGGGCACGAAGGGCACTTGAAGAGACGAAACCCGCACCGTCTCGTCGCCTCGATTCGAACCATACCCCTTCATACGCTTCTACACTTAAACATTTTGTTGTCACTTTATGGCAAAATCGTGGATTTCGTTTTTAACTTGCAAATGATGTCAATGCCATCAATGCCATCACAAAGTGATAACATTGTCGCCGAAGCTCATTCACTTATTGCATGGGCGTGACTACTAATGTCATCAAATGTTTTGATGACATCCTTCAACTACACTCCAAACATGGGGTGCCCAGAAACTGGGCGCCTTTGTCGCCCGCCCCACTTTTTAGGGTGCCAAATGTCGCCCAGTTCCTGGGCACCTTTGTCGCCTAGTCTCGGGGTGGACAAACCATTAAGGAACCTGCCTTCACACATGGCTCAGCAGCGACTAAGGTGCCAAAGGTGTCCAGAATCTGGGCACCTTAGTCGCCCAGGAACTAGACACCTGAGCATGCCCTACCATGGGAAAGGGCCGGTTACTGTATGATTGTCCACCCCGAGACTGGACGACAAAGGTGCCCAGAAACTGGGCGACATTTGGCACCCTAAAAAGTGGGGCGGGCGACAAAGGCGCCCAGTTACTGGGCACCCCATATTTTGAGTGTAGCCTTGAAATCATCAAGTGACAACCAAAATTTTTGCAGTGTTCGAAAGCCTTCAAGCCAACGATGTAAATTTTAATGCACCTGCCAGCGCCCCTGGGGCTCCGATCGGAAACGCCGCCAAAGGGCGGTTCTAAGGAAGCTGGATACCAAATTTTGAGAAGATCGTACGACGGGAAGTCGACGGACGTTCAACGCACAGCACGCGTCATGCTCGATATCTGGTATTTGTTTCATAAATACAGGACGGGTGAAAAATTACCTTGTTTACGAGTAAAAATGGAATTTCGATGAGGGCTGGGTTGACGCTTGCGAGGCAAGAACGCGAATACTAGCCACACGGACCAGGACTGAGCGTGGCCATCAGATAATCTTATCAAGTCCGTGACGCCGGCTTTTCACAACACGAGAACCCGATAGTGACGCATCGAGGTGCGGCGTTAAGGCTCCGCAGCTATCTCCTAAACTAAAGTATTTATTCGCAATCAGTCGATTTCCGGTGACAGTCCCCGCTTCCGCAGGGAGTGGGAGGAGGTTCAAATCCGGCGAGCTGGAGCGTCGAGTCGAGGACGATTAATTTTTATCCTAAAATTAAATACGAAAAAGGAAAAGTCTAAGGTTGTGTTTGTGTATCCACAGTAAGTGCCGCATACCCTTGGATGTGACGCTGGAGAGGCCCCGAGCGCTGTGTCGCCACGCGATGGGACCCTGTACCTTGCGTAGCAGATTGCAGTCGGTCGACACTGAGAATCCAAACGCTATGAGTATAGCGTCAATTGGTGCAATACGAAAGCATTGCACATGAAGTGCAATGCCTCCCAATTCCCATGTATTAGCATAGGGCCTTTGCGGGAAGCATTGCACCAAAGGTGCAATATGGCTGTGGCATTGCACGTATGGTGCGATATCACAGCGCATTGAAAAAACTATTTTTTATTTAGTTTTTATTTTCCCGGGACATGCGCCGTCCGGACTTGCTCTCGCGCTTGAAAGCAAGTTCGGACCAGACCTTAGAAACAGGTTCGTTTGAGAGCCAGTTCGTTGCGACTCCTGTCACTGTAGTTCAGAGTACAGGATTTACTGTACTTTTTTTACAGGATCTACTGTACTTTGTACGGGATTTACAGTACCACAGGAGTAGAGTACGGAATATCCTGTAATTGGCACAGCAAACACTGTAGCCAGACACAGTAAATCCTGTGTTCTGAACTACAGTAAATCCCAGCAAAAAAATTAACGGGATTTACTGTGGTTTTTTCGCACAGTGTTCGAAATCCCACGACTTCTTGACGGCTGGGCGTAAAAATATGGGCAGGTGCTAATTGGATTCAGTACGATTTTTTCTACCAATTGCGTAAAGAAGAGTGAAGAGTAGAAGTTATTCCCAGAAATCCCAAGCCAAAAGTGGGTCTGGCCATATTTTCAAGAAATATAGAAGAAATATAGAAATATCTTAAGATTTCTTAAGATCGCAGGTCCAAATTGACGGCAAAGTCTTCATTTGTCAATTTCACGAAAAAGAAGCCCTACCATGGTTCCTTGGAGCGAGAATTGATTGCTTGAGGCAAAATACTCAAATTCATGCTCTAACCACCAAAGTGTGACTAGGCTGCCGTTTCACTCCTGCTAACAAATGTTATCTCCTGTCGACAATGTTCGAGTGGAGTCAATATTGACTTTGGTTGCGTTGTTTAGAATAATCTTTAGTGTAAGAGCAGATCCAAGACAATCCCAACCGTTAGTGTCAATTCAGAACTATCCCAACTGCACATGACGTGAAAAGCGGTCTTTTCTCAAAGTTGGAGATAAGTCAATTTATTCCCTTCTTCCGCTTCCTGGATCAATATTTGTGGTGCGTGTGGTTATAAAGACGAGGAAGAACAGACAGAACGAGCAGCAAGTGTTGGCGGAGTCAAAATTTTATTAGTTGGATACAACACAAAATCATCTCACAAAATTGTCAATCTTTCCCTGATACGCCGTCTCGGAAAATGTAAAAGTACATTGCTGGGCAGTGCCTGCGGGTCAGTTACGTAAAACGTACAAACAACGTTAGCATCCATCACAAAACATTAAAAACACTACAGTGACAATGAAGGTCTAGTACAACTGCATTAAACCGTTGTATCACGTTGATCAGATGAGGTCATCTCTAAGTTATGTAGAAACTACTGACATGATAATGAAGCAGTTGAACTTTGCCTTTCTGGGACTGTTGACTGAAACTGCAGGCTGCACTGGAAGCAGCGGCTGTAAACTAATCTAACAGAATGGCGGCAATGCAACCTTAACAGCTGAATGATTCATCTAGCAAAGATGCTGCTTACAAGATGGTTTCGGCGCGAGACCCTTCAACGTTTAGATTGGACCACTAGAGATAGCCCACTTGGGTGTGGGTGCGAAGGTGCCTTGACCAGCTCGACTGAACTTCTTGTTGCAGACTTTACATTTCGAAAGACTTCTCCCCGGTGTGAGAACGGAGGTGCGCTCTGAGGAGATCAGCTCGACTGAACTTCGTGTTGCATACCGAACATTCGAGGGGCTTCTCTCCGGTGTGGGTGCGGAGGTGCCTACGAAGGCTTCCAGCATGCCTTAACTTCTTATTGCATACTGAACACTCAAAAGGCTTCTCCCCGGTGTGGAGACGGAGGTGCGTTCTCAGGGTTCCACTTTGACCAAACCTCTTGTTGCAGACTGAACATTCGAAGGGCTTTTCCCTGGTGTGAGAGCGGAGGTGCCTTCGAAGGTTCCCAGCTTCCTGAACTTCTGGTTGCATATGGAACATTTGAAGGGCTTCTCCCCGGTGTGGGTTAGGAGGTGCCTTCTCACGCTTTCTCTTTCACTAAACTTCTGGTTGCATACTGAACATTCGTAAGGCTTCTCCCCAGTGTGAGTACGGAGGTGCCTTCGAAGGTTTCCAGTTCCACTAAACTTCTTGGTGCATACCGAACATTCGAAGGGCTTCTCCCCAGTATGGGTGCGGAGGTGCGTTCTCAGGGTTCCAGCTAAATTAAACTTCATGTTGCAGACTGAACATTCAAAGGGCTTCTCCGCGGTGTGAGTGCGGAGGTGCTGTCGAAGGCCTTCAGCTACACTGAACTTCTTGTTGCATACCGAACATTCGAAGGGCTTCTCCCCGGTGTGGATGCGGAGGTGCCTTCGGAGGTTTCCAGTTTCACTAAATTTCATGTAGCAGACCAAACATTCGAAGGGCTTCTCCCCGGTGTGAGTGCGGAGGTGCTTTCGAAGGTTTCCACCTACATTAAACTTCATGTTGCAGACTGAACATTCGAAGGGCTTCTCCCCGGTGTGGGTGCGGAGGTGCACAGCCAGCGCCGACTGCGATGGGAACGCCTTCTTGCACACTGCGCATTGGGCGGGCATTTTCGATGGACGACCGGGTTTGCACGGTTTTCCTTTCACCGCAGCTCTGCAACACCAACAGTTCGTATAGAACCCCTGAACTCAATGGGGGTTCCAATTCCTTGGATGGAGGGAGCACACACGCTTAAACTTTACGAAGTGCTTTCAGCATACATTATACTAACTTATTTACTTTGTTATACAAAGAAATAATTCTTAAATTACGAAGTATGCATTTTCTTTGTAAGCTTGTGTATGCTCAAAATACTTCGTGACAACAAACTGCTTTTCTCTCTAAGGCATAAAATAAGGTTTTCTCAGTGCATACCTATGATCAATCGGTCGCAGCTCGTTCCGCTCGGGGTCCTGGTTGGGTTGCAAATGAAACGTTGTCTTTTGACGAGGTTGGATTGAGTTATGATGACTGCAAAATTGAAAAAAGACGTGACAGACGGGTTGGAATAGAAAGCATAACTTTTCATGGGACTCTTTTCGTGCAACGAATGATGCAATTTCGAGCACGTCGATGGTACAATTACGCGTCCAGCACACTGTGAAAATTTGTGTCGTCACTTGATAACCATTTCTAGGCATATTTTTCTTACAACAAAGTCATCAAAATAATTGATGACATTGTTGTCAAGCCCAAGCAATAAGTAGAGGAGCTTTGATGAAAATGTCATCAATTTGAGATAAGACTGTCATCATTTAAAAGAGATAAAAATTTCAGACACAATTTTGTCATTAAGTGTCTATAAATTTTCACAGCACAGATGACACTCAACTGGTGGATTGAAACACGCGTCATGACGATGTGCTGAAAATTGCATCATCCATGTTTCGAAACAATCTGCGCTCATCAGCGAGTGCCGGACAAGAGGAATCAACACGCGAGAATCCATGAGCATTAAGGTATTAGTTTCTTCTTAAGGGGGAGGTAAATAGTGAAATTTGTAATTTTTTTATGTCTTTTCAGCCTTCTATTCTTACATATTGGTCACCCTGACATGAAAATGTACATCACTATTGGATTCTCCATGCCTTTTTACCATTACACCATCTCTGGTTGCGGGTCTGGTGGCACTTTTTGAATTTTCGCAAACTTTTTAGATTTGGTCGATATTTGGGTTTTAATCCTTGCGCGCAGGATTTCAAATCAAAAAATTGTCCCAAAAATCTGGGTTAGGGTTACGGATCCAAGTCTTTGGCTACTGACTTATCACACCAAAACGAACATTAGGAAGGCTCGAACTCATCGAAAATCAACAAGAAAGAGAAATCCGTCTAATGGACCGTAAAGGCTGCAGTGGCTAAGGACAGACAAAGAAGCCTCGCAGTTCAAGTACTGCACCAGCATTAGGTGTCGACTACAGTACTTCAATCCGAACAAAGACAGATGTTACGCATCACTAACGTACTGATTCGTACTCATTTGCTATCCTAAAATTTTAAATTCCTTGCATGATTAAATGCTATTGAAACCTGCCTCGGGACAAAAAGAACGACGACGTACAACGTTTGTATACATACTACAAACTCATTTACGTTGTTGAACGAAGAAATACTTCGTAAATAGAGTACTCCCAAGAAGCTCTGGCCAGGAAGAAGAAGAAAAGAAAAACGGAAGTAAGAAATTGCAGTTTTCTATGAGAAATATACGCTGCGGACTTCATGCGCAGTGTACATTTCTCCCAGGAACTGCAATTTCTTACTTCCGTTTTTTTTTCTTCTTCTTCCGGGCCAGAGCTTCTTGGGAGTACTCTATTACGAAGTGTTTTCTTTGAGAGCTTACGTTTGCTCAAAATTCTTTGCTATTACAAGCAGCTTTTCTTTGCAAGGCTTACAATAGTTTGTAAAGATTTCAGAGTGCAGGCCCTGTGAACAGTGTCCAGTAACTTAAATATCTGGAAGAACAGAACTTCTTCCTAATCCAATAGCGGTTCAGGACTGGACTTCAGGAATCGCGGTGTACGCAAGCGCAAAGCCAGACTTCTGTTTCAGTTGCTTTAAGGGAGGCTTCAATAGGGTACTTCGGAGAAGAGCTGGAGCGGAAGTTGAGAAGAAATCAAGAAGAACAAAGTATGAGAAATGCGTAAGAACGAGCGTCTGCGTCGCCGTTCTGCCGCTTCCGCAGAGTTACATTCTCATTCAAGTCCGGCGTTTCTTCTTCTTGATTTCTTCTCAACTTCCGGTCCAGCTCTTCTCCGAAGTACCCTATTAATTAGTGATCACACTTTTTCAACCTTACCTGGAACCATGCGACGCCGACTGCAGATCAAAATGTGGAAAACGTCGACGTTCGACGTGAAACAAATCTTTCCAGAAGTCACATCTCACGAAACATGTGCGGTGCAAATGTCACTCAAGTCAATGCCTTCGTGATCCCCATGCACTGTAGTCCAGAGAGCCCCGGCTTCGCAACGGCTTTGACCACAGAGCCTCTCGAGTCGATGCAGCTTTCCCCGCAAGATGGCCTGCAACCGCAAGTGTGTGATTAGCCACTATTCTATATGCGCTTCCATGCTCACCGCCCTAAACAGTTTGATAGGATACTTCGGAGGAAACCTAGAACGGAAGTCAGCGACAGAACCGGAGAATCCAATGAGCGTCGCGCGGCCTTGCTGAGCGGTGGTGGGGGCCGAAATCGGCAGAGTGGGGGTGGCATGCGCGCGCCGCCTTCACCCCCACTCCGCCGATTTCGACCCCGACCACCGCTCAGCACGGCCGCGCGACGCTCATTTGTTTCTCCCTTTCTGTCGGTGACTTCCGATCTAGGCTTCTCCGAAGTACCCTATTGCGAAACGGACCGTTCTTGACAATGTGCAAAAAGTTGAAAATGTTTTCTAGAGCTCTTTGCTACATAGGGAACACACCCACAAAGTTTCGTCGAAATCCGAGACATCGATTTCGGGACCTCGGGTGACTTGGGAAAGAAATACCCATTCCCCGGTTATCGATCCCCGCGAGGTATTCCCCGGGTATGTCGATCCCGGCGAGGTATGCCCCAGGAATCGATCCCCGCGAGGCATTCCCCGGGTATCGATCCCAGCGAGGCATTCCCCGGGTATCGATCCCCGCGAGGCATTCCCCGGGTATCGATCCCCGCGAGGCATTCCCCGGGTATCGATCCCCGCGAGGCATTCCCCGGGTATCGATCCCAGCGAGGCATTCCCCGGGTATCGATCCCCGCGAGGCATTCCCCGGGTATCGATCCCCGCGAGGCATTCCCCGGGTATCGATCCCAGCGAGGCATTCCCCGGGTATCAATCCTCCCGTGTCAGTTTTCACGTGTAAGCGAACGTGGTGTCGCACTCGCTGGCGTTCAGTGTTGTGTCTGCTCACGAATCTTTTCAAGTGTCCGAAGTGCAGCTGCTGTTGTCTACCGCAGACTTATCGGGTCAGGGTCAGGTGCACTGATGCGATCCGTGCATTTCTCAGCTTATCGCACCACGAAGTATAGATTAAGGCTCCCGACATGCACATGCGCTGTAGAGCGGAGTGATTCGTGATTTTAATGGTCAGTTGCTAGGCATTCTGGATAGAACGCTCGTGTCAAGTAGATATGACCTTGACCATTCGGATACCATTCGGTACTTAATTCACCGCGTGTCGGGCAATAAGCACTATGTTCAATAGTACGCATCACATCTACGGGAGTGTATCTATGGAGTGTATTAGCCAAGCACATAGCCTATGCGTGTGCGTGGAAAAGCCCAGTCCGGTCTGAAGCTGAACTACCCTCCTTTTGATGTGTGCGAAGCAATCGGTAGATCTTGTAGCGTACCCCGCTGTACTAGGTGAATGTTCATTCCGTTTTTCATCCTTTTCCCTCCAACATGCCAATATTTTTTGTGACGCGTGCAATAACTTTACTCTCACCCTAAGGATATGAACTTGGCGCCTGTTTTAGATGGGACCTCCTACACTGTGGCAAAAAGCTACGGAAAATTCTGTAAACAGCTTGTGGTAATTCTCCGTAGCCCCCTTATCAATATTCTCCGTAGGCTCTTACAGTATTTTCCGTAGGACCGCACAGTATTCTCCGTAGGACCTTACAGTGATCTCCGTAGGACTATACAGTCTGCCAGGTCCTACGGAGAAGACTGTGCGGACTTACAGAGAATACTGTAAGAGCCTACGGAGAATATTGATAAGAGGGCTACGGAGAATCCTGGCAAAAAAATTAACAGAATTTTCCGTACCTTTTTGCCACAGTGTAGTTAAATCGTGCTAATTAGATTGTCTTGACTCTGGTCTTGACAGAGTACACAGCCGTGCACCATCGCGGAATTATTTTCGCTATCTGCTGATGCCTTACAGATAACACAAACGTCGCGTCTGAAACCGGCGTGGCTGGTCAGTGTCATGGACATCGGCGAGTGTGTTGATGTCTGGGTTGCTGAACTCGCGCAGTTCGTGTGTCTGGGACGTGCGGCATCTTTCTCCGGTGAACTTCAGTGACCAAGGGAAGCCGCTGCATTCGTCTGCAGTTCTCCAACAATGACGCTTCACCGTAAGTTGATCTGAGCCTTATTGACACGATAAAAGCGGTTTCCTGGTTTTCGCGGGATCTCCCCGGAAATCGCCCATTCCTTTACAATAGGAAAAACCAGGAAACGTTTTTACCGTGTACTGTCTCAATGGGCCTAGCTCATAATTTAATTTATTGTCGAAACTATCGGCCCTACCTCAAAGAGAACGAACACTTTTGCTTAGAGTTCTGTAATCCATGAACTCGAGGTCCCAAAGTTTGTATAGTACATACGTAATTCACACAAATGCATGCTAGGCCGAATGCCTAATTAATGCTTTCACCCTTTCAATGCCATGCTTGGCCCCGTAACTCTTAAGAAAAGAGTATATACGCTGCGGTATACAAATGCAGTGTGTACAAGTTCACGTGCGAACCCTGGAGTTACAGGGCCAAGCATGAAGATGTACGGGTGTACTTACCAATTGGGTGTAGGTAGTGGTACATGACGTAGTGTTCCTGTATATGTAAGCGTGCACTAGGACAAGCATGCGTTTGCAAGTGCTCACTTAAAAGATTGCAGCTTGTAGTTTGACAAACCGGTAATCTGAAAATGTTTCTGATATGATTTGCCTGTCGTGGCTACCATGATTTGTTGCTATTGGGCGGACCAGAGTGCACACTTTTTCAGGAAGCGGCGAGAGACCGCAAGCCGGTGTGGGCCAAGCCAAGGGTTATGGTCAATTTACCATGCGCCTCATACGCAATTTTTGTGCGCCACAGGTGGACCACTCTTCCCCACCGACGCCGACTTGTGTTCTACAAAACCCAGAAAAAGCCCGAAGCCTATAAAAAGATTTGGGCCTTACAAGGACGTCAAAGATCTTCTCGAGGTCCACATTGATCTGGTGTCAGAAGCCTTCATTCGCAGTGTTCGGGAGCAGCTTGACAAATTTCGGGCCGATGCGGCGTTTTGGGAAAGTGCGACATGCTACAGTGTGGAGGTCAAGGAGTTGAATGGCGCTGACGTCGAAGTGCACTTCGACGCGTCCAAGTACGTGTGGGACGAAGAGAGGCGGTTTCTGTTCCACAACCTGGTGTTTCTCACTCAGAATCACATGCAGGTGAGCTCACCCAGGACAGCTCTGGAGGACAGTATAGCTCAAATCTTCAATGTCAAACCAATTGGCGAAATCCACACTCCTGGTGCGGCGTAATTCTCAAGGCCTGTGAAGGTGGCCCGACCCATCATTAAGGTAACCGCAACTGGTTGGGTCGTCTATCAGTTTGGAATACATAAAAGTGGCAAAGGAAAGAACAATCGCCACTGCCGAAGGATTAGTACACTGCAAACTCAAGTGTAGGACGAGTCAACACTTGTAGGCGTAGACCAGTTTTTCCTACGCTTGCAAGTATCCACCAGTTGTATCCGACGCTTTGAAGTGTCGACTACCTGTGGCCGACGCCCAAGTATGTAGGACATTCTTTGTCCCTCGGCATACTACAAGCACAGAAGTTTCCTGTTTGCGACCCCACACTTACAGCCGTCGGACGAGCTTGTTCGACATTTGCAGGCGTCGGACCCAACTGGTCGACACTTCCAAGCGTAGGACAAACTGGTCTACGCCGAAAAGTGTCGACTTGTCGTACACTTGGATTTGCAGAGTAATTTTTGTGGTCAAACGTTGAAATCCATAAAGGAAGGTTCCTGCGGAGTTCGCAGACTTCACTCTTCAAGTATAGAGTTCTCCACATTTGTATATCATGCCGCTGTGTTAGCCACCACTGCAATTCCTGTGGCGAGTTTACTCGCCACAAATTTGGCGCTCTCTCCAGAGCGCCAAGTCTTGGCGTTCCCATCCCTGGTTTCCGGATTCCTTGCCAAAACTTGGCGTTCCATGGAGAGCGCCAAAATTTGGCGTTCCCTTCTCCAGGCCAGACCAGACCAGAACGCCAAGATTTGGCGCTGTCAATGGAACGCCATATTCTGGCGTCATGGATGCCGCACGGGACAGCAAGCACCATTCGCCTCTGGTTAAGATTGGAGTTGTAAAATTAACCGTCCTGTCGTTACCAGGATTGCATAAACTTGGCATAAGAAGTAAGACTTTACATGATGAATGTGTGCTTACAGTGTGTGGACATTTCTGTCTTCATTTTCCGCCTGTTTTTAGGCCATAGGGATGAATAGTACTTACTAGGATATGAATAGGCTGACTGTGGCAGGATGACATTTCCTTGTGTGGAGTGTGGTGATGATGTCCAGACATAAAAGTCCACTTTGAGTGGGTCCATGGGTCCATGATGGCTGGCACAAACTTAGGCTCCTTAGGCTGCTTCAAGACACTGGCCCACTGGAAGCCCTTACACCATACACTGTTTGAAACCTTGAGATAATGTTTGGTATCGAAAAGGCACTTCATTGCCTTAGAAAACTAGCCGAGCCCGACCAAGCGTGACAAAAACCGATTGTCACAGTCCGAGTTGTTACAAAACCCATCGAAAGAATCACTTTGTCTAAGTTTTGGTGCAAAACATGGAGCCATTTTCAAAACAAAATGAATCTTCTTCTTCCGTTCTTCTTCCTTGGGTCATTATACGCCCTCACCTGTTGAGCGTGCATACAGGAGAGCTATGGTGCAAATAACCCGGAACTGCATACAGTGCGTCGGCTGCTCCTGAACGCAAACACCCACCACAACTTTCGCTGCGTGAGTCCGATGGCATGAAACTTCTGTGTGCGTTTGCTTTCTTGTCTCCATTCTTTTTCTCAAATTTATTTTGCTCGTGAACAAACTCTAATATTCACATTTTTCGCGGACTTTACGTTCATAACATGGAGTTTTGCCAGGACTCTAAATTGATCTAGTTTAGGTGCATGTTCTGCATAACCTGTCTGCACTGCTGCCTCTTGTTTGTCTGAAACCATTGTGTGGAGTGAAGAAAAATGTGTGTGCTGTCTTGCTGTTGTGTGTTCTGCTTTTTGTTTCAGGTGTCCAGCTTGTGGCAGTTTGCTTGCAGCATCTTTCAATGCACCACTCACCAACTACAAGTACAGCTGCGTACAGGTGTTTGTCAGGTAATTTCAAAATGTTTTCCTCTCAAAACCTTTCTCATAACTTATTTTCTATCCCTACCACATTCACAAACTAATATTCCCCCATTGATTTTGTTAACAGGGACTCACCACCCCGTTCATTTTCTCCGCCCTGTGTCCACAAAGCCGTTCATGAAATCAAAACATCGGAAGAGCATCGGTTCACTTGGTTCCAAATAAATGTGTTATCTTTTGTCATGGATGTTTGGGCCTAGTGTGCACTTTGGTCACACTACCAGGTGAGAAAGATTATTTGCAATCAAAGGCATCTAAATTTATTTCATCAATCTTGAGCCTAGTGTCAAAATCTTATCACATTTTGTCTTTGGATTTCTTACTACTTAAATTTAAAGCAAATTTATGTCAGAGACTTTAATGAAGATAATATAAATCGTATATCAAGAAAATAATGAGAGTAGAAAGAACAAATATTTCAATCAATTGCCTTCTATTCTTAGAGAAACTGTTTGTTTTCTTTTTTTGTCCAAGTCTTTTGAGTCTCAGCACAGTTGAATTCATGTACTATTTCTTTTAAAACCCTCATTATGCTTCCATATGCATAACTTATGTTCCATCCCTGTGTTCACAACTTAATAATTCCCATTAATTTTGTTAACAGGGAATCACTGCCCCATTCACTGTCTCCACCCGCAGCGCATCAAATCAAGACTACCGTATGTGCATCAGTTTGCTTGTTTCCAAATAAATGTGTGATGTTTAGTTTTTATCAGTTGTGTCTCCTTAGATATATGGAAGGGGATTATTTGGGCCGTGCCTTTTTGAGATGAATAAAAGATGTTTTTAAATGTATGTTTATTTTTGTACTTGAACTCCTACCTCAAATAAAAGAGCACAGCCAATTATTTACATAGTAAAATAGATTGAGCTTTGGTGAGAAAAATATGAGATCTATTATAAATTTTACATCCTTATTAGAATTACAATAGTTCATCTAGTAAAATCTGGGCAAAACTTAGCAATTAATCTTCAGTGTCATGCACATGCAATATCACAACAGATCAGCCACGTTCTATGTCCTACAACATTATGATAAAGAAAAACTTTTGCGTGGCACAGAAATATAGCTAGCACCTACACTTTTGATGAAGGGAAGGTGGTGATGGTGCAGCAACTGGGAGACTGGCATCACATCCAAGTTAAAGCCAGTTAGATTACCAACTTTAAATGCTTTCAGCTCTCTTTCATAGGAGTATGTCTTCAACTGTCTGAAGACAAAAGCAACCTTTCCTTGGTATCCATAGATGGCAAGGAGATTGCCAAAAAGTGGAACTGGACTAGAAAGGGAGGTGATGAAAGCAGAGTTCTTTCGGTATTTCACCCCATTAACTTTGCATACCTTGTAAACACTGATATTGTCATTAAGAGAAATGCCAGGGAATACTCGAGAAATAAGCTGCTGGTGATGAACAGGTACGGCCTTCACCAACTTCCTGACAGGGGCACCCAAAGAACTTCCTTCTTTTAGATATGGTTCGTTTCTCTTGGTACTTATCATCATCAACGCAGCCTGGTGTCTTTGATGATACTTGGAAAATGTCCCTGCTAAGTTCTTGAACGAACGCAAGATGCGGCACAGCCTTTTGAAGAAAGCGTGCTTTGACTCATATCTGGAAGAGAGCAAACGTAAGAGTTAGTCATTAAGTACAATAGATAATGATGATTGCTTTTCTTTCATGAATAATGGAAAATTTTTCTACACCATTTATGATTTAATTGTTTCTTTGTTACTTTCAAATAAAATTTATTAGGACTAGTTCACTTTTAGTATAACTCTACTTGTATACATTTTTATGTTTGATTCTCTTTGTGAATATTAAGTGAAACACAAGCAATTACATAGCCCAAGCAGAGCATTTTCTCTAGTATATTTGCAGAACAATAATTTAAGAGAAAAAAGAACACTTATTTAGAGCAAAAAAAAAGTTCAATCAATAGATAAAAATTATAAACATACCTGAAACACCAGTGCTGTGTAGGAGGCCCAAACAGTAGAATTTGGGTGGCCTGGTGGATTTCAAAATGGAGTTTTGGGATTTCAAAGCCAGGATACAGAGATTTGAAAAGCAGGTGATGCTCTGTTGTCATGGATCGAACTCTTTCAACATCAACAAGTCTTATGGCTCTGGACATTAGGAGATCCAGTAATTCCAATCTTAGGATGAAACAGTCCAAGTTTCTCTGAGCACAAACAGACTCCATCTTTCCACTTACCATGTTTTTTTTCCTTAAAACAAAAGGTAACATGTAAGCAAGACTCAATGTTTCTGAAGCTGACTGCCTGAGTTTCTTCTTATCCAGATGATCCTTTTCAATATGTGCAGGCTTGTTGACTCCAAAATACTTGCTAAATAAGGCAATTCTCTGATTGATTGTGGAGAGTGACATTTTCCCACTTTCAATTACATGTAATAGTAATAGACAAATTTCAAGGCGCAGTGTACCTTCAATTGTGTCATGCATGAGATCTTGTGGAAAACATTTTGTCACGTCACACAAAGGGATATCCATAAACACACTCCTTGAGTTGATACCATAGGTGACCGATGGATCCCTCTCATTCCTGTTACCTTGTGTTCTTCTAAATTCCAAAACTTCATTTACTTGATTGATGTGACTTTGGTAAGATCTAGCAGGGAACTTTGATTCATCAAAGTATTTGTACAAGTCTTCTTTGGGCGCAAGACACTGCCTACAGACCTTGTTGGCAAAGTGACTTTCCTTAAAACCTGCTAAACTAGCAGCAGCAGGATTGTCACCTGAGTTGAAAACCAGAATTGCATGAAACTTTCTTCTTTCATTGTTGATATCAAAATTCACTCCATTGTACAAACTCTTCATACTGTCCACAAAGTCTTTCATAATTCTAGTGAATGAATACTTCTTTAGAACACTGGTTTTTATCACTCCTAGAAGAAATATTGATTGAACTGATGATCTCAAATTAGGATAAATATTGAGTAAAGTCCAATAAATGAAAGTAACACCATGATCGGCACTTTTACTGCTTGCAGTGTCAGTCACACCCACTCCATCTGTGTAAGTGCCAACACCCAGAGTCTTTGGATTGGCTTGCACAACAGGATGGTTTTGATAATAATAGGAATCAAGTGGAGAAGTAAATACACCCTCCTCAACTGGTAGAGGGTTATCCACACAGTTTAAGATCTCAGGACAGGAGAGCACTTGCTGCAGGGATGGGATAAATGGTACCCAATATCCATAATCAACATCGATGTCCACTTGTCTGTTGCCTCGCATAACAGTCGTCTTCAGAAATACTTCTTTCTCTGGGGGAACTAAGCTACTTTTCGTTTTTATATAGGAATCCAATTTGCTGATGGTATTAATTTCTTCGAAGATTGAGTATCCTCTGGACGTTCTGATGACATCGTGGATTTCTGAGAGGCCCAGAGCCCCATCCAGTCCACATTTGTTGGAGAACTTTTCCTGCAAAGAAGTGAGGAGGATGAGGAATTGACAATGCTAAAAACAAGACCATTTAAATATACACAATAGGCAAGAATTGTGATGCATACCTCAAGCACTTGCAGGACTCCATCTAATATGGCATCTACACCTTTTATGACATTATCAACAATAGTTCGGGTGGCAGTGTTGAGTGCGTCAATCTTAATAAGCAGCTCCGCAACTTTGAATTGCAAATCCTCTTGTAGTAAATCCATAGCTGCATAGCTGAAAAACACAATAACAACTGTTAGTTTAACAACCAGACGCACATTATAGTTTGTAGCAGTGTAGTGAATGCATAGTCATTGACTTATTTAGAAACTAAGAAACGTATAGAGAAAATTCTTGAATTTTGTAGAGCAAACTTAAGTTTGAATAACCTCTCCATCGAGAAAGCAAGTCTCCATAAAACTCTTTCTTTGTTTGTGTACATATTCCTAACCAACAAAACATATGAGGAGCGAAAACATAAGCAGATAGCCGTACTTACAGTGATAAGACGCCTTTGATAGAATTAGGAGTTTTGATTCAACACAGCACGATAGGAAAATGGCATTGTGATATGCGTCATTGTTCTTTAAGATGTTCTGTATGCTCAGAACACGCCACCTCCCGCCCACACCACCTTCCAGACCCCTCCTCTTCCCCTCCCTACCCCGCTTCCCCTCTGGCCCATGTCTCAATGCTGCCAACTGTAGACTCCACGAAGTGCTACAAAACATAACACTTAAGCATTAGTTTGATCATTGATGCGCAAATTTTTTAAAAATGAGTTTATCAATTAAAAAATACCTTGAATGAAGGATACCAATGAAACACGGTTCGTTTTGAAAGCTGCTTTGCATTTCCATAGTTGGTATGTGCTTGGTGCGTAAATTTAAAACGGCTGAAACGGTTTTAACTTATCACTGTCAGGTCTGGTTTGGTTTGCTGAAAGAAATCTCCCTTTGCGTATTTCTGAGATATTTGTGAGAAATGGCAAACATCAGTGTTTTACTGCAAGTTGAGAATCGATCAATAGTTTTAGATCTTGAGGACAACTTGTATTTCACTCTAGACAAGTCATTCAAAGACTACTGCAAAAGTGACTGTGCCCTTGCAAACAGACTTAAGGTTTATGCACCAATCTACAAAGCAAAGAATCCTTTATTTGGCAACAACGTTACAGAGCTTATACGTCACCTGCCTCTTGTAGATAAACAAGAAGTCTTTGTTGAATGGTGTTCATTGCAAGTTCAGGTAAGTAGGGGCCAAAGCCACTCATGTTGACAAGCCATATAATTTTTTTCTCAACACAATATTTTACCAACTTGCAGGAAAATACGCCAGGAACTAGTAGGGAGAGTGGACAAGTGAGTGCAGGGTACAGTTTTTAGGCTTGGCAAGGGCTTGCATTCATGACTATCAATCGGTCTAAATTATTCTTATTTCTCTATAGGTGGTCCCACAATGTGGGCATCACATCACATCACATCACATCACATCACTAACGTCACTATGCGGGATGGGGATAGAATGATAGTCAACACTCCAGGGCCAAGAAATACCAATTCCAAAGACAAAATATTTTTTTGCAGCAAAAATGGTGTTCTTTTTCCTTTGATAATGAGCATTTTTAACGAATTGATGTCGGGGACTACTTTCTGGGCCAACCACACTCCTCCGCCCAGAGCGCCTATCGCTTTATTTTCTTTGATAATGACCGCTTGCGTAAACAGAAGAATTTTTGAAGTCCCAAATACGTTTTTTTGTATCCCTGTGGCATTTCACGAACAAAATCTGTGGTTTACCTTGAGCAATAACCAAACAAAACAACCCTTTTCTGCTGGATCGAGGCGACGTAGTTCTCCGTCTCTACGCGAGATGGCGCTGGCAGAGCGGTAGAGCACGTATGGATACGCGCAGGACGATGCGCCGGCACCGGGGAGCCGAGCGCCGACCCGAAGTGCCGGTTCGGCGCTCAGCGCTCGGCACTTCGGTTCGGAGGCCCACCGTGGCGCCCCTGGCGGGGAAGGCGAGAAGCCTGCCGAGACACGAAACCAGCGCGCGTCCTAAATGCTGTGTTGATTATTCATTTTATAATTTTGATTGGAGCAATTGTTTGTACTTGTTGTACTATGACTTGAGTTTAGAAACTCCAATAATGATCTTGGCCTCCTTGAGAGATAATACTTGTTACATTTTATGAATGTTTGAATTGTTTTATTCGATATTTTTTTATCGTAAATACATATTTGATGTGATTTGAAGTAAAGTGAGGTGGTGAACAGTTATGTCACTTAACCAATACATACATACCGCTAGTACATTACTCAGCATCAGCAACAAAACAGTCATAATTAAAAGCAGTACTCAATACCCAAAAGAAAGGTTAATATGAGGTAAACACACATTTTCACTAGATTTCCAGACAACTTGTCGACTGAAGACAACTTGGGGCATAAATGGTTCGCGAGAGACTCTTCTTTTATGGCCGCAGGCTGCGCCTGTATTGGCCAGTAAATGGTTCGAAATTTCGTGATTTGGGACTTCTCCGGTCTGATCCTCATTTTCCTTTGAAAGATTCCCATCCGCCCGAATAGCAATAATCAGGCGCATCTTCCCGCCTCCGAGCCGAGCGCCGAACCGAAGTGCTGAGCGCCGAGCGCCGAACCGGCACTTCGGGTCGGCGCTCGGCGCCCCGGTGCCGGCGCATCGTCCTGCGCGTATCCATACGTGGTAGAGCCGCCCGGCTAACAAGTGAAGAGCGAAAAGCTGTGAGTATCGACGACGCCCGTTGTCGCCGCTCGTTCGTCCGTTGTAAGATTATCTCTCTCGAGAGAAGAATCCTGTTGAAGAATCCTGTTGAAGAATCCTTACGAGGTGAGTCAAGTGATTGTGAAGTGAAAGAGCGTAAGTGACTTTGTCCGCTGCGTGGCTGGCCCGATGCCTGTGTGGCCGGCTCGCCTGCCGCGGCCGGCGGCTCGCTGCTGCGGTTGCAGGATGATGTCTCAGTCGTGGATTGTATGGCGCGTCGGTTTATGATATTCAAACCTTTTGGGCTTAGAAAACTACTTCTTGAATGCATACCAACAATACTGATCTTTTCTGATAATGGTTCCCAATAAAGCGGGCCAGGCAGGCTGTCAGTTAGGCTTTGCCCGCGCTGGCCGCCATGGCACCCCAGCCCCACCCATTGGGATGGGAGAAAGATGGCGTCCAACCGGCACTGTCGATATCCCACGCGCCTTCCCCCATGACAGTCTCTCGCGCAAAGAGTAGCTGTGTTTTTGCCGATTTTTCCTCATTGCATTATCCAAGCAAGAATTCATTTAAAATTTGTTTCCGAAAAAAAAAATCCAATGTTCAATTGGATCCTAACCTACTCCAATGAATGGCACTACACACTTGAAGAAATCAAATTTTATGGTGACATTGCTTCAAAAGAAAAAAAAAACTAGACGTGTTTATATAATTTTTTTTATTTTTGATCAAGCTAAAATCATGTCAGCTCAATCATAGATGTACATTGTTTCTGCATTTTTAATGAAACTTTATGTGCTTAAAGAAATATTGTTCTGTCAGCAGCAATGGAGACCGATTCTTCTGCTGCATCAGAAGGAAGACAGAAGAGGGCTCCCAAGAGATATTTAAACAGCCCAAGCCTCATTGCTGTGGTGCAACACCACCCAGTTCTGTGGAATCCAAACTTGCCAAATTATCATATCTCGTCAGCCAGGACCGCTGCCTGGGAGGCAGTATCGTCACGTTTCCTCGATTCCTCACGTAAGTAACGACTCAAATGACCCCTTTAGTTTTTATTTATGTATCTTTATCAAAACTTAGATTTGTATAACCACCATCTTTTCTCATTTCTCCTTGTGTTATTTACAGCTCAAGAGTGTTCAGAGAAATGGCAGTCGCTTAAGAAAGCGTTGGCCACAAGCAAAAGACGGCAGCCCAAGTCAGGTGCTGCAGCATCAAAGAAGTCCAAGCCTTACTTATACGCCAAAAACATGTCATTTCTGGAGGGCTGTGTAATTAATGATAGGCAGGACTCAAGTCTGCTGCCTGTTCACAGCGATGATGACTCAATCTCCATTGCGTCAACAAATGCAATGGAGTACTCAATGATACAACAGGATTCTGATGATATGAAGAGGCGAGGCCTCTTTCTCTCAAGGGTCCAATCTAATTCCCAGTCCATTCATTCAGCCTCTACTCTATTGGATGGCAATGTTGACCAGAATGAAAAGGTAGATTCATTTTCTTATTTAATTAGTTAATGTTACCATTTATGCATAAATGTATGTGCTTCCAGGTTGAGAAATATTTGGCATCTGCGGCATCATCGCCTACTTCATGTTTTGATCAGACATTAGACCTGAAGACTGTTAAGAAAAATCCAACTAAAATGAATAAAGATGAAGCAAACAAGGAAAACGTTGTCCCAGCAAAGAAGCAGGTGATGATTTCATTTCATTTTTAATTTTTTATTTAAAATTTTTTTTGGTCTGGTGTCATATGTTTTTAAGGGGGCTCATACATGTTAAAAGCACTTTTTTTAAAAAAAATTTTGATGTAGACGGATTAAGATTTTACAATTTCTGTGTTAAAATCCTTTTAGATAATTGAGTAAGCTTCATTTTGGCTTAAGGGAAAGTGACTTTGGACATTTTTTGGAGATTTAGTCGAAACGTTTAAAATTTTGCTTCTCGTAAGATTTTGTTTGCATACTTGCTCAGATCTGTGGGGATAAAATCAGGGAGACTCATCCCCAGTAGTGTCATAGAATTGACTAGAATGGGCTTTATATCTGCAATAGTTTTCAAGATAAAAAATAAAAACAATTTTTTTAACAATTTTTTAAACAAATTTTTCAACAAAAAATTGTTTTTATTTTTTTTCTTGAAAACTATTGCAGATATAAAGCCCATTGTAGTCAATTCTATGACACTACTGGGGATGAGTCTCCCTGATTTTTTCCCCACAGATCTGAGCAAGTATGCGAACAAAATCTTACGAGAAGCAAAATTTTAAACGTTTCGACTAAATCTCCAAAAAATGTCCAAAGTCACTTTCCCTTAAGCCAAAATGAAGCTTACTCAATTATCTAAAAGGATTTTAACACAGAAATTGTAAAATCTTAATCCGTCTACATCAAAATTTTTTTTAAAAAAAGTGCTTTTAACATGTATGAGCCCCCTTAAAGTCACTGCTTCCATTTGCAGAAAAAAATTGTTCCCAAAAAAATTGTGAAGGCGTCAAAGGTGGTTCCCCAAAAATTGGTAGATTTTGATTCTGAAGAGGAGGAGTTACAGGTACAAGAATATTAATTATTGCAGTATCTATATATTAAAGCCACACACTATAAAACTTTTATTTTTCTGCTACAACAGGATGAAGACATTCAAGATGAGAAAATATCAAAGAAAGTAGCTCGGCAAAGAGAATTGGAGTCCAGAAGAGAGCAACAATGTCTATCCATTAGAAGAAAGATCCAGGCGTCTAACAGACATCCTCTTCATCCTATTAATAGCCAGGAAGTGGCCAACAACAACCTTGATGCTATAGTTATCAAAGAACTGACGAAGCGAGATGATGCTGCGACATATTTTGCTCTATCTTTAGTGGATTATTTAAGGGAGCTGAGGCCAGTGACCTTAATCGACACGAAAGTGAAGTTCCTTGAAATAATCAAAGGTGCCCGACTTAAAGAAGAGTGTCGGCAGAATGCAGACAAAGAGGTTTGTAGTAATTCCATTGTTTAATGCACTTTCCTGCTATTTGCATTTCTTAGTTAATTTGAGTTGACTCCTACCAACAGGATGACATTGACACCTTATTAAATTGCTCTGAAGATAAGATTGTTATACGTAAATTTGAGCTGTGTGTCAAAGTAGGAGACTTGAAAACCCTCTCTCCTGGGGGTTGGCTGAATGATATGGTAAAAAATGACTGTTCATTTGATTGTTTCATTTCAGCTTGTTACTTTTCTCAATGAGTTTTCCTTTACAGGTGGTTGATTTCTACTTTAAATTGATTCAGAATGAATGCAATTCTGTTTATGCATTCACTGCATTTTTCTTCCCAAAACTTTCTGCATGTGGCTATGATGATGTTAGCGACTGGACTAAGAAAGTGAGCAGCAGTAGTTTATATACACCACAACTTTATTTTTTATTTCCAAATCTGTTTACATTTATCTGTTTACTTTATCCCCAGGTTGATATTTTTGCCTATGACTTGCTAATGGTCCCTGTGTTCCTTCATGGGAACCACTGGGCTCTTGCTGTGATTGACAATGTTAATCATCAAATTAGGTACTACGACAGCTTGAATGGTCCGCATAATGTTGCCTCAAATGTAAGCGTTGCTGTGTTATATATTATCATTTAGTGTTGTTACTGCTCTAAGAAAATTTGTCCTGTAACATTCCATTCTTATTTACAGATCTTACTTCAATACCTTGATCTTGAAATGCTCATGAAAAAAGATGCAATCTTTGAGCGGAATGCCTGGACCACAATTAAGATGGAGGTACAGTACTTAAAATGTTGCAGATGACTGAGGCCAGCTTATTTCATGTTATTTAATTGTGTATTGTATATTCTCCAGAACATCCCCATGCAAACCAATGGATATGACTGTGGGATGTTTGTTTGTATGTTTGGAGAGTATGAAGGAAGGCGAGCCACAGTAGACTTCACTCAAGACGACATGGTTACATTAAGAAGGAAGGTAATGAGGAGTATAGCAATTGGTAGGCTGGTGTGATGAGAATTTAATGAAATGTGGAGGTTCTTGCCACACAAAGTTTTTGTGATAAGAGTCTTATGTCTTATGTGAATTTAATGTTTTTATTTTGTGTTGTCACAAATATAGTTCCTAGGATGTCATGGTTTTGATGTAGTTCTTAAGCAATGGTATGTAATGCTTATCTAATTCAATTTAATGAAATGTGGAGTTGGACTCCCCAAATTTGTCAGCTTTGCCAAAGCTTTTGTCATAGTTTAAACATTTAGATGAGACAATTCTGTATTTTTTCTTGCTAAAAGAATGGGTGGGTTCATTCATTTTTACTTCCTACTTATGGTCATATGCTATTTTCCTTTTGTAACAACAAACTTTATTTTAATTTCGCTGCGAGGTGATAAGTGAAAAGTTTCCAAGGAAGACTTGGGAAGGGAGATAGGGGTCTCAGTTGTGATATTCCTTCTAGATTGTCTTTGTATTAATGCTTTTGTGCTGTGAAGGTTTCAAAGTCATAATGCCAAAGGGGCATGTCTCACATTGTTTAGTTCCTAGGATGTCATGGTTTTGATGTAGTTCTTAAGCAATGGTATGTAATGCTTATCTAATTCAATTTAATGAAATGTGGAGTTGGACTCCCCAAATTTGTCAGCTTTGCCAAAGCTTTTGTCATAGTTTAAACATTTAGATGAGACAATTCTGTATTTTTTCTTGCTAAAAGAATGGGTGGGTTCATTCATTTTTACTTCCTACTTATGGTCATATGCTATTTTCCTTTTGTAACAACAAACTTTATTTTAATTTCGCTGTGAGGTGATAAGTGAAAAGTTTCCAAGGAAGACTTGGGAAGGGAGATAGGGGTCTCAGTTGTGATATTCCTTCTAGATTGTCTTTGTATTAATGCTTTTGTGCTGTGAAGGTTTCAAAGTCATAATGCCAAAGGGGCATGTCTCACATTGTTTAGTTCCTAGGATGTCATGGTTTTGATGTAGTTCTTAAGCAATGGTATGTAATGCTTATCTAATTCAATTTAATGAAATGTGGTGTTGGACTCCCCAAATTTGTCAGCTTTGCCAAAGCTTTTGTCATAGTTTAAACATTTAGATGAGACAATTCTGTATTTTTTCTTGCTAAAAGAATGGGTGGGTTCATTCATTTTTACTTCCTACTTATGGTCATATGCTATTTTCCTTTTGTAACAACAAACTTTATTTTAATTTCGCTGCGAGGTGATAAGTCAAAAGTTTCCAGGGAAGACTTGGGAAGGGAGATAGGGGTCTCAGTTGTGATATTCCTTCTAGATTGTCTTTGTATTAATGCTTTTGTGCTGTGAAGGTTTCAAAGTCATAATGCCAAAGGGGCATGTCTCACATTGTTGTTATATTTATTATTATTTATTGTTATAATATAATGGGAAGTCACTGGTTGTTTCACTCCCCTTGCCATGATTTGTTGAGATGTCATGATATTTTTTCTCTGTGTTCTAGGCAGACTTACTGTAATTTTTGATAATTTGTTGAGTGACTTCTTAGTGACACAGTTATAGAGATGGTTTCCTATTCTTGTAAAGTGTTACCTATAATACCTTAAATGATTCTTGCACGTAATATTTGCTGTATTTATTTCTTGTCCAATAGTTCACCAATTGCACATAATAGCATACAACCAAATAAATACATAATGCCATCAATGCCACAAAATTTAATTCAGGACACTGCAGTAGCTAAGCCTACAAAGTTCAGTCAATTGCTCCCCTCATCTCTTTCACACTCTTTATTGCATGTCTTTGCATTTCTCCTCAGTTCTGGTCACATCATCTAATAACTTAAGTTTTCCTTTTACAGGGTTTTCGCACTTTCGAAATGCTAAATAAATCAATACATCAATGCCACTAAATTACATTACACTCACAAGGGAATATATTCAGGTGATACACTCCGAATTTGTTCCAAATTTTTTTTTTTGAGAAGCTTTATATAGAAAAAGACATTCTATGTAGATAAAGAATGCACCCCACAGTTAGTGCCAAGATACATATCCACACCCTTTCCGAATTTTTTTTAAACCTAGAAACGGGGTAAAATGGCCCATGTTATTGCATGCAAACAACAGATTTTGATCTTAATTCAGCAGTCCATTCAAATATGAACTCAAAATGATCTGCAACCAAAACATTTCGATATTCGAAACTGTCCAATACACAGGAAAAAGGCTCATTTTACCCCGTTTTTGGTTTAAAAAATTAGGCACGGGAGTGGATATATACCTTGGCACCAACTTTGGCGTGTATTCTTTATAAACTATATAAAACTACTCAGAAAAAAAATTGGAAAGAATTTGGAGTGTAAATATGTTCCCTTGTCAGTAGCTAAGCCTACAAAATATGCAGTCAGTTGAGAGACTTGACAAACGCCTTCTTCCACTGCCAAGGGATTTCATTTTCAATGAAGTAGTCAATCAGTGATTCCCTCATCTCTTCACACTCTTCCATTTCTTCACATTCCTCTTCCTCAGCTGTGGCCACATCATCTTTTAACCTAAGGTACACTTCTTTTTCTTTTTCAGGGTCTTCACACTTCCAACGCTCATCAACCAGGCGACGTTTAGGAGGTATACTCTCAATGTCATTTAGGTGGAAGTTATGAAGTGCACAACAGGCCAGTGTCGCATAGTGTGCTGTTGTCCTTGTTGCTTCAATTGGTCCCTTGAAAATTCCATAGCGTTGGTACAAAATCCCAAAGGCATCTTCAACTGATCGTCTCCCTCTTGAAAAGCGGTAGTTGAACACTCGTTCTGGAGGTCCAAGGAATTTCCCCTTGAACGGATTCAGCAGATACTGCTGGCGTTCAAACGCTCCGTCCCCAGCCACATAAAATGGTAACTTTTTTGTGAGACCTTCCACTCTGCAAGGTGGAGGAACGTGGAGCTTGCCTTCGCGTAGCAGCTTTCCAAACTCACATCTATGGTACACATTGCCATCTCCACGTTTCCCACTAGCTCCAACATCCACATAAACAAATCTTTGTTTGGCGTCAGCAACTGCCATTAGGATAATACTGAAGAACTTCTTATAATTAAGAAATCTTGACCCAGAATGTGCAGGCGCCTGATGAAATAATTAAGAGAGAATGAAAACCAAATAAGCCATTTCAATTGGAAAATTTCATTTTGTAAAGTAAATATATACGAACCTTGATGTGTACATGCTTGCCATCAATCACAGAGATGCAATGTGGAATGTCCCACATGACTTCGAATTCAGCTGCTTTCTTAAGCCAAAAGTCTTCCGTCATTGGTTCAAACACAAGGGGCTTGAGTACTTCCCAAATCACAGTGCACGTTTCAAGAACTATGGCCCCAATTGCCTGGCCAGACACCAAGAAAAGGTATGAGAGGCTGTCAAAACAGTCCCCACTTGCAAGAAATCTGGAAAGAAGAGTCTCATAGAAGCAAAATTCTTTAACCATTATGGTGCACAGCAATGTATAAAAAAATGTTACCTCAAAGTTATGGCGAGTCTTTCTCCTGGGCAAATTGACTTTCGCCACGACCTTTTCTGAAGGTAGGGTCCAACAAGCCCTAAGAGTTTATCAAATGATGCAGGTGTCATGCGGAAAAAGTTGTAAAAGCGTTCTGGATCTGCCTCACGCATTTTTGGGATGGTGCTGAACCAGGCACCGTGGACCTCATGATCCTGAAATATGGGTCGAACCCACCATTTTCTTGGAAGGCTAAGGACTAGCCTCCTTTGGGCATTGATCCTCCTCCTTTGAGCAAACAGTTGACGAGTGCCTTCTCTTCTGTGTACGGCATGGGCAATGCACAGCCTCATCCTACTGGCTGTGGAACAATTAATAAAGGTTGAGAAAGGTACATTACTTCCTGCAGCATTTGTAGCACCAACACCAGACATTGTCGTTACTCACTTCCAAGGAGCCTGGCTCTTCGTTTGCACAATAAGGCTGCCATGCCGAGGCTAAAGCGACCCATTGTGCCTAGGAGGTTTTGGTAAAGGAATGCTGAATAGAGAAAAAAAATATTATGTGTAAGTACATTAAGATGCCAATATATAGGCAAGTGACACCAAATGAGGTTGGTTATAGAAGAGATTTTTAAATCTTAAACCATGAAGACACTTTTTAAGCTGAATCCGATACTCCCTGCTCGAGAGACAGGGCGTGGGGTATCGTCAGTTCGGAGGGTACCTGCCGGCCATCCAGCGGGCAAAGTCATTCAGAATGCTCTTTCACATCACAATCACTTGACTCACCTCGTAAGGATTCTTCAACAGGATTCTTCTCTCGAGAGATAACTTTCAACGGACGAACGAACGGCAACAACGGGCGTCGCCGATACTCACAGCTTTTCGCTCTTCACTTGTTAGCCGGGCGGCTCTACCGCTTTGCCAGCGCCATCTCGCGTAGAGACGGAGAACTACGTCGCCTCGATCCAGCAGAAAAGGGTTGTTTTGTTTGGTTATTGCTCAAGGTAAACCACAGATTTTGTTCGTGAAATGCCACAGGGATACAAAAAAACGTATTTGGGACTTCAAAAATTCTTCTGTTTACGCAAGCGGTCATTATCAAAGAAAATAAAGCGATAGGCGCTCTGGGCGGAGGAGTGTGGTTGGCCCAGAAAGTAGTCCCCGACATCAATTCGTTAAAAATGCTCATTATCAAAGGAAAAAGAACACCATTTTTGCTGCAAAAAAATATTTTGTCTTTGGAATTGGTATTTCTTGGCCCTGGAGTGTTGACTATCATTCTATCCCCATCCCGCATAGTGACGTTAGTGATGTGATGTGATGTGATGTGATGCCCACATTGTGGGACCACCTTATCACAGGTGCCTGCCAGGTTCGCACCAAATGCAGCAGACACACTGTAAGCACATCAATCAAGAATTTAATACCTTATCCTAAATAATTTTCTACTTACGTAAAGATCATATTTAATCATATTTCAGGTCCAGCTATTCGGTTACTATTGACTTTAAAGAAATACAAAAGTACTACCCTGATGGAAAATGGGACATGTTGACAGATACAGAAAAATTAAATGAGAAAGCTCGGCTGGAAAAGCACAATCTAATAGTTAGCATGGGTAAGAACACCTCCTTTCTGTAAAAGTTGTAAAAAGAAAGTTCAGAACTTCCTTATTCCTTCTTAATATGATCTAGGTATGACAAACGCAGTTTTTACTGCAGTGGGACCAAAACCATCAACGAACAAGACACAGTCTCCAGCAAAACCATCTGGAAGCAGGAAAGGAAAGAAAAAGACTCAAACACAGAATGGAGCAGATATGGTTTTGGTAAATATGACATTCGTACACTCCTTTTAAGTTCTAATTACAATTTTGTTCAGAGTCGTGCTCTTTTTAGGTACCACCATCAAGAAAGTCAAGCCGGAAGAGAGCCATTCCCACTATTGTACAAGATGATGGCTTGGAAGATGCTGATGATCCTCTTTGCTCAAAGGAACAGGAACAAAGCACTAGCATCGGTGCAACTAAGCCTTCTGATTTACCTGCTAGTGTAAGAACTATGTATTCAAATTCAATCTCATGCAAAAGGTAATTTTGTATTCATCACACTGGGAGTCTTAACAGCCCCTCTCTTTTCAGGACAAACTTATTGAAAGCCATGTTGTTGAAGACGAGGAGGATGAATTTTTCTTTCAATTGCCGCAAAATGTGAGTACATTACTGAGGAAAAATCAAAATACTACATAATTTTAAGAAGTTTTACTGTCAATCACTACATGTTTACATTTTTTTACATAGGAAAGTACAGACAAGACAGATTTAAATGAAGATGTAAATGAAGCTGAAGTGAGTAAAAATTTTAAATCAGTTGTTGTTGTGGTTCCCAGATCAAAGTAATTTTATTTTTAAATGTCTCAATACAGGCCCTAGAAGAACCAGGGACAAGCAACAAAGATCAAGACAAAGTGAGTTTCAGATTATCCCAAGAGCAACCTTATCATTTTGTTTTCCATCAGATCTTCTCTTATAACCGTTCTGATTTCTTTTAACAGGAAAATGTTGATCCAACACAAAAACCAAAAAGAAGAAAAAGGGTATACCAAACTAGATTTTTAGACAAGCACTAACATTAACTTATTTCATTACATTTTCTAGTTTCATCCTGTAATTTTTGTGTGAAATCTAAAATTTACCTACAGCTATACATTGTTTCAGGTTCAGTTACCAAGAGAGTTTGGAAAGTACATCACTGAATTCAATGCTATGCCAACCAACATTTCAGAGGAGCTAGCAAAGGCCATACAATGTAATAAGTACAGTGTCACCGCTTTCCTCACTTTAACAAAAGAACATATTAAATCCAAAATTGGTGAGGCCAGATATCCATCTAGCTATGAGTATGACCTTGTATGTAAAGCCTTGATAAAAAAATTTCCCAATCTAGCTGACACAGACAACCCACAAGAATTTGTAAGTAAAGATATCCCATCTTGTCATTTATATGATCATTATTTTTACACTGAAACTTCATTGCTCCTTCAGGATGAACTAAAGACTAAAATTAGAAAGTCAATAAGTGGAGAAAATTACAGAAAAAATAAAGCAGAGGCTAAACGTGATTCTCAAGCAAATGAGTCTATAACATTTAATACGTAAGTCAAAAATTCTACTCTCTGAGCAATTGTCCCGACAAACTTTTGTAAGGCAACTAACACAATCTAATTTCTCACAGTGGTTCTGGAGCCAGCAGTTCTCAGTCAGCAGTCACTCTCTCAGTCTGTCCTGGAGCCAGCAGTTCACAAGTAGTAAATGAAGTGGACATTTATATTCAAGAATTGAAAGCAGGAGTAGCGTCAAGAAATAGACAGTTATTCCTTGTGAGGACAACACTCTCTAAGCGACAAGAGAGCATGACTGCTAACATGGATCTACCTATGTTAGAAGTTTTCATAAAAGAATTTCCACACTACATGGACAGTGAAATGGTATGTACAAAACCTAATCAAATTCATTTTAAAACATTTATTCATAATCTTTTAAGTTAAGATGAAGTTCTTTTATTTTAGCTGCTTTATGAGTATTCACTGGTAGTGAATAAGTTGAGTTGTGGAAAGGTAAAATCAATCAGTGATCTCCAGGAGAATGCTAAAAAACTGTTGTCATTGCTGGAGCTTCACCTTAACAACCCAAATCAAATTGATGCAATTAACTTTTTACAAAACAAGTTAGTCCCACAAAAGTATAAAAAAGAAAACCTAATATCACTCTTTACCTTTCGGCATGTAAGTATTTCTATAACTATGATAATATACTCAAATAGCTCTTTGCCTTAAATTGAAAAATTAAAAGAAAATAAATCTAGGATTCAGACCAAAATAAAAAACCACAATTTTGTTCCAGATACATGAGATTCAAGGAGATATAGGAATCCTCGGCACAACACAGCAGTTCCATTCTCCATGTGTTCTGGTGCTAGTTGATGATGGAGACACCGGGAAACTGAAAATTGTGCAATCTCTTCTGAAAATGAACAGGGGGACAATTAGTATCATGGGGCCAACAACAACAAAGACAGTAATGTTGCAGGTAATGGCACCATACTTTCTCTTTGGATTGAAATATCCCCCTGCGTATGAAAGCATATTGAGGATTTTTGAAAGGACTATACATGGATTCTTTTGTGCTGAGACACAAAAAACTAGGGCAAAAAAAGAATACAAAGAATTTGTTAATGAATTTAAAGCCTAGGGCACTTGATTGAAATATTTTTTCTTTCTACTCTCATTATTTTTGATATACGATTTATATTATCTTCATTAAAATCTCTGACATAAATTTGCTTTTAAATTTTAAATAGTAAGAAATCCAAAGATTGATGAAATAAATTTAGATGCCTTTGATTGCAAATAATCGTTCTCACCTGGTAGTGTGACCAAAGTGCACACTAGGCCCAAACATCCATGACAAAAGATAACACATTTATTTGGAACCAAGTGAACCGATGCTCTTCCGATGTTTTGATTTCATGAACGGCTTTGTGGACACAGGGCGGAGAAAATGAACGGGGTGGTGAGTCCCTGTTAACAAAATCAATGGGGGAATATTAGTTTGTGAATGTGGTAGGGATAGAAAATAAGTTATGAGAAAGGTTTTGAGAGGAAAACATTTTGAAATTACCTGACAAAAACCTGTACGCAGCTGTACTTGTAGTTGGTGAGTGGTGCATTGAAAGATGCTGCAAGCAAACTGCCACAAGCTGGACACCTGAAACAAAAAACAGAACACACAACAGCAAGACAGCACACCATTTTTCTTCACTCCACACAATGGTTTCAGACAAACAAGAGGCAGCAGTGCAGACAGGTTATGCAGAACATGCACCTAAACTAGATCAATTTAGAGTCCTGGCAAAACTCCATGTTATGAACGTAAAGTCCGCGAAAAATGTGAATATTAGAGTTTGTTCACGAGCAAAATAAAATTTTAGAAAAAAAAATGGAGACAAGAAAGCAAACGCACACAGAAGTTTCATGCCATCGGACTCACGCAGGGGAAAGTTTTGGTGGGTGTTTGCGTTCAGGAGCAGCCGACGCACTGTATGCAGTTCCGGGTTATTTGCACCATAGCTCTCCTGTATGCACGCTCAACAGGTGAGGGCGTATAATGACCCAAGGGAAAAAGAACGGAAGAAGAAGATTCATTTTGTTTTGAAAATGGCTCCATGTTTTGCACCAAAACTTAGACAAAGTGATTCTTTCGATGGGTTTTGTAACAACTCGGACTGTGACAATCGGTTTTTTTCACGCTTTGGGCGGGCTCGGCTAGTTTTCTAAGGCAATGAAGTGCCTTTTCGATACCAAACATTATCTCAAGGTTTCAAACAGTGTATGGTGTAAGGGCTTCCAGTGGGCCAGTGTCTTGAAGCAGCCTAAGGAGCCAAGTTTGTGCCAGCCATCATGGACCCATGGACCCACTCAAAGTGGACTTTTATGTCTGGACATCATCACCACACTCCACACAAGGAAATGTCATCCTGCCACAGTCAGCCTATTCATATCCTAGTAAGTACTATTCATCCCTATGGCCTAAAAACAGGCGGAAAATGAAGACAGAAATGTCCACACACTGTAAGCACACATTCATCATGTAAAGTCTTACTTCTTATGCCAAGTTTATGCAATCCTGGTAACGACAGGACGGTTAATTTTACAACTCCAATCTTAACCAGAGGCGAATGGTGCTTGCTGTCCCGTGCGGCATCCATGACGCCAGAATATGGCGTTCCATTGACAGCGCCAAATCTTGGCGTTCTGGTCTGGTCTGGCCTGGAGAAGGGAACGCCAAATTTTGGCGCTCTCCATGGAACGCCAAGTTTTGGCAAGGAATCCGGAAACCAGGGATGGGAACGCCAAGACTTGGCGCTCTGGAGAGAGCGCCAAATTTGTGGCGAGTAAACTCGCCACAGGAATTGCAGTGACTCCACACTTGAAGTCTACACTCTCATTCCAGGAACGTGACACCACGTTGAAACGTACGTGAAAAAGTGTCACGTTCGTGTGGATGTGAATCGGCCAAAAATTAGCTTGTTCGCACATTCAAACGAATATGACTCAACGCTCAAACGAACGTGACATTTTGTCACGTGCGTTTCAACGTGATGTCACGTACTTGGAACGAGAATGTATTTGAGACTAAAAACTTCACTCTAGGAATTTGTGGAATTTTCAACACTTGGTTTGACAGTGTAGTCAATTTTAGAACTGAGGGTTCAGCAGCACACACCTTCAGGCAAAATAGACACTTCCACCAGAACGCCAAGTAGTGAAGAGCAAGAGGAAGAAGGAGGACTTGAACCAGTTCCCAAAATCGTCTTATTTTGAGGTTTGAGGTTACAATAATAATCTTTGTTTAATTTTGAACAATTTTTGATAATCCATATGAACCCATAATGTAACGAATAAGCAACTTTTATTAAGGCCAGGGACAGGTGAAAAAATGAAGAAGTTTGGTGAAATTTAATGAAATGAGTTCTGGGTGGAAAATGGTCCTTTGGACCTTCCTCTTTCAGGATCTGTCGGGACTTCGACTATCCGGGACCTGGAAGTGCTTAAAATACATCTTTTCGCACATTCCTGCATTTCCGACATTTTAGTAAAATTGTCCGTTTTGCCATCAAGGGGAGGTTCTGGTGAAAATCTTGCCATTTTCAAAATGAACCCCACTGTCATAATTTGTTGGGATCATACTTCAAAGAGACCATGAGCTCATGAAGAGACTAAGATTTGATTTTTGAAGGCATATGCCAGGTCTTGAACCCAGTTGAATTGTCTTTTTTGGACTGTTTTGGCTTTATTTAGCCGTATCTTAAAAAATCCTCTTGCGCATACTATTTTGACGTAAAAGACTCATCTTCACATTTTGCACTTCTTCGATTCATTTCAAAAAGATTCCAGCATGCCTAGTTCAAAATTTCCATTAAATTAGTAATCACATGCTTTTTTCATCTAAGAAGTCACTACAACTTGTCTATTTTGTACGTTGTTGATCAATTTAAGTGAAATGCATGCTTAAGAAGCTTGCCAATGATAATGTAATGGACATTTTCAGTTGTGCATGCTGATATCTTTTAAAAATGAATTGAAGAAGTGAAAAATATCCAGGTCAACCTTTTACGACAAAATAGTATGCGCAAGGAGATTTTTTTGGCTGAAAATCCATCAAAATCTGTCACCAAACTTTAAACGCCCTTTTCTCCGAAGGCCTTTTTTTACGCCCTTTTCTCCGAAGACATTTTTTTAACATTTGAATGGTCCTGTGCGCATACAGTTTGAAGTGTCGTCAATGTTATTTTTTCCACTGACTCAGTAGGTTATTGCGAGGAAACGCAAGTGACAGTTTTTGTAAAGTCCACCCAGAAGTATGGTTTTGGATATTCGTTTTTACAAAAATAGGGAAAATCTTTGGTTTTTGAAAAATGTCGAAGTTGAAAATTTGGTATTTTGCTATCAGTGCCGGAAACTAAAATTTGTCACTTGCATTTGTTCTTTGGACTTAGACGAACAAAAAAATATGTCGGTCAGGTCAATAAACCAAAATGGGAAATGCACAGGAATTATTTAACAAACACTTACAAAATTTTAAAAAAGCCTGTATCTCAGGAACCGCTTGATATTATGGGATGGGATTTTGGGTGAAATAAGGTAAAAAATCAATTGTGGGTCACTTTTTTTAACAATGCATATTTAAAATATAAATGTTGAACAAGTAGCCAATGTAGCTTTGAGACGTTCAAATATGATCCCTTGACTACGTTTTGCAGCATAGAAGCCTCGTCTTTCGTCCTCGTTTACTGAGCTAGGGTCAGGGCGGGGAAAAACTGGACAGGGGAAGAACTGGACACCCCACATTTTACTTCAAATGCCGTATGTACTGGCCTGACAACTGTCGTGTAATGAACCGCTGATGCCACGGAACAACTTTTGATAGTTGTTACTCCTGTGCCTACGGTATTTGAAGTAAAATATGGGGTGTCCAGTTCTTCCCCTGTCCAGTTCTTCCCCGCCCTGACCCTACAGCCGTTTTTAAAACTGGCTGTTTTGGCCCACAATTGATTTTTGGAACCAATTGTGGGTCAGCAATTTTTGAGGCTACTCGCGAGCCAAGCCTTGTACACCACTTACCAAACTAAGGTTGACTTTTAGTCCTTCACCTATTATATCCTTGAATCAGCAAGGGCGTCCCCCTCCGTTCCATAATTCGATTTTTTGTTAATGTTTGAAAACCATCCTTTTTTTTCGTTTTTCTTGCCCTTGGATAGGCCCAATTTTTCGTTCAATTTTTAAGGTCTCTCTTTGCTGCCCGATAGGTTTCGTTGTGGTCGATGCTCAGACATCCGCACCGTTTCAACTGACAAAGGAAGGTTGAGGGAAGACCCATGCCGAATTTGAAGCCCGTTCGGTCATTCATGGATTTGTAGCGGCCCGTCAAACAAAATGGCCCATAATTGATTCGTGACCCACAATTGAATTTTGACCTTAGTTTTTCATTAGGAGTAAGATTTTGACAGAAAATAAGAAGTTTTGGACCAGCAGTTTCTGAGATCATTTTTTCACCTGTCCCTGGCCTTAACTGTTTCCGGCTTTTGGTATTCTTCTTCTTCACTCGGTGTTCTGGTGGAAGTGTCTATTCAAATTGATGCTTGATGTCTTGTTCAGTCTATTTTATACATTTTCTACAATCCTTAAAAAGTATTTAAAAACAATCCCTCAAAGTGGTCAGCTGGACCCACTGGCTTTCAATGACTGAGCCGCGCCGTTTCCCATGCACTTGACTCTGATGCTTCTAACCGATTTTCGAAGGACTTCGTCATTGGCCTCGTCATTGGAAGCGACAAAGAACAATTGAAGAAGGGCAGTGCAATCATCAAACTGATTCGTGGAGTGGACGCCAAGGGCCGGGGCAAGTTTCTTGAACTGGATGCTCAGCCGTACCTCAATCGGAAGTTTACTTTGATGGAGTCGAGGGCCTTCTACTTCCCCCACCTGCACGTGACAAACGCCTTGCGGAGAGACCTGAAGGACCTGAAGAATGCCGAAGCGCCGCTCGCCGACTTCCACGACGAGATTGTGTTCAGCAGGTGAATAGCCTCCATTTACAAAGCGCCTTTGCTTAAAAAAAAATAATTCTTCGGGGGGTTTTAGAACGTGTATCACCTCCGAGGTCCTACCGCCACTGTCAAACACACGCTTGAAGTGTGGACTACAAACTCTGCTCTTCCAAGTGTGGGGACCGTAAATTCTACACCTACGCATTTCAAGAGTCGAGCTCTCTTCACTTGGTTTCACAGTGTCGGTTTTTGGCAGTTCGAATTGATGCACGCTTAAAATCTTACAAAGTATTTTGAACTTACATAATACAAACTAATTTACTTTGTTATTCGAATTGTTCGTAAATTACAAAGTGTTTTCTTTGTAAGCTTATGTATGGTCAAAATACTTCTGTTATACAAACTGCCCTTCTTTGTTAGGCGTAAAATAGTTTGTAAGGTTTTTTCAGTGTGAAAGGAACAGTTTAATTCATATGCTCTTCAATTTTTTGTCTTGAACTTTTTAAAAATGTGCAGCTTTACACGGGTGACATCACCTCCTGGGAGATCCTCAAAACTACGTTTAACTGGTTTTTCCTTACAGAGTTCAGAACCCACCTGAGGGTCCCCTTTATCTTCAGTCCTTTCGCAAGATGCGCCTCGATGCATCGGAGTCAAAGAGCCTCAATAAGAAATTTCAGACTCTCCAGCGAGCCATGTCTTCCTCCCAACGAAATGCTCTCAAAAGTGTGTTGACGCACAGGGTGGCTCTTGTGCAGGGGCCACCGGGAACGGGCAAAACATACGAAGGCTGCAAGGTACCATACCGTAAATTTTGAAGTGGATGTAACACTGGTATTCAACGAATGCGACGTTAGCTTGGTTAAAATTGTGTCTTTCTTGGCCATAGCCGTTTCTTAGTTCAAAATATTTTCTGTTATGTGGCGGGCTCCAAATAACCGCACTCAAGTTTCCGAAACTTTTTAGAGAAAGTCCATTGTTTGCTTTCATGGAGAGCTTCATTAAAAACTTAAGTCGTCTAACGTCAACACACATTCGTTATTCCTCATCATGTTGCGAACTACTGTTTGTTGACAGTAACGAACACTCTTTCTTTTCAGATTGCAGAGTACTTGGTGGAGCTCAAGAAACTGCCTTACGACTTGCTGCCTGGCCCGATCCTTGTGGTTACTACGACAAATCACTCAGTGCGTGAATTCTTGTCGCGCTGTCTTGACTTCTCAGACAAGGCAAGTTTTACTCGGCAAGTATTTGGATCAGTGCGGGGAAAACTGGACAGGGTAAGAACTGAGCACCTCATATTTTTCTCCAAATGCCGAATGCATACGCTTAACAACTATCATATGTAATGAACCGCTAATGCCACACTGTGGGAAAAAATCACAGTAAATCCTGTAGTGATTAGTACAGCTGTCACTGTAGTTCAGAGTACAGGATTTACTGTAATTTTTTTACAGGATCTACTGTACTTTGTACGGGATTTACTGTTACCTCAGGAGTGGAGTACGGAATATCCTGTACCAGGTACAGTAAATGCTGTAACCAGGTACAGTAAATAATGTGTCCTGAACTACAGTAAATCCCGGCAAAAAAATTAACGGGATTTACTGTGGTTTTTTCGCACAGTGCACGGAACACCTTTTGATGGTCGTTTGTTATGCCTGTGCATACGGTACGGTGTTTGAAGTAAAATACGGGGTGTTCAGTTCTTCCCCGCACTGACCCTAAAAGGTACGGAATCGTGAAGCTACATGTTCAGCGTCACAAATCATATTTCAACTCTAAATGCGCAGCCATTTCAAAAGCAGGATAACGGGACGAAAACTCAATTTTCGTCATTTTTCAGGAAACACAAATAACTGTTTTCAGGGGAAACTAAATCCAATCGCATGAATGATGCAATTGAATTTTTGTCAAAAAGGCCTAAGAAATAAATGTGAAAATTTTCAGAAGTGTAGCATCACTCAGTAGAACGGAATCACAAAACTATTTTTTGCATGATTTTTATTCTCTTTTCAACGGAATGTCCTCTTCAGGTTATCCACGGATACTCTCAAAAACACGATAAAGAAACGTACGGGCCTCTCCAGGACCAGTATAACAGAGACATGAGTTCCAGTGAGAGGCTGAAGCTCATGCGCAGCGCGGACGTACTGTCCATGACGACCACCCGTGCAGCCTATATCCGACCAACATTGGACTCACTTCACATCAAAGTCGGTAAGGCACACGCTTAAAACCTTACTAAGTATTCTGAGCATACATTGTAGAAACTAAATTACTTCATTATACGAAGAAATAGTTCGTAATTTACGAAGTATTTTCTTTGTAAGCTTATGTATGCTCAAAATACTTGGTCATAACAAACTGTTTTCCTTTGTGAGGCCTAAAAAAATTAAAATCGAACGAACTTTAATTATAATAATGCGTGCAGTCCAAGCCTCGTTCGTTCAAGAGGGTGATAACAAGGGACCGGCCCAACAGTTATTGGCGTTAAAAATTTTGTGTTCTTATCCTTTGAAACATTTTTCTACTCGCAGAAGCAGGGGGTGGCAACGGCCTAGGAAGGGCGTGAAGCGATGCTCGCGCCGTCAGTGCAGAGGTTGCGCACTTGTTCGAGATTATGAAAACTAGACTGTGTTCTTCAAAATGCTTTGCACCGATGGAAAGGGCTTGAAATCTAGGGTGCATAAGGCTAATTGCTCTTCTCCAAACTCTCACCTTACCTGTTATTAAGGTGCAGTGAAAACACCTAAAAACACGAGAAATCATAAAGTTTAGGAAAAACTCGAATGCGCCATGTTGATGTAAATGGTTCCACCCTTGTGTTCGGTTGAATTGGAAGTATCGGGCAGTCTACTAGGCCTAAATGCACCCCAAATTTTGTGCTCTTTTGATCTGTGCAAAGCGTTTTGCAATCAATGGGCTAGATCTTACAATCGAAGCAAAATAAGTAACCAATGCACCTTACTCGCGCATGGCTTCACGCGCTTCCTAGGCCGTTGCCGCCCCCTGGCAGAAGTAATGTGAGCAATGAGAATGAAAAAGTCATGATCAATAAGTTTTGGGCGATGAATTCTTTGTTACCCAAATTTGGGTCATAATACTGGAGCCATGTGGATAGCTGTTACACCTCACCCAAATTAGGGCGAGGTAGCCTTCCTCACCCAATTTTGGGTGATAAAGTAAAGTATACCTCGCCCTAATTTGGGTGAGGTGCAACAGCTATCCACATGGCTCCATAGTATTATGATGACCCAAATTTGGGTAATAAAGAATTCATCGCCCAAAATTTAATCATGATCATGACTCTTTCATTCTCAGTGAGTTTTTGCTTCTTTCGTCTGTTAATGATCGTCTTTTTTTTTTAAGTTATAGTTGAAGAGGCAGCCAGAGAAATGGAGGGTTTCGTTTTGGCATCTATTCCTCGGGGTGCTCAGCACTTGATCCTGTTGGGTGAGTATTTTGCGACGTCAAAGGTCTTTTTTTTTACCGTGGGCACCAAGACAGGCGAAAAGAAAAGTTGAAAATAAGGAGGGCCGTAGAATCAAAATACAGCTGCATGTGTGCTTTAAATTAATTCAAAGCCTTAAAAAACATTGATTACAAACGACAATTTTCTGTTCAAGCACCTCAAAATTTAACAAGCCACAAATGTTTGATTGGGCCGGGTATTTTGGGATTCCGAATGAATTTGTCGCGCTTTATGCCTACTTGTGGGTTGTTCTGATGCAGTCGGACTGTCCGCCTCCAAGCGTACAGATTTTTTAAGTGGGGCACGCCTTGATTTTATTGACGTATTTTACCAACCAAAATCATTCCTGTGACGCTTAAAATCACGGGCAGAGCCTGGCGTGTTGGCCTGATTTTGAAGGGAGTGCCCTGTAATTATTGCTTTCGTTTCCCAAAGAGAACCTGTTGAAGTGAGCACCTGCCTTCAGATTTGCTGTAAGAAAAATAGTTTTCGCACATTGACCATAATGTCGCCACAGGAGACCACAAGCAGCTGCGTCCCATCTGCGACAATGCCCTGGGATACAGTCACCACCTGACACTGTCCCTCTTCGAGCGGCTCATCAACAACGGCGTGACGTGCCCCATGCTGAACGAGCAGCGTCGCATGCGGCCCGAGATCGCCGACCTCATCAGGAGCATCTACCCCGCCCTGACGGACCACGAGTCCACTCGCAACAGGCCCCCGGTCGAAGGGGTGGACTTGCGAGTGCCCGTGTTCTTCCTTGACCACCAGGAGCGCGAGGTGCAGGTGTGTGCTTGCTTGCGTGTGATGGGCATTGGCGCGGAACCAGAGCCGAGAACCGTCTTCACAGCTAATCCAAGTGCACGACAAGCACTCACTTGCTGGCGTAGACACAGATTCTTCATCGATCTATAAACATTGATTTTTCAAGCTTTCAAGTGTAAGGCAGTGTGCTCGACACTTCCAGGCGTAGGAACGAACATGATTGATCGACACTTGCTAGTGTGTAGGACATAATGTCTTCGCCCCCCAATAGAATAATCCTACTGTTAGTGCAGCTCTAAGACAATCTAAACTGCCCGAGCAACATCCAAGACACTCCTGTCAGTGTCGATTCAGAACCATCCTAACTGCTCACGATGTGAATATCGGTTTTACTTAAGGCCATGGCGCTCGACACAAACCTTTTTGACGAACACTCTCATTCCAGGAACGTGACATCACGTTGAAACGAACGTGACAAAATGTCACGTTCGTTTGAGCATTGTGTCACGTTCGTTTGAACGTGAACAAGCTGATTTTTAGCCAATTCACACCCAAACAAATGTGACACAATGCTCAAACGAACGTGACACTTTGTCACATTCGTTTCAACGTGATGTCACGTTCCTGGAATGAGAGTGAAGAGCTTGTTAAATAGTTTGAGTCACAAAAACGTGGACATTGTGTTTTAGGGATAACGCGATTCACTTATTTGCAGTGAAGATAATTCATAAACAGTTTTAGCCATCTCTGCTGTTAAGATAGTTCTCAATCCGCATTGACAGTTAGGTTTGTCTCGGATCTGCACTGACAGTAAAAATTATTCTGTAAGGAGGCGTCCAAGAATGTCCTTGTCCTACACTAGGATTGACAGTGCTTTGAGGGAAGGCAAAGTAGCAAGTTGTGTCCACTCATGGGTCCAACCCTTATTCTATGAGATATATCCCTTGAGACAATGAATGATGATTGAGTAAATTCGATTAACACGCTTTGAATTTTCCAGGATGGATCTGGGTTTTACAATCCCTGGGAAGCAAAGATGGTTGCCATGCTGTGCCACTATCTGCTCGTTCAAGGCCATCCTGCAGAGGAAATTACAATCCTGGCCGCTTACAGGAAACAGATTGCCTGCATCTCCAAGGAGGTAACTTTCCGTTTAACGCTAGTCACCGACCCTATCGCAATTTAAACCCGCAGAATCAACTGTTCGCATTTTGTATGAATGACAGATTGAAGAGATCAGAGGGACCCGTTTCGGCATCCGTGTGTGCACCATCGATGGATTTCAGGGCGAGGAAAATACGATTATAATACTTTCCCTCGTCAGAAGTAATCCAGAGGGGAAAATAGGGTTCTTAAGAGAGGACAACAGAACATGTGTTGCGTTGAGCAGAGCGAAGAATGGTATGTATCTGAATTCTTCAGGTCCTGGATTCTTGTTTTCGTCTAGGAGGCATTGACGACGACGGGCTCACGGTTCAGTGCCGTCTCAGGTAGCCCTGATACTAATGCACAAACCCATAAAACAGCAGCGGGCGCCTCAGTCCGAAAGGCATCCATTAATATTTAGCAGTGCAGCAAAACGCATTCGAAATTCCTGTTTTATTTTTGTTCCCAAGTGCTTCCTTTTCCCCCCTTTTAAAACAGAGACGGTGTAGTGACTGCTACCAGGACGTGCAAACCTGACATTTATCGGGATTTTTGGTGCCTAGAATCTCGGAAACGGCTAAAGAAAAATAAGTTACGCTGTAGATAACTTAAATTTAAAATTCATTTTTGAAAGCGGGCAATATGGACCACCCCCAAAACTCTTTAAGGGGGCTCATACATGTTAAAAGCACTTTTTTAAAAAAAAAATTTTGATGTAGACGGATTAAGATTTTACAATTTCTGTGTTAAAATCCTTTAAGATAATTGAGTAAGCTTCATTTTGGCTTAAGGGAAAGTGACTTTGGACATTTTTTGGAGATTTAGTCGAAACGTTTAAAATTTTGCTTCTCGTAAGATTTTGTTCGCATACTTGCTCAGATCTGTGGGGAAAAAAACAGGGAGACTCATCCCCAGTAGTGTCATAGAATTGACTAGAATGGGCTTTATATCTGCAATAGTTTTAAAGAAAAAAAATAAAAACAATTTTTTTAACAATTTTTTAAACAAATTTTTCAACAAAAAAATTTTTTTTATTTTTTTTTTTGAAAACTATTGCAGATATAAAGCCCATTCTAGTCAATTCTATGACACTACTGGGGATGAGTCTCCCTGATTTTTTCCCCACAGATCTGAGCAAGTATGCGAACAAAATCTTACGAGAAGCAAAATTTTAAACGTTTCGACTAAATCTCCAAAAAATGTCCAAAGTCACTTTCCCTTAAGCCAAAATGAAGCTTACTCAATTATCTAAAAGGATTTTAACACAGAAATTGTAAAATCTTAATCCGTCTACATCAAAAATTTTTTTTAAAAAGTGCTTTTAACATGTATGAGCCCCCTTAATGTGATCGGTGATGTCGCCTACCTCTGGCATTGTAAACCGTTAGGGCCACTAGCATTCGAACTTGTAAGTTACTTGGCTCGAACTGATCATTTAGAAAAAGTTTAGGAGCGGTCCACATTACCCACTGGTGGTCCATACAAGGGGAAATAACTCCTGAAAATTTGTACACCGAAATTCAAAATTCATGAATTTCAAGCCGAAATTCATTGAAATTCATCGAAATTCATTGAAATTCATTGAAATTCACGAAATTCATTGAAATTCATGAATTTTGGTCTAAAATTTATCGAAATTCATTGAAATTCATGAATTTCGGTCCGAAATTCATTGAAATTCATCGAAATTCATGAATTGCGGTCTGAAATTCGTTGAAATTCATGATATTTGATCCGGAATTCAAGAAACCACGTGAATTATGGTCCAAAAGTAATTAAGATTCATTTAAATGGATAAAAGTATATCAATTGATACAAAAACTAAATAATAGTTGTACAAAACGTGGAAGTGCATTGAAAAACAATCATTTTCATGCAATTTTCTTGTAATTTAGTGCGGTAAGAGCTCTCCGGTGTGCGCGCTTAGGCTGAAGCAGCCTGGCTTCTAATACCGTCGGAAGCATTCGATTTTTCTCGGTCTAGATTCGGTCTACATGACCGTCTACAGACCTAAGCAACCCCGTCTAGCATTGAGTGGCCGTTGCGGCTGGAAGGCCCTGAAAAAATTACCGCGGCGTCGGGACTCAAAAGTAGCCATGTTCATCCCTTGGCTTGGCGCGAGTGTATCCCCGCGTTTCCGTCGCGTTGCTAGGCGTGCTGTGAGCACTCACCTACGTCATGCCCGGGCGGCCAGGGGGCCGTCCGAAAGCCGTTCCAGAAGGTTCGAGAAGGTTTTCGCTAAAGAACGGCCAGGAAAAAGGCCCAGTCTCCAGAGAAGTGACACACTGTTTGCAGACGTTCCCGCAATTAGGCAAGGTCAAGGAGCCCTGCCGAGGGAAGGAATGGGAGGGGGGGGGGAGAGGGGAGGGGGCAGCCGGGGCGGCGACCTGCATCCTTGGGCCGAGAAGCCTCCCTCGCCCGCCACGCCGTCAGGATATTGGGACCTCAGCTGCCCTCAAAATTGGCCTAGAAATTCATTCGAACATGTTTCTGAAGCAGTGAAAGGAATGGAAGACGAATTTGAAATTTTCAGATTTGTAATGTAAAGCAAAATATTAGATCACTGGGGTGAGCCACTTGTGAACAAAGACTATTCATCCCAAAGACCCCTCATTGTAAAACGCCATTGTCGTCTGTTTTCTCTCTTCCCCGCCCGAGACCCCCCCGAGAGTGAGCCAGTGTGCGTGTGTGTGTGAATGTGTGTTGGTGCGAGGGTCGGCCTGCCTGCCGCGGTGCACTCCTCCTATTGTCTCCAATTTTAACTTCTGTCGCTTTCAATTTTTCAACACTTTAAGCGCCATATTCTGCTTCCTCATGTCCACGCGGTTAACGCCATATTTTATTTTTGGATTTTGTGATATTTTTGAGTTTTAACCCAATTTGATTACGGAATTATAGAACCACATTTTCTTGTGTATCTCCCGAAGGCCTAGACCTAGAACTGAATTTCAAAACTGCTCCTGTACATCTTTTCATGGCGCATTGAACGAGCTCCTTTATTTTACTCTTAGACTTCTAGAAGCGAATTTACATTTTGCAGCCAGAGGCAATTGTCCTTGGGGGGCCAAGACCGCTCCTCTCTCGGCCGACCCGGACTACCTGGTTGGGTCTCGCCCGCAACCCACACTGCCGGATGGCTGCACTTTTCAATGGAGAATCGGGCGCCCTTTCCCTTGCGTTGGTTCAACTGAGCTTGTCGCGCACTCGTGAAAACTCAGAGGGCTTCCCCATTCGGTTACAAAGTGTGTGTATATTTGTGACTAGAGACCGGCACTGCCGCTCGTGGCGAGCCGGCCCGGCTCGGCAACCGAGTCTCTGTGCGAGAGAGAGGTCCGAGAAAGCCGAAGCCGAGTATTGCCGAACCCGCCGGTGCAAACGGGGCTCGTCTGAGCCGTGGCCGCCCGCGCCTCGTCGCCTAGCTTGGCGGCCTTGCGCGCGCTGGGGGAGACAGACACGTTCGCAGCTCCCAGCACAGCTCCCCGGCCGACTGCCGACCGACTCCGCACAGAGCCTCGTCGCTCTGTCTCTCTCGCACTTATGCGGGCCGCCCCATGAGTGCGACAGAGACGGAGCGACGAAGGTGATATGCGGAGTCGCTCTGCAGGCCAGCGGCAACGAAGTCTCACACCGAAATTCCTCAATTTTGTGATGAAATTCATGAATGTTGTTGTGAAATTCATGAATTTTGCAGTGAAATTCAATGAAATTCATCAAAATTCATCGAAATTCATCGAAATTCATCGAAATTCAACGAAATTCATCGAAATTCATCGAAATTCATTGAAATTCATTGAAATTCATTGAAATTCACTGAAATTCACCGAAATTCATGCGAAATTCAAAATTTTGTACACCGAAATTCAAAGTTATTTCCCCTTGGGTCCATATTACCCGAATTTGCGGTATCCCACTTTTTAAATAAGCAGCTGCTTACGACATAAGCCCCGTATTGGCGCCACCATGTTAAACTGTAATTCAACGAACGAGACGTCAAATTTATTAGAATGTGAATTTTGTCCTAGTTTGTTCGAACATGACGTCACATTCGTTGAATAACACTGTGAACAGCTTCAGACAAAAAAAAAAATACTTGGCCGGGGCCGGGGGACCCCTACAGATCTGGGTCCCACCTTTTTTTCAACCAGTGGATACTTATTGCCGAAACACCAGTAGGGTCAGATGCAGCACCGTTTGTCAATTTAGAAGGGGTGCACATTATTTTAAAGTGGCTGTTATTGAGGGTTTGGGGCCTTATGCGATCTCGGAACCAAAAGAACTGCCAATATGATTTTTTCGGAACATAAAAGTGAGTTCTTTCGAATGTCGGGTCGCCGGAGGCTCTACGAGGTTGGGTTTGGACGCTACGGGGTCTCAAAGTTGCTCAATTTCTCTATTTTCACTGAAGATTCGGGCAGTTTTGGGAATCATGTGGGCTGTTTTTGTTTTTTTTGGCAGGCAGGTTCCGAGATCCCACAAATCTCCAAACCCTCAAAAACAGCCATTATTTTTCAGAGATTTTGCACCCCTAATGAATTTACAACCTTTGTGGGATCCGGCCCTTTTGATGTTTCGGCAATTAGTATTCACTAGTTGAACCAAAACAGGGGAGCCGGATCTAAAGGTGTCCCCGGACAAGAAATGTTTTTTTTTTTAACTGGAGCTGCTCTGTGTGAAAACGGCATTTGCTGGGCACGTCCCCGTCTGAAAGAATAACATGATCCCTTTGTCCGATCGTTTTAATATTCTTTTCGTGCAGGGTTTTTCCTGGTGGGTGACTTGAAGTGTCTGACGGAGTCAGGGTCTGCTGTGTGGAACCATGTCCTGAAGACGCTGTCTATGTGGGAAAAACAGGGTTTTCGACAAAGGTTGTCCAAATCAAACCAAACTTCGTTTTTGGGTTCTCCTTGACCCAAAGACATGTCAAAAAAATTTTGAAATTTTTTCGACAAAATTTGTCGAAGTAGGAAATTTTTTTTATTTTACTCAAAAGACGCGGCAATTGATTTTGAAAAAAAATTTTTTTTTTCAAAGGTCAACTAAGGAGGAACATTTTGAGTTGTGTCCCATGTCCTGGTCTTGCTTAGTTTAATTGATACCCACCATTTTACGTTACGTGTTTTTCTCATTTTTACCTAAAAAATTAAAAAAATGCCCCTTTGCCAGTCAATTTGATTATAACTAGAGTCAAACTGAAGATATTTTATCTTTGTGAACCTCCTTCCATGCCTAACACACTATCTGGTTCCCCAAATGAACACAGTGTGTCCCAAAATACTATAACGGATCATTTAACGTTACACTTTGGAATAACGAGCACCGTGTCTATTGCTGGAGCAGTAGAGCAGCCCAACTATTTGTCACTGAAACAAGATTATTATTTTTTATCCACTTGTGAAGGATGAATCGTTTTAATCTTTAATCTTCACAAGTGGATAAAAAAAATAATCTTGTTTCAGTGACAAATAGTTGGGCTGCTCTACTGCTCCAGCAATAGACATGGTGCTCGTTATTCCAAAGTGTAATGTTAAATGATCCGTTATAGTATTTTGGGACACACTGTGTTTATTTGGGGAACCAGATAGTGTGTTAGGCATGGAAGGAGGTTCACAAAGATAAAATATCTTCAGTTTGACTCTAGTTATAATCAAATTGACTGGCAAAGGGGCATTTTTTTAATTTTTTAGGTAAAAATGAGAAAAACACGTAATGTAAAATGGTGGGTATCAATTAAACTAAGCAAGACCAGGACATGGGACACAACTCAAAATGTTCCTCCTTAGTTGACCTTTGAAAAAAAAATTTTTTTTTCAAAATCAATTGCCGCGTCTTTTGAGTAAAATAAAAAAAATTTCCTACTTCGACAAATTTTGTCGAAAAAATTTCAAAATTTTTTTGACATGTCTTTGGGTCAAGGAGAACCCAAAAACGAAGTTTGGTTTGATTTGGACAACCTTTGTCGAAAACCCTGTTTTTCCCACATAGACAGCGTCTGAAAACTGTGAACACAGGCGGGCCACTGCCCTTGAAGTGCCGCCACGGCAGAACGATCGGCGGCAAGTCTCCGGCCCACTTCCAAAAGGCTCTGTGCTGCGTCTGCAGAGTGCACGCCGCGGTGCAGAACGCACAGGCGTTTTTAGATAAGGGCCAAGACCTGGTTGAGAAGACAGAGGAAAGTTTGACTAAGTTAGAAGATGAACTCGAAACAAGAAATCCGCAACCTGGAGATCACGAGACGCGAGATGGGCTGAAGGGACGACTGGCATCGTTGAAGAAAAGTGTCAGGAACTGGGGATACAAGAAGATGCAAGCGGAAGAAGGGAGCCAACTTGTGGATGAATGGTTCAAGGAAGGATTGATACATTGTGAGGATACTGATGAGGCACTCCAAGTCAAGATACTCAATTTCAGAGGTCTGAATAGAATTCCTGCTCCTTCCTCTGGTGACATGGGCTTGGGGGTTGCGATTTATGGGTTCATGGATGTTTTAGTTGAACGTTGGAAGCCTACGTGGAAACGTTTGGCACATGAAATCAAAAAGTATTTTAATTCTACTTAGATTGTTGACTAATGGAAATGGACTGCTGTAACCGGTTAATTGAATGAAGCGACTGAAAACTCTTAGAATAATTGTACCATGCAGTATAGCCTGTAGGTCGGCCGATCATCGGGTGGTTTGCAGGGTTCAGGTTGAGCCAAAGAGCAAGATTCCCTTCTTCCGAGACCTCAGCTCCATAGTGGTGCTTAGGGTAACTCAAACTCGTGACTTCGACCATGTCAGTATGAATAAAGAATCATGTTTTCAAACGGCCACTATAGCGGCGTCAATCTCACTCCCGTCAAATGCTGCGAACTTCTCGACGACCGGCCATTGTGTAAAATGTCCTCAGAGGCTGTCGTAATAAATCCATACAACATACAAAAATGTTCTGCTTTATCTCTGGAATATGGCCCCACTCACCGTTTACCTGTTACCTGAATTAACCTGCAAGAAAGAGGGTCCCTACGGTCGCCTGGAGAGGCGGGTTGGGGGACTCATATCCCTCCGCGGCCAAACGCGAAGTAGTTTCCAACACATGCGCTTCTGTTAACAAATTCAATGGTTTCGACTTTGTCAGCACTCGAAATACGCGGTTTTAATTGTGTTTATCATTGGAATGATGAAATATGACGCCGGGGCGTCAGTGGGACGTCGGCTTGCTCAACCGGTCGGCGATGGTGCGTGAGGACGGACTACCAGAAGGCGCTCGACGCGGCGGGCCGCTGGAGTGGAGGCAGCTCGCCAACGCCACGGTGAATGCGGCGCGGTCCCTGCTCACTGCAGGGAGGAGGGCGACGAGGGCCAACCTGCGCACCGCGTTGTTCAGGCCCAGGCGCGAACCGGGGACGCCCACGCTCGCGAGCCGCTGAGGGAGGCCTCCAACGAGTGGAGGGCGACTGCTGCAGCAGCTGGAGGACGATGCAGAGGATGACGGTGGTGCACCGCACCTTGAAGGAGAGGAGGGAGCAGCGGCTACCTCCGGGGCAGGGGCCCACGCTGCGGGATTGGCAACAGGAGGGGGACGTGGTCCGGGCGGCTGTCCAGCACCCTGTCCAAGGCTCGGACACCTCGGGCTCTGGCGCGTCCGCGACCGAAAGCAGCGAGGCTCCGCCGGCACTTAAGGGGGGACATCACTCCAAAATGGTCAAAAATTGCAACTTTTTTTTATGAGATCATATTATAGACCATTCCTTTCTGTGTCGAATGGTGAAAACCGCATTCCGAAATTAAAAAAATTGCAGGTTTAGGAGGTTTTGGGCCGCAAACATGCATAGGGGAAAAGCCCACACTGTTAGAAAAAGTTGTGGGATAACGACAAAAAGTTCAACAGCATGATTGTTATAAGACGACAAAATTGTCAAAATTCAAAACAAAACAACCATCATATTACAAAAAACTTGTTTTAAGAATACAAAATTGTATGGTTACAAAAGAATATGCTCAAAATCAAAACAATAAAAGTATCGTTATCAAACAATAATTTCATCTCAAAACGACAAAAGTCGTTCAAAGATTGTTTGACTTGTAGGATTACGATGAAATAATCACATTTGCCATTTTGTCAAATATTCCGGCAAAAAGTCTGGGAAAGGCACATCTTAATTAGCATGAAAACTTAATGCTATTTTGATAACCTTTCATGACGAACAGCTGTGTTTTTGCTCACCAGTCTGCCTCAAAGGTTAAGGGGAGGTTCTGGTGAAAATCTTGCTATTTTCCAAATGGATCCCACTGTCACAATTTGTCCGGAATATAAAATCTTTCTTCGAGGAGACTAAAATTTGACTTTTGAAGGCACATGCCAGGCTCTGAACCCAGTCGAAGAGTCTTTTTGAGCCTATTTTGGCTGTATTTTAAAAAATCTTCTTGCGCATACTGTTTTGTCGTAAAAGCTTGACCTTGACATTTTTCACTTCTTCGCTAAGTTTTGAGACTTTTTGACGGAATATTTGACAATATGGCAATTGTGATTATTTCATCGTAATGCTAGGAGTCAAACAATTTTGAACGACATTGTCATCATGTAACGACATTGTCATCATGTAACGACATTGTCATCATGTAACGACATTGTCATCATGTAACGACATTGTCATCATGTAACGACATTGTCATCATGTAACGACATTGTCATCATGTAACGACATTGTCATCATGTAACAACAATGTCGTTGATTGATGATTTGGATCCAATGACTGTGAAGAGGATATGAGTTCAGCCAATGTCTATGATAATTTTATCGTTGAACAGCACTTTCATCAGACTACGACATTTTATCTTACGACATCTTTCTCAATTGACAGCAACTTCTGCTATGAAACTTTACGACAAATTTGTCGTAAACCAACAGCAGTTTTTCTAACAGTGCAGTTTCCCCAACTTTGATCGCGTTTTTCTCGGAACATGAAATTGCAAACGGTTGCAGGCCTCTAGGGCGCAGTTTTTGAGCTACAGCGGGGAGATTTAGCATGGAAGCTCCTACGACACGCCGCTATGGTGGGTAGCAAAATAATTTGAATTGGTCACTTTTTATTATTTTTTAACGTTTAAAATTAAACAATTTTGACCAAAAAAATTGAACTAATCTTTTTGGTATGTAACAATTACAACTTAAAATGATTTTTTTAATGTGATTGAGGTACCCACCATAGCCGGACATCTCAGGAAGGCTGTCACCAAATTTCGTTGTTCTAGGTCAAACCGTTTGGCGTCCAGCACTGCAACAGTGCAAATTGGTCTAACCTAACATTCAAAAATGTGTTTTCAACGAAAGCGCTGTACTGCCCTGGCGGATAGACTTTGTGTTGTTTGATACTTTATCTGTTAAAATATGAATAATGTATCTCTTTTCGTTTGGTTTTTATGACGATTTTACGAAAGCACTGTTTTTGGAGTGATGTCCCCCCTTAACGTGGCCGTTACCTCCGAGTTGTCCTTTGACTAGGACACTGTGTCCGTCCACAGTCGCTGCGTCTCCGGAGGATACGCTACCTCAAGAATGGTCAAATTCGGTCCAGGAAGCGGAAGAAGGGAATAACTTGACTTAGCTCCAAATTGAGTTTTTATCTAATTATTGTGCCTTAGACTGGTTCACATCATAACACCAAATTATTTGATTTCATTCCTTGCAGTTAAGGAGAAAATCCACATTGAAAAAGCATATAACTCAACTTGACCCCTTTTACGCTCTAAATGTAGCGGAAAATGGAAACAACTCAACCGAACTCCACATGACTCCGTTTAAAATATTTCCAATAGGAGATAAATCAACTTGTATTTTAATGAATCTGGTGTAAAAAGAATCAAGTCAACTTAAGCTCCCTTCATTTTAAAAACTGAAATGGAAAAATGAGCTAAGTCCAAAAAATACACCAGAGTAACAAGCGCTTTATGCTGACTAAAGTTCCAGTTGACCCAAATTCCACTCCGTTTAGGAAACACTGAAAACGTAATGGTCGGACACATGGTCAAAATTATGGCGTGACAACAAGTCACGCCAAAAATTGGCGTGACACGAAATTCACGCCGAAAACCGGCGTGACATGTGAGTCACGCCCTCATTTGGCGTGAATGGCAACGAGTTTTATGATACAAGTCATGCCAAAAAGCGGCATGACAAGAAATTCAAGCCAAAAATTGGCGTGAATTTTTGAGTCACGCCGATTTTTGGCGTGACTTTTATGTCATGCCGTTTATTGGCGTGACACTTTATTCACGCCCCTGCAGCGGCACGAAGTCACGCCGGTAGATTTTCAGTGAATACAACACTGTCAGAAAAATAGTCCGTAAATTTACGGAGAAAGTTACTCTAATTTTGGGAATGGAGACTCCGTAAATTTTCCATATTTTTACGGAGATTTACCATATTTTTACGGAGATTTTCCATATTTTTACGGAGATTTTCCATATTTTTATGGAGATGAACCGTTCTTTTGCAGAAATAAACGCATTTTAACGGTTTACTTCCCTCCTTCCACCTTCGATGTCAATGCAACCAGTGCCCTTTTAGACGAAAGTGATATTCTCCAAAACTGTTAGAAGATCCACTTGACCACATGCCATTTGGATCGGGTAAATGGACGGAAACCCAAAGGCGAGGTCGCTCGAGGGAAGGCGCATTCTTGGAACACCTAATCAGTTGCTCACCCGACCCATCGGTAACGTGAATTAGTCTGTTCTTTTTGATAAGTAAGGCTTCTATTTCATTTATAAACATAACTTCCATATTTTTACGGAAAAAATCCATAATTCAAAAAAACGGACATCTCCGTTAAAAAATGGACAGTCTCCGTTAAATTTCCGTTTTTTACGGATTTTTCTGACAGTGAAGTTGAGATGTCTCTGTTTTCCATTTCAACGGAAAGTGATAAGTTACAGAAACCCTCTAAGGAGTGATCTAACACTTTTGATGTTTTTCTCAAAATTAAGCTTTTGCTTTTTGAATTTTTTATCATCTACAAAATTCATTTGGTTTGTTTTAGTTTTCCCTGCTTATAGTTTTTTCTTTCTCCTGATAAATGGCCAAAATCCCCTTCTTCCGCTTCCTGGATCACTTATAAACATATTGTATGTAGACATTAATGCTGCAAGGAGATGTTGCATAATTTGTCCTTTTTCTAATGTTGTTTTTGAAGAAAATAGCTGATACGTGGGTCCCCATGGGTGATACATCTCCATGCCAGGGGTCCCATGTACTCTACAAATCGAAGAGTGTACATGGTATGCTCTAACTGGAGCATGCCTGCAAGCACGCTCTAGCTAGCGCATGCCTGCCAGGCATGCACTAACTAGTGCATACATGCCATGTACACGCTAACTGAAGCGTGCATCTAGTGCATAAGGGATAGGGAGTTGTCTGCATCAGGAAGCGTGTACATGGCATGTATGCGCTAGTAAGTGCATGCTTGAGTATCAATTACATGAATTTAGTAGATTGCGCCCCTATCGAAAACCAACTAAGATACCTGAAAAGCTTCCATTGGCCCTTTAAGAAGGAGGACTAACTTATGCGTCTGACCTAAAACATTCGAATATTGCACATACCCAGAATTTTCAGAGTCAAAACAAAAAAAAATGTGATGGGTCATTCCATGGGGGTTCGACATACTTTTGCAAGTGATCTCTCCGATTTCGATGAAACTTTGCGAGCTTGTTGGCTATGGTCTGAAACCCCCCAAAACCAATTTTGAGCAAAAAATACCGATTTTTGAAAAAGTTATGGCTTGCGTTAGAAATTTTGATTTTCGTTGCAGACCTTTTTTGAAAACGCTGTAGTTTCTTCCAAAATGAAGCTACAGAGCTCATTCTGGGCGCATTCGAAAGGTATTGAATTGGACTTTAAGCCTATTGCAACATTTTGACAAAAATTTTCAAATTTGACAAAAATTGAACAAAGTCAAAATTTTGAACACAATTTTCTCAAAACAAGTATTTTTGATATTTTTTCTTTTTTGATATGTTATAGTCCATACTTAAGTCTAGCCACCCTCAAAATTTGGTTGGAAAAAATTCATAAACAAGGAAGAAAAACGGTTTTTAGTGTTGCGATTCGGCAAATTTTCGCTAGTTGGAGTGGTGTGGAGAGGAGCATGATGAATATTTGAGACCACAGGTTCTCGATCTTGAACTTGTAGTGTCACTCGGAACAGTTATTTGGGGTGCTGAACCGACAAATAAGGTCTATTTTCGTTTTCGAAATTCTCAGGGGCGGATCAAGAGGGGTGACTTTTCAAACATCAGGATTTTTCGATGTTGCAACGCGATTTCTATGTTTTCAGGGGCGGAGATAACGAATCTTGAACGGTATTGGATGCAAGTTAGCTCTAAAGCTGATCTAACGTATCGTCAAAACATAAAAATGTGCAAATAGATGATCAAAAAGCCCCCAAATGTGAACATCTTTGGCTCATTGCAAAAAGTAAAGCTAGTGTTGTTACCTACACCCCTGTTAACATAAGAATCAACTTCGACATCCAAACATCTCGAATTCGGAAAAGTCACTCCCATTGACGCACCCCGTTGTTGAGATTACCAGGGGCGAGGTGAGCCAAAGGTAGTGACTTATCCAAGTTTGGATATTTTGACAATACGTTGGATCAGCTTTGGAGCTAACTTGCATTCAAGATGATTCAAGATTAGTTGTCTCCGCTCCCAAAAATATAAAAAACGATATGCAACATCCAAAAATCCTGATTTTTTTAAAAGTCAACCCTCTTGATCCGCCCCTGGTAAGCCCAATAACAGGGTGCGTCAATGAGGGTTACTTTTCCAAATTCGAGATGTTTGGATGTCGCATGTTAATTCTTATGTTTACAGGGGTGCAGGTAACAACGCTGGCTTAACTTTTTGCAATGGCCAAAGATGTTCACATTAGGGGGCTTTTTGATCATCTATTTGCACATTTTTTTGTTTTGACGATACGTTGGATCAGCTTTAGAGCTTACTTGCATCCAACACCGTTCAAGATTCGTTATCTCCGCCCCTGAAAACATAGAAATCGCGTTGCAACATCCAAAAATCATGATTTTTTTGAAAAGTCACCCCTCTTGATCCGCCCCTGAGAATTTCGAAAACGAAAATTGACCTTATTTTTAGGTTCAGCACCCCAGATAACTGTTCCGAGTGACACTACAAGTTCAAGATCGAGAACCTGCGGTCTCAAAATATGCATCATGCTCTTCTTCACACCATTCCAACTAGCGAAAATTTGCCGAATCGCAACACTCAAAACCGTTTTCTTCCTTGTTTATGAATTTTTTCCAACCAAATTTTGAAGGTTGCTAGACTTAAGTATGGACTATAACATATCAAAAAAGAAAAAATATCAAAAATACTACTTTTGAGAAAATTGTGTTCAAAATTTTGACTTTGTTCAATTTTTGTCAAATTTGAAAATTTTTGTCAAAATGTTGCAAAAGGCTTAAAGTCCAATTCAATACCTTTCGAATGCGCCCAGAATGAGCTCTGTAGCTTCATTTTGGAAGAAACTACAGCGTTTTCAAAAAAGGTCTGCAACGAAAATCAAAATTTCTGACGCAAGCCATAACTTTTTCAAAAATTGGTATTTTTTGCTCAAAATTGGTTTGGGGGGGTTTCAGACCATAGCCAACAAGCTCGCAAAGTTTCATCGAAATCGGAGAGATCACTTGCAAAAGTATGTCGAACCCCCATGGAATGACCCTGATACAAGGGTCCCCACCTTCCCTTGTGCGTGAAAATGCATGAATCTATGCAAATCCACGCACAATTTCATGCACGACGGCACACAAGTTTAAAATCATGCATCACCACGTACAAAATGGTACATAAACATTTAGTGTGTGGAACAGTTATTTCTGACAACGTAAACAACAGCACGACGGTTCGTTTGATAAATTTTATAAACTCGGGAGGGATGGTTTCAAAACGCGAGTGACTGTCGTTTGACGAACATGAGTACTGAATGTCGTGAGATTGAGTGGGGTGATCATGCTGTTAAGGGGGGACATCACTCCAAAATGATCAAAAATTGCAATTTTTTTTATTCGTTAATATTATAGATCATTCTTTTCTGCGTCGTATGGCGAAAACCGCATTCCGGAATTCAAAAAATTGCAGTTTTAGGAGGTTGTGGGCCGCAGACATGCATAGGGGATAAGCCCAGTTTCCCCAACTTTGATCGCGTTTTTCTCGGAACATGAAATTGCAAACGGTTGCAGGCCTCTAGGCCGCAGTTTTTGAGCTACAGCGGAGAGATTTATCATGGAAGCTCCTACGACATGCTGCTATGGTGGGTAGCAAAATAATTTGCATTGGTCAATTTTTATTATTTTTTTAACGTTTAAAATTGAACAATTTTGACCAAAAAAATTGAACAAATTTTTTTTGGTATGTAACAAATACAACTTAAAATGATTTTTTAAATGTGATTGAGGTACCCACCATAGCCAGACATCTCAGGAAGGCTGTCACCAAATTTCGTTGTTCTACGTCAAACCGTTTGGCGTCCAGCGCTGCAACAGTGCGAAATGGTCTAACCTAACATTTAAAAATGTGTTTTCAGCGAAAGCGCTGTAAGGGAAGGTGGGGACCCATGTATCACTTTTTTTTGTTTTGAGTGTCAAAATTTTGGTTTTGGGCATAAACTTAATGTTTTGGGTCAGAAGCGTGAGTTAATCTTCCTTCTACAAGGGCCAACTGAATTTGTTCATGTATCTCATCTGGTTTTGCAAAGAAGCGCAATCTACTAAATTCGTGTATTTGATACATGGGACCCCATACCTGGGGTCCCATGTATCACCCATGGGGACCCATGTATCACAGCTATTTTCTTCAAAACTAACTTTTAAAAAAGGACAAATTATGCAACATTTCCTTGCAGCATTAATTTCTACAATATGTTTATAAGTTTGACCGAGTTTGACCATTCCTAAGGTAAGTTGAGGTCAAAGAGAGAAGGTGAAGATTCATGTATCACAAGTGGGGACCCATGTATCACAGGTGGGGACCCATGTATCACTCAATTTTTGGTATTTGTTTAATGGCAAAATGTAACTAAACTGTAACACCTGTCGCCTGTCACTCTATTATAAAATTGCAATGATTACAGCACAGGCATTAAAACAGGAAAATTTCCGTGATTAATTGCCCTCCAACATGAAATTTGAGTGATGCATGGGACCCCAAAAAATGTGATACATCGGTCCCCACTTGTCGGAGCACTGGACATTGCGGTGTACTGCCAGAACCTATGCTCGGATGTTGCTGTTCGGCACTGCTAATTGTTGTCAAAGCCCTTCCGCACACTCCCACATCAAAAAATTGCGACCATGTTCCACAGCAGGAAGCTGATGAAAGATGTTTGAAGAAATTTCTTTTTTACTTTCCCTCAGTTTTGGGGACCAAAATTTTCACTTAGTCACGCCGCCATGCTTGTTGGAGATGCAAGGTCACATCCTTCCATAAAATGAAGCTCTCTAGATAGTGTTTCGATTCCGCACCACGTGACTCGCCTCGCGGGCGAAACTGAAATTAAATACGCCGTGATACATGGGACCCCGTGATACATGGGTCCCCACCTTCCCTTACTGCCCTGGCAGATTGACTTTCTGTTGTTTTGTACTTTATCTGTTGAAATATGAACAATTTATCTCTTTCCGTTAAGTTTTTATGACGTTTTTACAAAAGCACTGTTTTTGGAGTGATGTCCCCCCTTAACTGAATCAGGTTTGACAAGAAGTCTTTTCTATCGGTTACTTTGAATAAAGCGCATGCGCAGTTTGAAATTTTTGAATTTCTCGTAATCACAACAGTTGGTACTGGCACGGTCCAATACACAGCTATAGCCATATGAAATATATTTTAAATTTTTTGTTATTAAAATCTTGTGAATTCAATTTTAAATTATCAGTTACCAGTTATAAAAATGGGAACACCTTGCAATGCGATTAGCATTGGAATTTTTTTTTCATGAGCTCCGAAATTTGGTGAAATTTGCTCACACTAGCGCCCCGCCCCTAGGGGGCAACATATGGTGCAAGTTCGGACCGGATCCCAGATGGTGAAATTCAGGTCCTGCAGGAACCTCTGATTTTTACCCCCTTCTCAATGAAGTGGAGGGTAGGCTGTTTCAAAAAAAATAGATTTTCCGGGTAAGTCGATTTTTTGATGCATCTAGGTCCCGTATAGACACATGCAAAGTTTGAGCGAAATCGGACAACGTTTACCCACCGCGCAACGCGATAAACGATTTGGCGCCGGCAGGGGGCACCCCCACCTCCTGCACCTTGCGGTCGCTGCCGCAGCGCCATCTGGAATCGGAACTCGCTGAAACGTTCAGGCAATATTGCGGTGGGTTGCCTGGACCAGCTTGCGTGGTTGGAACCGCAACCCTACCGGGTACCACTGCTCTACAGCGACGTAGGGGCCTAACGTGGTTTTCGAGGGGGGGGAGGGGTTAAAGCACAAGCGACATCGAAAACATGATGTGGCCTGTCAAGCCTGGCCTAGTGACTAACGATTCCACCATTCCAAACCATAAGCGGTCGGAAACCAGCGGCACGGCTAGCGCGAGACGAGTCGCTGCCGCCTGGCCCGGCCCGGCCGCCCGTTCAAAGCGCGCGCGCTCCGCCGCTCGCCCGGCGCGCCTCGCCACGGCACGGCTCTCCAGCTTCCGCTCCGGCGCGCGCGCGGTTTGAACGCTCCGACACGCGTTCTCGTGGCCAGCACCGTCTTGTGTTGACGTTTCTATGGCTACGCGTTGGGTCAGAGATCAGGGAAGGGGGTGGGGAAAGGGGAGGCTGCTGCTGGGCGATGGGCGAACCGATGCCAGCGACAGGTGGACGTCACCGCTGGCTGCGGCGAGTGCGGCGCTCGCTCCGCAGTGACAGTCTGTCAGTCGGCGCGATGGACGTGTCAACAACGTTCGATAGCGTGTTTAGATTTCGTTACAATGTTTTCCCGCCGCACTGTCTGCCGACGGGCGTGGATGTCATGCGCGTGGTGTTTTTTAATATGCATGACTTGGATCATCGGATGAGTTTGAATGAGAGTGCACGTTGTGTCGGCAAGATGTTGCGCGTGCGATGGCTGGAAGAGAACCGTGCCTCCATGTCCTTGAATGCTGTCGTCACCAAGATCAAGAAGGTGCACGACACATTCTGTAAAGTGCGCAGGGACGAAAGTCGCCCTTGCTACCATGGTCGCCTGGACGCGTTCAAGAGTGACATGAACGCGGTTTTTGACATCGGGGCCAAAGACAGCGTGGGTGTCGTGCCCGCGCGCGCGGTGAAGCGCCAGGCCTTGCGTCAGAGCGGCGAAGTGAAAAAGCGCCAGCGCAAGTGCCAGGACAACACACCGCAGGCCGCAGGTCAGTACAGTGTAGCGCGCAGACGCACAGCACAGTGGGCCAGAGGACCGGTGAGGCGGCCAAAACTCGAGACGCGTTTTGAGCTCCAGAGTCGATAAACAGGCCTCGAACCGAACGACGAACGTGTGACCCCACCAATCGATTGCTCTCCGGACACGGGATCCATTGGCGGGGTCACACGTTCGGTTCGAGGCCTGTTTAGCGACTCTGGAGCTCAACGCGTCTCGAGTTTTGGCCGCCTCTACCGGTCTTCTGGCCCACTGCGAGACGGGGAAGCGGAAAAGGGGGGGGGGTATTATTTAATTTAACGCAACGTTTTCTTTGCTAGGGGATGTAGTCAAGGTCGAGGTCGAGGTGTATGACTCCGATCCTGACCCCGAATTCCTCCCTGGGACTTCCCTCTCTGCGGTGCCGTCCTCCGTCTGCACCAACCTGGACCGAGGGAAGGTGTCCTCGCGGGCTGCGTTCCGCACCCTGGCTGCGAAGGCCGCAGAGGATGGGGACGAGCACTGCTTGAGTCACACCACCCTGTGGCGGCGAAGGAGGGAAGAGCGCTCTGAGGCTGCAAACACCATCCGAGCCACTTTTGCCCCCAAGGGCCCGCAGACCGTTCACTGGGACGGCATAAAAGTGCCTCGTTTGGACGGAAAACGTGGTGCCAACGGGAAGAAGGAGCTCGTCGAGAGGCTGCCTGTTGTTGTGTCTGGTTCGTTGCTCTCGTCTAAATTTCACCCTAAACTCTTTGCCTATTCGGGCTTTTACCGTTTAGTCTTTTCGTTTCAGGGTCAGATGGTAATGAGCAGCTACTGAGTGCCGATGTTTTGCCAGACGGCACCGGCGAGGCTCAGGCAACGGCAGTCATGACTCAACTTGAGTGCTGGAAGTGTGGCGAAAAGGTGACTGTTGCCTGCGCCGACACAACGTCGTCAATCACTGGTCCACACAATGGTGCCATAGTTATCCTGGAGGAGAAACTAGGGAAGATTCTAATTTACACTGCGTGTCGTCACCATCTTTTGGAGACGATTCCAAAGCATGTGTTTCACAAAACAGTGGAGCCCTCCACTTCTCCTGATTTGGGACCTCTTTGTACCAGCTTTATGAACAAGTGGAATTCTATGGACCACACGAACTATCTGCCTGCTACTCAGGACTCAGAGTGCAAAGAATTTTTACCAGATGACAAAATATTAGAAATTCTGAATTTTGCAAAAAATACACTGAAGGTACATTATTTTGATTTTTTTGTGACTACTGGTCTGGTAATAGTAAATTTTATACTGTCATTCTCTTCTTCCAGCGTCCATTGATTCGCTGTGACTATAAATACCTTCTTGAGTTGGTCGTTATTTTCCTGGGAGAGGTCCCTCCTACGCAGCCAAACGGTGTGCACTTCCGATCACCTATGGCTCTGTCGTCCGCCAGATTCATGGGAAGGATAATTTATTGTCTCAGTATGCACATGTTTGCCCTAACAGGTTTGTAATCTTTCCTTTTAGTTCAATAAATTTCTTTCGCATTATTTATGAATGAACTATAACTCTGCTTTCACATTACAGGAGAATTTCAAGTGACGCCCGCCACTCTGACAAAATTACGAAACTTCAACTTGTTCCATGTAATGAACTATCTAGAACCATGGTTCAGTGCCACAAATGGTATCGAGGCCCCTCTCAACGACCTGAGGCTTTTGCATAATATCATCGAACACGCGGAAGTGAACGTGCTGTGTTCAAAAGTGGCCCGTGAAGCTTTTGTGAACCATCTGTGGTATTTGTCTCCACACTGTGTGCCCTTTGCTCTCTTTGATGACCGGGTTGGTCATGAGACGAAGAGGGCAATGGTTGCTAACCTGACTAAGAAAGTGAAGGAGGCAAAAAGGGCCAACAAGAGTAAGAAGAGTAAGAAGAGTAAGAAGAAAAGCAGGGGAATTCCCGACAGGCCTCCCATGCGCTACCTGGCTGGGGAGAAAACGCCGGTGTCCCGTCTTCGGCAGCTGAGACTTCCACAGTTCGTTAATGAGCACAGCATGCTATTTTTCTCAGCTTTTGGTTTGGAAACCTCCTTTTTAACCAAAGACCCCCAAGAATGGGAAAGTGACCCTGTATTCAAGGAGAACCAAAGCAAACTGCGGAACGTGCAAGTTGTCAATGACACAGCAGAGCGCTCTGTCGCTCTGTGCAAGAACTTCAATGGGGAACTGACGCGAGACGAAAAGGACTTCCAAAATTTGTTACTGGTAAGAAAAAAAAAACATTTAATGATTCGTGCTCTCTATTACCCTAACACACGTGTTTTTATTTTCTTTATAGGTTCAAAAGAAAGTGAAGTCGGAGGAGCAAGACAACTCGCTGCGAGTCACGTACTTTTGTCCCAAATTAGAAGAGTAAAGCAAGTGGGTTCCAATCAATAAATAAAGAGCAGTGATTTTGTTATAAAAATACCTAATGACATTCCCTCCACACACATCTATTACACACTCTTTAGATCACACATTCATTGGAACCAGACGGTGCTGGCCACGAGAACGCGTGTCGGAGCGTTCAAACCGCGCGCGCGCCGGAGCGGAAGCTGGAGAGCCGTGCCGTGGCGAGGCGCGCCGGGCGAGCGGCGGAGCGCGCGCGCTTTGAACGGGCGGCCGGGCCGGGCCACACTGTTAAAAAAATCCATCTTAATTTTAAGAAACTTTTTTATGAAGCAGTTTACAAAGACTTTTTGCTAGTAAAAGTAATAAACTTTTTCTTCTTAAAAGTAAGAATTAAATTTGAAAAGTAATAATCTGTTTCTTAAAAGTTGTTTTTGCATTTAAAAAGAATTTAATAAAGAGCAGGTAAAAATTGAACGCCTTATGTACGTAATGAGTTATTCATTGTATGGTAGTAGTCGATTTCACTGCCGAAATCGCTTGGAAGCGTGGTTCAACCTCGGTCTCGAACCCGGAATTCCGGATTACCGCACCGCGACGCTACCAACTGCGCCACGAGTGAGCTCTGCGAGGCGGGCTCTAGGATGTGGATGACTCCAAGCCTCTCGGCGGAGACTCCGCTAGGCAGTGGAAGCGCTCATCCCAGGGCCTCCAAACACGACTTCACATGACCAAGATCATCCAAATTTGTTCTTTACGTACACTGGTAGTGAAGCGTCCAATGATCACAATTTTAACTGGCAGGATGAGAATCAAATATGAAAAGTCATGGTAATTTTGAATTTTAAGAAACAAATTATTGCATTTGGTAAACAGTCTCAAATTTAATGAACCTGTTTTTTAATTTTAATAAAGTTTCTGAAACTTACCAATATTTTCATTACTTGTCAGAAATGTTTTGGGAAATGTAAGAAATTTTCTTAAACTTCACAAACCTTTATGAGTTTTCATATCCTTACAAAAGGTTATTAAAATTAAGATGTCATTATGTATTAAATTTAAGAATTTTTTTAACAGTGCAGGCGGCAGCGACTCGTCTCGCGCTAGCCGTGCCGCTGGTTTCCGACCGCTTATGGTTTGGAATGGTGGAATCGTTAGTCACTAGGCCAGGCTTGACAGGCCACATCATGTTTTCGATGTCGCTTGTGCTTTAACCCCTCCCCCCCCTCGAAAACCACGTTAGGCCCCTACGTCGCTGTAGAGCAGTGGTACCCGGTAGGGTTGCGGTTCCAACCACGCAAGCTGGTCCAGGCAACCCACCGCAATATTGCCTGAACGTTTCAGCGAGTTCCGATTCCAGATGGCGCTGCGGCAGCGACCGCAAGGTGCAGGAGGTGGGGGTGCCCCCTGCCGGCGCCAAATCGTTTATCGCGTTGCGCGGTGGGTAAACGTTGTCCGATTTCGCTCAAACTTTGCATGTGTCTATACGGGACCTAGATGCATCAAAAAATCGACTTACCCGGAAAATCTATTTTTTTTGAAACAGCCTAGTGGAGGGCCGCCAATATCACCAGTATCATTGATAAAGCTGCTACGTGGGACCGCTTCCGATGACGTCTCGCCTGCCCCGTGTGTTTCTCACGATTAAGTGGAACACAAGGACCACCTCTATCATCGATAGAGCTCCTACGTGGCGCCTTTTTTAAAAACTGTCTGGTCTGGGCCGCGGGCATAGCTTGCAGTCACTGATTCCGTAATCATGAAGGAGGCCGCTCTTGTGCTCGTGCTGCTCGTTGGCAGCGCGCAGCCGTCTGCTCTACACTTGCGCGAGGTACGTGACAACCGACGCCCAAAACTGTGAATGGACGCTGCACGGTAAAAACGGTTCCTCGTTTCTCCAGGAACTCACTCCTTGGAAATCGCGAATGCCTTTGCTATACACTGTAAAAAATGTGTTCGTAAATTTGCAAACAATTCATGGGTAATTTCGTTGCACGCATTATTTGTTGGCTGAGCGATAGCGAAGCCCGTTACTCCAGTGGGGTTAAACAAGGTACGTTTACGCCAGACCGCGTCTTGTCGTAGGGTAAAGTGCCGAACATGGATCGGGGTACCAATCATGGATCATTTTTGTTAGCGAGCCCGTACTGCCAAACCAATCGACCAATTTAATTTTTTCGAAGTTTTTCATTAAGTCTAGACCTTTAACTTTCAGAATCACGCGCGGGGGCGCTGATCAATCTTACCGTTACCTTCACAGTATGCAAGTGAAAAGGTGCCTCTGAAAAGGGGTCCGAAAATGGCCTGGTTTCAGGTTAGGGTAGGAGCCAAAATTCAAACCGTTATTAAAAAGAATCCGTTCATCAGAAATGTTTTAAAAAATTTTCGTGGCACCTTCAGAGTGTACCTTTTTAAAATTTAGGTGACCGGAAGTTATCGGATCGCCCCTGTCAAAACGCGAGGGGGGGTGATCCATGTTTGGGTCTGACCCAAACATGGATCACTAAAATCAGTGAAATTTCAAAGCCCTGTAAATTTCAAAGTATTTGTTATTAAATGTACAGTTCCTGGGAAAAGGTTGTCTTTGTGGAAATCTTGAAGTGTGTCGAAGAAAATTTAGGTCATCGCTTGTTTGAGCGGAACTATAAGACATTTCTAAAAAGTGATCCATGTTTGGTAACCTTACCCTAACAGGCTTCGCGATGTCTCGCTGCCTGTTCCTCCAATCCGCGCCTGGCGCACCTACCTTGGCCTGCGGCGCTGGCCTGCGTTCGGCAGGCTGGCTTGTCCATCGTCGGTTACTTCTAACTAGTTGCATGCTGGGAGGCTCCACCCCCTAGACCCCCCTCATTCTAAATAGTGTTGCTTCATCTACAGAAAACACGATCCTGACCTTTGTAACTTCTTAACTTGTCGAGGCTGGGGGGCCACGCCCTTCAGACCCCCCTTTCTTCAAGACAGAAGGCATCGGCCTGCAGAAGACTAGATTTTTCCCCGTTTTTAGGTGTTTTTCGGCTATAAAAACTGAACCAGTTGAGCTAGGATAGTGAAATTTCGCGTGTGCCGAGCCAAGGGCATGCCTAAGAAGTGCCAAATCTCACCGAGATCGGCCGAGCCGATCAGGAGGAGTAGGGTGGACAGACACACAAACACAGTCAGAAAAAACTTTGCAACCCCACTGGAGTAACCGGCTTCGCTATCGCTCCGCCAAAAACTTTCTCTGTCTGCGCGTGTGTGTGTGTGTGTGTGTGTGTGTGTGCGCGCTCGCGCGCGCGTGTGTGTTTGTGTGCACTACTGGGTGATTCTACGCCAACTGAGTCAGTCACAAAACGGCATGGTCTCGGATCGGGACGAAACTTACGCAAATCGTAGGCCTAAGTAGTGGGATGACTACCTCCAAAAGCGTTTGGCCGAAAAATATCTAGAAGCCGAGATAGTGAGAGGATAAATATGGTGCCAGGACAGCGACACGGATACAGTTTTTCGCTCGCAGTTTCGGTACTATCCATCGCATCGAGAAACCAAGTATAACGTTGGAAAGAGGAGAAAATTTAACAAACAGTACTTCCTTTACTTTCTTTTAAAAAGTAAAAATAGTGTTTGTTTCCAAATAACCTTACCTTTGATTTATCGTAGAAAGTTACACACTAAATGTCATGGGACTTTTTTTGTCCCACGAATTATGCAATTTTAAGGGGGGACCCTGGTGAAACTTTCAAGTAGGCTTCAAAATAATCCCAGGAAGTTGAAACTTTGCTTAATTATTAGGTTCATTATGGTGAGTTCCCAAAACAAAATTCAATCCAAAATGTTGAACGGTCTCTGAGAAAAGTGGCTTTTTAGTGTTTTTTGGAGCGTTGGGGAAAAATCTTCCTGCGTCTTTCATTGGGACGGAAAGTCTTGAAAATTTTTTTGGGTTATCCTAAAGATGTATAGAAGAGATTTTAGTGACGGAATTTTCAAATTCAACTTCTGTCCTGAGATATGAGTTTTCAAATTTTAACATTAAAAACAAGTGATATTTTTCCCTTTTTTTCAAACTTTTAGGTGTGTTTTAAAAAAAGTAGGGCTGATATCAAGATTCCGTCACTAAAATTTGACGACAAGTCATCAATGAATAGAGTCCATGCAAGACGACTCATGTAGGTGTCAACCAGGAACGCAGGAAGTCTTTCTACGACAAAATTTTTTGACGACTGAGCAAAGCTGTGAAGTTGAGCGTAGAAGCCAACGACAAACTGATCTCAATGCTATTTCCTTCCAAATGATAAAGAAACTACCCACTTAGCTTAAAGGTGTTCAACCTGTTGAATCTGAAACCTTCTATGCACATTTTTACCTATGAACTTTAAAAATACTATTTTTTGGAATTTTGGCGATTTTTTCACCAGGGTCCCCCCTTAAGCACATCCGACGATGATACAATTTTGATCCCGTCTGCTGGGCCATGGCGACACATTTTGTCCGACGCCCGCTGCAAATTGTACTTTCACTAGACAATTTGTCCCGTCTGGCGGACACAAAATTGCATCACCACCGGATGTGCTTAAAATTTCATCATTCATGGGACAAAAAAAGTCCCATGCCATTTAGTGTGTAGTTGCACCACCAAATTTGCTGGGAAACGTCTTAAAAAATTCCCCGTGAAACAAAGATAAGAGAAAGATCAACCACAAAAAGTACTATTTCTCGTTCACGAGATATCTGCATTTAACCATCTTGAAGTAGCGTTGCGAGTTCACTGAGAATGAAAAAGTCATGATCAATACCCAATTTTGGGCGAGGTTTTTTTTCTCACCCAAATTTGGGCGAGGAAAGTTTCCTCACCCAATTTGGGCGAGGAAAGCTTCCTCGCCCAATTTTGGGTGAGGAAGGGTGTATCAGCTCCCTATATAGCTCCATTGTATTATGACCCAAATTTGGGTGAGGAAAGTTTCCTCACCCAAATTTGGGTAATGAAGAATTCCTCACCCAAAATTTTAGTCATGATCATGACTCTTTCATTCTCAGTGTTCAAGCTCGCGCGGCGGACGAGGTATGAGAAATCCTGCGGCACACTGAGTTGTTTACAACCGTTGCATTTGTGAT